CAAGCCTCTTCAACTGGGAAATTGTGAAGAGGTTCCCCAAACCCTAACAATTCTACACCAGAACTCTCATTGAGGAGGTTGGGGCCACTTTAGCCTGGCTACCACCACCGAATTGGAAAAGAGAGGAACAATCTATGCCGTGTTGTTGTTGCTATCCTCACAAAAAACTATTACTTTAACTTTTTTTGAAAAAATAGTTTGATCATTACCATGCGATTCCCTCTTTAGGGTTAACCCCAAATCCTTATAGGTAATCCCCTTCTTCGTTTTTGCCCTTCGCTTCCATGTTTGAGGAGCTGTGGCTTCAGAAGCTAAGAAAGGGACAAAGTGAGAACCCATGGGAGAATCTTGAGAAGCGCAGACTACAGGACTCGCAGTAGCCTTATCTTGGGTTGCAGGACCTTGGTATAAGAAACTAACTGGGTCAGATAACCTCGTTTGAAGAAGAAAAGATAGGACCGCGTCCCTTGGCCCCTCTCCAATATCTAGCACTGCTGTAAGCTAAGATGGGCTTTGACTTGAAGGTCGAATAGTGGATAAAAGCTGTGTACTACTGTTGAGATCAACGCTTATACCACTGTGCACGTCGTCGATGTGCCCTCACGACGCTGGAGTAGACGGAACGCCGGAGAACTGGGAGATGATGCAGAACTTTTAAAAGCCGAAAAATGCCAGTTTTTTGTTAACCGCCCTGCTTTACCATCAGCTTTCAACCACATACTGTATTGAAGCTCCTTAATTGGCTCCTCGATCTTCCACGGGCATAAACGGAGTTTGTGTCCAACCCTACCACAGTTATAACAAAGGGATGGGAGACGCTCGTACCTGAATTTTGTCCACTGCCGTTTGCCACCATGGAAAATTTTTTGCCCCCTTCGAAAGGGTTTGGATACACCCCCACTCGGATTATGAGGTAATAAAGATGTGTTGAAATTATTAAATTACAAATTTATTCATTTACTGATGTTTCTTATATACTACAAATTACCGTATATCAATACACTTATCATAATAATATATATAGATTACTTGTTCATTACTCACCTTTCCTATATAGGACCTTTATATAATCTCTTATATAAATACAACATACAGTTACTTACAGATCTCTCTATCATGCTCTAGGTTTCCCAGTTCTGCACGTTTTTTCTAATTGCCATCTTGGCAAGAGTTCCAATCATTGACTCAAAGCCATTCTCCCATCCTATCCTATTATATAAGATAGCACCAAACGGACCTTGTTCTATCCTCCTCAAGTCATTCCACAGTGATCCTGGTGTGAGAATGTTATCGACATGGAAAAAAAGAAGGCTCTCTACATCGTTGTTTATGTTGACACACCAGAGTATCGTTACGGGCTCTACCGCATAAAGATGGATGCCAACTCCCTTAATAACTGGAACAGCTCAACTAGTACTGAAGATTCTTCTTCAAATAATAATATTTCCCTGCTAAATGAGCCGCTGCTCCTTTTAGGAAGTGAATTTCCCCCTGGTATGGCTTTTTTCTATTTCGGATCCATAATTTATATGCTTGGTTCCGTCAGTAGAAATGAACGGTCTAGTAGTGTCTTTATATATGATACTGTCACTCGTGTTTTGGGAGTTACAAATCAACATATGCGAACTCCAAAGTTACTACCCATCATCATTAAGCCTGTAGCGCCCTTTGATGACAGGGTTTTTGTTCTCAGTGGGGATTTGTGCGGTCATGATTTAGAGGTTTTCTACCCAGATAAGGATGATCCTTGTAAATTTATTGGTGCTCCTTCCTTCTTAGTTTTATGACCATTTTGTCAGGTTATATCTCATGTAACTATGTTAGATGGTTTTCTTCTCTTTATCAACGTCAATGTCGTATTTTACTAATAACATTCCTAACAATAACTAGAGGATTGTGACGACCGAAATACCCAATCTTATCTTCCTAAGACAACCTCATATGTTTGCTGATGACATATCTATGTGGTTTTGCCATTTCAATTCTCACTTGTGCGGTTATAATCTTGACTCCAACATAGAAATGCTCAAAATTGGGGAATTGCCACTCCTGCGCCTCCATCATCCCAATGCCAATTGTAGTTATTATCACATGATTAATCTCCTTTATTTGGGGGATGCGATGTTTTGTGTGGTGCGATCAGGGTTTGACAACTCTACTGCTAGCTGGCGTTGCGGGGAACCCTTTCCCCGCCATCATGTAACCGCAACCCTGTTTCGAATAGATCCCTCGGCCAATGTCATCTTAGAGCAACATTCATCATCTTATTAGATTACGCAACTCGATCAGCGGGTGTGTTTGGCCAATGTTTGTGCTTGTTTTGTCATATAAATTAAGATCATTTACTTTTTCTATCCGTGTCATGAATGTTGTCCTCTGCTCAACTGTTGGTACATGCTTTGGTTGATTTAACCCTCCAACTTTTGTGTAGTGCTAGGGTGGGTGGATTTTCATTTTTAATTTGGTGTATTGTTCACTTATTTTGGATGAAACTACTGCAAATTACTTATAAGATTATTACTCCCTTTTTTTAAAAAATAGTTAACATGGTATCAAAATCTTTCAATTTCTGCTAAACAATCTACCAGTTTATCATAGTCACGGCGGCGGCGATCAACCTTCAAACTTATGCTTCAAACTTATGCTTCCGTATTCCAACTAATTTACATTTTATCTCTTTTATATTTAACAACAATATTATAATTCTGTCAAATTAAAATTTTAATGTATTAGTGTAGTTGTTGGATTATTAATTTAAAGTTGTTGTATTAAATATGAGTCATACACAAGACGAAAATAACATTGGGAATGATCCAAATTCTTGCAACAGATAAAATTTAAAATGAATTATGAATTAGTCATAACTCCATTCGGAAGTTGTTTGGAGGTACTTCTATTAATTAGTTTAATTGAATATAAGACCTGCATTTAAATTAAGTACGTGACCAGTGATTGCTTATATTCAAAGTTTGTAAAGATATTAGTTAAGAAGTTAGTGCAACACTTTTCATGTTCTTTGTTAACTTCTTGATCAATAAAATTCTTGCCTGTTTGGAAGAAGGGGAAGGGAAAATAAAAATAAACTGGAGATTTTATTACTATTTGTTAAAATTTCGATAGAGAGGGAACTGATTGGATACGAAATGAAGTACAATTTAAAAATAAAAAATAAAAAAATAAAAAAAAATCCCCTGGTACTATAATTTTTGTAATTGGAATAAATTGAAATTGAAGGGCAAATGAAATGACTTTCTTGCGTAATGAATATAAGAATAAAATAAATTAATTTTTTCTTATTTTACATTTGTTGATTGAATTTGTAATATATTTTTTACTAGTGTTATAAACTTATCTTGTTAAATAAGTTAATTAGATTTTAAACCTATCAAATACAGACAACTTTTCTAAGGATTTCAGGGCATTATAAAACTTCCTTCCAAATACCATTTAATTAAATTCCGTTTTTAAATTAATGTATCATATAACTATTCAAAAGTAAATAACAAAAAAAATGGTAGTGTTTGGAGTACTTTAAAATGTTATCATGTATACTGAATGGATTTTCATTCTCATAAATTAATCTTTGTTTTAATGAAATGGCTATTCCCACTTTAAATTGCATATCAAACAAATGAACGTTTGATATGCATGAATAAAATGAAATTGAATATTCATTTTAATCATTTATTTGTTTAATATGTAATTTAAATTGGGAATGGTCATTTCATTAGAACAAAGATTTATTTATGAGAATGAAAATCCATTCCACAACTAAACCTATGGAATAATCCATTCCATTCTCAATTAAATTTTTTTCAAAAATCAACTCTCTAAAAAACTCTCATGTTCCGAGTTCAAAAACCACCGCTACTTTCCATCACAACTACCTCCACCTTTCACCACCACCACTGCCGCCGCCACCGCCATCGACTTTCACCACCGCCCACAGCTTTCCACCGCCGCAACTATCGCCTTTCACCACAGCCACCACCTTCCACCACCACCTTCACCACCGTTCCTTTCCACAACCACCGCCGCCGCCACTGGCACCACCTTCTACTACCACTATCGCCTTCCACTGCTTCCACCGTCACCACCGCTATCGTTTTCCATCACCGCCAATACCACCACTGCCACCGCCTTTCATCACCACCACCGCCTTTTACCACCATCTTCCACCACACCGTCACCCCACTGCCTTCCACCACCACCACAATCACCTCCATTGGCTTCCACCACCACACTATTGTCACCGCCTTCCACCAACACCAGTGCCGCCTTCCACCATTGCCACCACTACCTACCTTCCAACACCACCGCTTACACCACTACCGTTTTCCACCTCTAACACTGTCGCCATCATAATCCACCACCATCATTACCATTTATTTTTTAAAAAATTATAGAAGACTGTCATTTTACTAATTTAATTTATTTGTTACTAAGAGGGATGTTTTGAAAAACTCAATTTAAAATTTATTCCATTCTAAATTTTAAATTGGTCCAACCAAACATTAGAAAGATTATTATTATTATATTCCTACACATTTCATAATTATAATCAAACGATAGAATGAAAATGACCATTCAATTCTATTCCATTCCCACTTGCATTCTATTCTATTCCTGCATACCAAATACAATATTTAATGAATATTGTAATTTCAGATTCGTTATATTACATATTTTGATTGAAATTTTATTTTATTTTTATGGAGTTGAATAGTTGTATTGAAAAAGAAAACCATTTTATTATGAAAACAACATATTAGGTTGTTTTTTTTTTAATTATGAAAATATGGATTAAAACTAGCTACAATGATTACTCTCAATAATCTTCTTATTTACGGGTTATTATTATTGTTATTTTATTTATTTTTAGATGCTTCGAATTGCAGGAATTTTTTAAACTTATGTTTGGCTATAAATGTAAATATATACTTTTATGGGCTAGCTATTATAATAAATAAAAAATATGAGCAGCTTTCGCGAAAAATTTCAACTAGAACGAGAGGACCCGATGAAGTGGGATGAAGCGTGGAAGGCACAAAAATAGACGATAAGCTTTGCGCATAGATTAATCTGACGGTACGGTCGAGGGTAATACATACAACCAAAAGCCCTAGATTTTCTAGTAGACTATGCCCTTTTGAATAATGCGACTATGGATCAACTGAAACACGACCCCTTCTGTCAATCAATTCAAGTCCCAAACCCATCCGTCGCTGAGTTTCATCAGCAGCCTCCTGATCTGCGCTTGCCCACCAATCAATTTCACGTGGATCCGAGGTTTGCTTCATTCCACATATAGTAAGAGTTTTGATCGTTGTGTGTGTGTGTGTTTGTTTGTTTGTTTTTTTTTTTTTTTTACAAACCTATTTGATTATATGCTCAGAATGCTAATTTCATAGATCAATTTTGTTTCTTTTCTTTTTGATTGGACACTCATTTTAGTCGTATAAGTTGAAATTATTGCCATAATTCATATATACTTAAATATGCATAAGAGAATGATGTCTATAATGCGGATAAAGAACTGCAAATGGTCGACCGAATGTTTTCCAAATTGGGACTTGGTAATTCTAATTGTGAGCAAGAGAGCAAGAGGACAGTAGTTGAGCTGCATGCTACGGGCAAGTAGTTGATTGGCAAGTTTCCTTGATTGCCGCGGAGGCGATGGCAAATAATCAATACTTATCGAACCCAAGTTGAGAGATTTTAAATTGACATAGGGAAGCTGGAATTTCGATTATTACTGTAATTTGTATAAAAGGGAATAAATAAAGAGAGGAAGAGAAGTAGAGACATTTTGAAATTGGGTTTTGTGTCAGTGAGATGATTATGATGTTGTAGCATCATGTTTCTAACTCAATTTGGAGCATGAATGTCAACCTACTTAAGTCATTCACATATCATGATTCATGGAGGCTATCTTTTTGGCGTCTTTTATAACTTGTTATTTTCTCGTGACCATACATACAAAAAAATTAGTCTGAGTACTTGTTCATCATATGTTGTGCTCACTTCTCTCTTGAAATATTTTTTATCGCTTCATAGTTTTTATGAAACTAATTTGTAGACTAGAGATACGTATTAGGCTCAATTGTTCACAAGGAAGAAGATATTGGAGATGACATTAGTTATAAAATTAAAGTATGATTGGTTAAACAGAGGAGTGTTCTTGGCATATTTTGTGTTGGCATAGCTAGTTGACCTGTCATATTTTATAGGACAGAAAGTTAACAAACAAAAGTTAAGAAAATGAGTATGACCAAGATGCATATATTCTAAGAAGTACGGACACGGATACGACACGACACGGACACGACGGCACGGTAAATCGAAAAAAATTAGGACACGGACACGGCGAATAGCGTAAATCTACACTATTCGCCGTGCCCTATTCGCCGTGTCCGTGCCCTAATATTTTTGGATTTGCCGTTCCGCCGTGTCCGTGTCGTGTCGTATCCGTGTCCCGTATATATATATGTGTGATATAGTACTTTAAAAATTACTAAGTGTTACTATTTTTCATCAACCTCACAATGAAAAAAAAAAACACAAATCATAACTCATAACTAATAAACTATAAAAGAACAATGTTGCATAGTTATAAAACCAAATAAAAAATAAGACATTAGAATAATAACTAGTATCATTTAATCATCATTACAACTTTACTCCAAATACAAAAGCATAGACAGAAAGGACTATTAACATTCATGACTGTTTAACATTCCGGACTTTACTGTTAGCACTAAATATTCACAAAAACGTAAAAGTTAGTCCCCAAAAAAGATACAAAAACAAGTCAGTGTACTATCATCTATTCCCATCCATCATTTGACCTAGGACTTTTACCATTTACAATACCAAAAGGGTAGTACAAAACAAAAAATAGAACATATTAGCATTCAAAATTTAAAAAAAAAAAAAAAAAAATTCCAGACACGTGTGTCCGCGGAGTGTCCGTGCCGTGTCCGAGCTGTGTTCATGCCGTGTCCGAAAATTAAGAAAAATTAAAAATTCCAAACATGTTTTTTGGTGTGTCCGACACGTGTCGGACACGGATTCTTCGCCCATTTTGGCATGTCCGTGCTTCTTAGCATATATTTGAGGTGGATGTTAATAGAGCATGATTGTGGCATGTTGAGGGTGATTCTAATGGAAGAAAAATACTAGAAGATAAATGTTAACATAGATTGAGATAGTAAAAACAAATATGATAATGTGCGCTTAACTGACGTTATGTCTTTAAATAGAGTAGAATGACAAAATATAATCATTTAAGAGACCACCAATAGTCGTTAAAAGGTCTTATTGAGTTGATCTTAGAGAATAATTTGTTCTATTGAACGCCAAGGATATAATAGGTCTTGGGACATGCTTTATATTCTGTTTTAGCACTATACTTGAGCAACATATTACTTATTTTCTATGCAACACCATAAAAGTGCGTTACCAATCAGTGGATTGTTGGTGGAATTCATTACATAATCAGCTAGTGTAACTAATTATAGTGATATCCACTTAATTTGGCAATTCAATGCCAAGAAGTTGGCAATACTCCTTGTGACCTTGATCTAGCACCATTGCAGTATTTGCACAAAGAGAATATTGTGATTAACCGGATATTTCCGCTCAAAGTTAGCCTAGTAGTCTTTGATTCACTTTGATAATTTTGGGCTAAATGCACAACTTTCAATTAAACATCGCCTTGTTCTGCTAGCATGCAAGTGATTTGGCTGATAAATTTTTATTTTTTAATTTTTTTTTTTTAAAAACCTACTGAGCACCAAGGATTTCCTTTCTGGTCCATGCTACACCAAACCACCAAACATCACATCATGTTGTATCGATCAATAGAGGTGTTCTCTCAAGCTTACATTTTTTACTTGAGTTCCCATTGGCAACATACAAGAAGTTCTAGTAGAGATGCCTTCACACTAGAAATCTTAGCCAACAAACTACATTATTTTTCTCTTTTAGCAAAAGCTTGTTGTAATGAATAATCATCATCTCTTATCAAATGGAAAATGAATAATATTCATTTCTTGGGGTTTCTGCGTGTCTCTTTGGAAAGTTTGCGAGTCATGTTTGGTTACCATTGCTTCCCACTGAATTGATTATTGATCAATCATTGGGTATTGTGGTAGCCTTGGGAAATTAGAGAAAATAGCTGTGAAGCCAAAAATTAATTGAAAGATGATAACAGAAAGGGTTTTAGGATCATATAACACTTTTGAATATTAAAAATGTTTTAGGGATAATGATGCGTCTTTGGTAACAAAATTGATCAGTGAGATCATAACAATTATAAGACAAATGTGGTGAAAGTATTTTATTAGCTATATGCGTAAGAGGGGATATTCAAAACCGAACAAATTCTTGCAGTATTAAATTAATTGATCATATTATTAAAAGAATGATTCAACAACGGTTAGGACGTGAAATAATAGTATGAAAGTCACTTCGGATATATGCCAAGGGAAGATGTAGAGAGAACAAAAAATTCTTCATATTAACTTAGGTCCCCTAGAATACCGTGTGGTGGGTTTTTAATAAAGAAAAGAGTATCAAATAAATATATTCCATGACAAAAGATATTCATGAAACTATGACTATAGTAATGAATTTTTTTTTTTTTTTTGATAAGTAAGAATTTTAAAAAAAGCGCTCAAAAGGGGAGCGAAACCCATGGAAACAAAAAGCCTCAAGCCTTCAAAGAGGCCAAAAAAATAACAATCTCCTCAACAGAATGATTATCTCTCCCTGAGACCCAGCAAAAAAAAGTAGAAATAATAGAGAACTTAAGCATAGAAATGGGTTTCTCCTTGCCATCGAAAAATCTCCGATTCTTCTCGAGCCAAATGACTATAGTAATGATTGTTATAGGAGAAACAAATGAGTTTCCAATTGATGCAGGCCTGACATTTAAGATTAACGTTATTAGTTATGGATGAATTGGCAAGGCACATTTAGGACGAAGTTTTATGGGCATGCTATTTGTTGATGATATTGTTTTGACTAATTAAAAATTAGGTATGGATAAGTACGAAATTAGAGTTTTGGGAGAAGTTTTAGATTCGTGATTGTTGTAAGTATGATTAGAACTAAACATATTTAATGTAGTTTTAGTAAAATTAGGGGTACAAGTGGTGATAAGATCAAAGAATAAAGAGATCAGAGATACTATTTACGAATAACATCTTCGACTAGCTTGATTATTCACAAATTGGAAGAAACTAGAGATGATGCTATTCTCAAATAGCGTACGGTTTAAGTGAAGTTGTGGTCTTGGATAGAGAAGAATGATGAAGCATAATTCATGCAATTGATTCCAAATAACCAGGACGAGTTATTGTTAGTGTTTTGTAATTGAGTTGTAAGCATTCACTCTTTGGCGAATGGTATTTCGATTAATTTCAAAACTAGAAATAAAATAATATAAAAAGAGGAAGAATAAAAAACAATGATGGTTGCTGTAGTGTTTCTAGTGGCAATTTGATGTCAGCACATGCTGTTTTTTTCTTCTTTTATTTTCTTTTCTTTTTAATAATAACAATTCAAATTGAGCACACTGACCTATTGATTAAAATTCAAATTTCTACTCCAATTATTTGTATCCAAACAAAGGAATTACAATTCCTTCTCATTTACAGCTCCATCGGAATTTGAGTTGAGTTACAACTATGAACTAAAATTTAAATTGAATTTGCAATCAGACCTTTAATGTGATTTTTGTGGCATCTCCAAACTTTTTCCCCTCATACGTGCTTCCTGAGGAATCATTCCAAAGATAGTTCATGTCATGCAACCCCACATTTTAATTCAAATTTATTTTCACTAGTCAATGGGCTTACTCGTAACCTGGATATTGTGATCAATGAACCTGATTAGCTGAATTCTAAGTAGTTAGCATATTCAAAAGTGAAGTTTCACGTCAAAACTCAAACCAATCAAGACACAGATTATATTCTTCTATTTTCCGGCAATTCCGTTAGATGCCAAAATTCCTGTCACATCGAATCTCTTTAGGTAAATATTATTAGCAGTGACCACGGAGAGGCATCTACAAGGCATGCCCCAACTGAGATGTGAACCTAGCTAGTTTATGATATCATGATTCATGAGCATCTTTGTGGGAAGTTTTTTCCACTTTTGATTCTGTAGATTATTCTCTGATCAGATTCTTTATGCACTAATGATTTCTATCTTGTTTCTCTGCCCCTTCCTCTCTCCTTTCCTCTCTTCTTCTTCTTCTTCCCATCACATTTGTGATTTGTCCATCAATAATTAAAGACTGGAAGCAGATGTCAAGGACTGTACTGCTGCAAGAAAAGTTCAGAAGGCTGACCGTGAGAAATTGAGGAGGGATCGTCTCAATGAACAGTTTATGGAGTTGGGAAATACGTTAGGTAAAATTAGATTCTATCATTGCAACATAACAACAAAGAAAATTTCCTTTTATATTGGATTTTAAATTTTTTTGGTTTCTATGTTCAGTCAATAAACACATTCCTGCCCTATCTTGTAGGGACAGTGTATGAATTAATCCTGTAATTAAGAATAGTTGTGGACACCTAGTTAGTAGTTACACTGCTTTGCATATAGTTAGCAGCAGTTTCAGTTTAAATTCTGACCCATCCCAGAATTCCATATTCTCGACTTCTCTCTTGAATAAAGCTAGACATGGTTGCATGTGTCTTCATATTTGAATCATTAGGCTTGAGAAATCTACTAGAAAATTTGTCTTCTTTACCTCCTTCTCTTCTCTTGGTAATGTTAAATTTAAATTAAAAGGATGCTCTGCAAATGCTTTGAAGTTGTGAATAGAATTCATGAAGCCTTAATTATGCTATTGTAATGTGCCTTTAGCAGTTCGGCACCTCTTGAATCCCAGATAATGCAAAAAAATTAAAAACTTCACAACTGCTAAGATGAGCCCTATTCTCTGGATAAGAAGACACATCTCGCATTTTGTCAGGTCTCATTTGAACTTTGATAACAAAGAAAAATCTACAGTATACTGCTATAATTTTCATCAAGCATATGTTATTTTTATTACTGGTTTCTATTTTTAATATTATTCCTTAAAAACACCTTATAATTTTAACTGAATCTGTAGGCTATCACATCTTAAGCTCAGATAATCAGGGATTCAGTCAACTGTTGAGTTTAGAAACTTGGCCGTTGTTACGAGATCCTTCCTCCATGTGATCACTTAAAATCGTTGCAAATTTCCTTTTGATGCCAGCAAGATGAGTAACATGAAGTGAACTTAAAATGCAGATCCTGATAGGCCCAAAAATGACAAAGCATCCATTCTTGCTGACACGATCCAACTGCTTAAGGATCTGACTGCTCAAGTCAACAGACTAAAAACCGAGTATGCTGCACTCACTGAAGAATCTTCTGAGGTGACTTTCTTTTTATTGTTATTGTTGTAATTATAATTATTAATACTATATTAATTTTTGGTTTTTGTGATACAAATAATGTGGGGCCTATTTTGTAGGCTATTTCATCTTAATCTTTATTTGAAATCAGTTGACACAGGAGAAGAATGATCTCAGAGAAGAGAAAGCATCACTTAAATCTGACATCGAGAACCTTAATGTTCAGTATCAGCAGAGACTCAGGGCTATGTTTCCATGGGCTGGTATGGATCATTCAGTTGTCATGCACCCACCGCCTTATTCTTTTCCATTGCCGGTGCCAATGCCTCCTGGGCCGATTCCCATGCATCCATCTTTGCAGCCATACCCCTTTCTTGGAAGTCAAAATCCTGGGATTATTCCTAACCCCTGTTCAACTTTTGTTCCATATTTAACTCCTAACACCCTAATTGAACAGCAGTCTACCCATTATGTAACTCCAATCGCACAGCCGTGTAGTAGGTCTCACAGTTCAAGCAAACAAGATTCCAAAAACAAGGCATCAGACCATCAAGGGGAGAGCAAGATTGGAAAAAGTGAGGATTCTGATGATGTCCCAACAGACCTAGAACTCAAGACACCAGGATCTACAGGAGAACAGGTGAGTTCTATCTTTGTTGGTTGATCTGTAGAATGGTCGTTTTGGAATTTTGTGAAAATATTCACATTGTGGCTTTGTTGGAACTTTATTTTCATTTTCTCTGCTCTTTTATTTTTTATGCCAGCAGTGAGAGTTATAACTCCTAGAAATCGAACCATGGTGTTTCAATTGCTTTGGGTAATAGATTGGAACTGATTTAAGTGGTTTGCAGGATGCCTCTTCTGGACAAAGGAAATCCAGAAAATTGATGAGGAAGGAAAACAGCCTTACAGATGGGAGTTACTCGAGTAGGTGTTCTTCATCTCGTAGTGTGCAGGATAGTTCATCAAATAGCGTAGTTGGTGGCACGAAGGCTGATGATTGAAGAAGCGGAGAGAATAAGAAAATCCAGGTTTGTGCCTTCTTCTGATGATTATTTATTAGTTTATCTCCTATTGCTTGCTTCTCATAACATGTTTTGTCTGCTCCTATTCTATTTGATATCTCTGTCTTATTCTTTTTCCTTGTAGGTCTGTTTGATTCTAATGTCTCATAGTTTATATATTTTTGATACTGTTGTCTTGTAGTTGTGTTCTAATTAGCATTAAATTCTGGACAAACTTCAAACTGAAATGGTTATATTACAGATCATCAAAGGTTCTGATGCTGGGTGATTTCCCATGCTTTTCCAAGCAGGAAGGCTTTAAGGTTAGTGGTCCATTACTTGTTTAGGAAAATGATTGTAATTTTTGTATGTAATGACACTGGAATAATTAATTTTGTATCATTATGTTGGCTTATTATAATATAGTTATAATCATTTCGTGGCTATGTTCATATCATATGTATGATTTGATTTCCGTATGGTTCTAATTTAACCGGAAGCTTCCCAGGAATGCCTAGCTCAGTGTTCAAAACTCCTTTGGGGCTTAACGGTTTCTTTATGCACACACATGAAGGCCAACCTCCTTCAAAATTGGGGTGAGGGTGTGACCTATCATTATTATCATCTGCTACATTTTGGTGGGACCCTTCCAACAAATTATTGTTCTGTTGAACCTAGACAAAATCATTTTGTGTATTTAGTGTGTCAAACTATTCAGGTCACATCTTTGGCGAGATCAAGAACTGCAACTACAATCTTCCAAGTTCCAACTTGTAGGCAGGGGTGGCAATTGGTGGGTTTGGGATGATATTTGAGTCAATAGTGGGTCAATAATTCATTATTAATTCATGAGTTATAAAAGAGTTGGGTGTTAAATGGGCTAGTTAAAACACACTTAATTCAATTATTCAAATATTTTTAGATATAAATTGTTAAATTATTTTAATTGTTGAATATAAAAAAATTATATAAAAAATATTTTTGTATTAATTTATTATTTTTTTTTGGTCTCACTAGTTACAATTTTTTTTCTTATTTATTTATTTATTTTTGGATAAAAGTCTCTATACAACTTATTTTGAGAGTTATCATGGCCCAAAAAAATATTAAATAAATAAAGAGGAGAGAAAACGGAGGGGAGAGAGAGAGAAGAGGGGAAGAGATGATAAGACGATAGTTATCAATGCAAAAAAATAAAATTTTTAATTTTTAATTTTTTTTGAAAATAAAAATAAATTTAAAAGAAAAAATGTTTTTGTTTTTGTATTTTGTTTAGGAGACAGAAACGAAGAGAACAGAGAGAAACAAGGGGAAGAGAGAGAGAGAGAGAGAAAAAAAAAAATATATATATATATATATATATATATATATATAGAAAGGGAGGAGAGATAAAAAATAAGAATAGAGAGGGATAGAAACAGAAAATATTGATATTAATAATAGTAGAACAACTACCGTTCAAGTAATATTATTACTATTATGATTGTTGAATAACAAAAAAAAAAAAATTTGTTTTTACATTAATTTTTTTTTTATTTCAAGCGTTATAATTTTTCTTTTTCTTTTTCTTTTTTATGACAGAAAAAAGAAAAAACAGAGGAAAGAGAAAAAAAGAGAGATAAAAATAGGATTGGGTTAAGATGGGTATTCACTCTTAAGTCATTATTGATCGGCTACCTACTTTTTATATATATATTGACCCATTTACATAAATTTGAGTATTCAAATACTTTAATTTTAATAGATGAATTTAAATGATTTGAGTTTAAATTGCCACCCTTACTTGTAGTTACCACCACTTCTGCTCATTTTTTTTGGATTGTTGCACACTTGCTGAAAGAAAAACAAAATGTGTGCCTAATGTGATCTCATTCTCAACAATCCCTAACAAAATGAGGCACATCCAGCCAAGCCTTTGTTAATGCAGTTGCATATGATCAGCTCAGTCGGACAAGACAAAGTTGTGAATCGGAAATCAGGATCAGTCACTGTACATAAAAATAATGTTAAAATTGATCTGTAGAATGGTTGTTATCAAAGTTGGATAAATTTGATAGTACTTATGAGTCCTACCAGACTAATAGTTTCTGGGTTCAGTACCTAACCAGAAGTGTTCTGGGTTCACTACCTAACCAGGAGTGGAACCCATGACTACTGATTGGATTTGGATTGATAATATATATATATATATATATATATATATATATATATATATTCTTTTTTAACCCGTGGGAAGAAGATAAATTTTAATATATATATTAAAATTTAAAAGTTAGGTGGATTAACTAAGAATCAAACGACCCTGATCATTCTATATTACATTGAGTTAGGTGGACCTGCATATCAAACGATCTGGCTTCTGTTTCGACCAACCTTTTTCCTCTTCTAAGTGCAAAATTTGTCTATGATTCCCCAACATAAGATTGATTGGCTACAGATTTTTGTGATGATGGATGAGTTCCACGTGTACGGTCCAGCGATCCCCCTCCACCCATGATACACCAATCCGTCATACCCATGGATCCAAATCCATACCCTCGTAATCATGTGGCAGGTTGAGAAGGACCCTTCACCATTATCCTATCTGAAAAAAAGAAAAAAGAAAAAAGGAAAAAAAAAAGAAAAAAACAAGTTACGAGGTTTTTATCGGTGCCAAAATGCCCTCCCGTTGAAAGGACGACAACTTTTGAACCGAGCGCGTGTTTGGCATAGGGGTATCACGTGTTTTGGAATGGGATTCATCAAAATTGTTACTGTATATTAGTTGATAATAAATAAAAATTTATGATATAATTTTGTTACAAAGTAATACTACTCCATATGAGTTTGTGCTGAATGTGATTCTCGGAATGAAGTACAAATGTTACATAACCTCAAATTTTATACTTAGTATAGATTAATACTTTGATGTAACGAAGTATATGAAATTGTATAAAATAAAAATTAAATTATTGATTTTTTTTTTCACTCAAACACACTTAACATCTGCAATGAATTGATTAACTTGTTATCCCAAAAAGTTTAAAAATAGTAAGTAGTATTACTATTACATAACCATTTTATTTTTCATTTAAATATTACGTGGGACACCTTTACCACCAGCTTAGTTTACCTTTGTGGGGGGAGTTTTAAGACAAAATGATTCGCGTAGCTAAATAATCTTGGAGCGTGTATTTCACGCTGCCAAAAATAGCGTGGATCACGTTCCTTGTCCTCGTCTGGCTCAGCCGATTAGCATAAAACACAACGCCACACACACTAGATTCTGAAAGAAGCGCTTGTGAGTTGTAGAGAGATAAAGAGAGAGCTTTACCAGAGTAACGGTTGAAGAAGCTAGCTGTAATGGCGGTTGCACCAACATCTCTCGCATCCCCTCCTCAGTTTTCTGGACTGCGTCGAGATCACTCTCTTTCTCTCTCATCCACTACCTCCTTCTTCCAGCACGTCGATTCTCACATCCGTCTCTCCTCTTCAAGAAAAGGTTGCAGAGGAGTCGTCACCATGGCCGGTTCCGGAAAGGTAATTTATTCTTCCATAGATCTATCATTTCATTTGTTCGGATTGATGGATTATGTTCTATTATCAATCTTCTGTTGTTTTTCGAATTTCATTTCCGTTGTTTTGGTTCTCAAATTGTGTAGGGAATGTGTGCAATTTTTAGAGTTTCTTGCTCTCTCTCTCTATGAATTTTTATCATATTAAAAGATAGACCTATCAGAGCATGTTCTATCTATCTGTTTTTGTTTTTCGAATTCTGATTTCAGTGTTTTGGTTATGGAAGTATAGAATGAATGTGTGTAATCTGAGACTCCTTTTGTTGAATTTTGGTATATTGTAAGATAAATCTATCAAGAACAAGGAGGGGAGAGGCGTGTCCTTTGCCCGATTATTAAGATTTCCAAAAAAATACAGTTAAAAAAATCGAATGATTAGACTAAATTACAAAATTACTAAATTTGAGAATCAGGATTTATATGCCATCAACTAGATTAAGTGGTTGTGGAAGTAACAAAAATAGCTCTCACAATAGTGCTCTTCCAGAAAAAAAAACTGAGTTGACAATGAAAGAACCAATTTCGGAACATAATTAAGCATGTAAAGTGATCAAACTTGGAATTTATTTCATAAAAAGGCACTCAAATGCAACACTATTGTCTCAATGTTGATATCACATCAATGTGGGTTTCCCACACTTACAACATTGTTATATACACTGGCCTGCAAAATGTACTGTAATTAGCCTTGTTTCAATCCTATCATCTAGCGTTGGTTTGTGTGGACTTGCATTGTGTCGTATTAATCTTACCATAATAGCCATTAATTCTTTAGTTCGCAAGTGCCAACACCTTTATTCACCTTGCTGTCTATTGCCTCATTCATTTTAAATTTCTCTCGTCCTTATCCTCCAAACACCTAAACTCCATTCTGAACTCCTTGCGATTTGGGCTATTGGTTTTGCCTATTTCATGGCAACCCACATATATATGGTTACTCCATCCATAAAAAAAATTTCGAACAGTAATTTTGGTGCCTTCTAATTCTGGGTAACCACATAATGCACATTTGAATCATTCATTTAACTTCCTACATCTGTAAATTCGGTGAGAGTTTGATTGATTCTGGCAACTAAACATTTTCAGAATGGTTGTTTGTTGTTTTCAGACAGCGCCACACCTTCAATTAAAGCTATTTTTTTTTACAACTTATGCATTATTCTTGAGCTCATTTAGCAATTCCTTCCTCGGTAATTTTCCTGGATTAGTTCATGTTCCTTATCCAGTGTATACGGTCAATTAGATATATGATAGGTTCCTGTTAATGTAAGTTTTGAGCATGCTTTGTGATGGCATTTACTAGATTAAAATTTTATTGTAAGGCTTTTAATTGGCTAATCAACATGGTTTTCTGATGGCACAACCATTTCTAATATTGATATTTCATCCCAATCATGTCTCATTTCCGTTCTTGAGACATGTTCTGTATTTTGCTTAAAATTGCTAGTTTTACATCCATGTTTCTTAGGATGATATCATATCTCAGGTCCTTTACTCAATGAACTTTAATATTTTCCTTTGTTATTTTGTGTTAAGTATTCTCCCTGTTTACTGTTAGAAGTTTGATCTTTTGCTTTTCTTTTTCTTGCAGTTCTTCGTCGGTGGCAACTGGAAGTGTGTAAGTATCATTTCCTTTATCCATATTCCTGTCATTTGGGGAGATGTCTATAGTCATGTTTAGTTTTTGTTGTTTCCAAAATATTATCCTCTTGGGTGTTTGTTGACTTTACTAATAGATCTTGGGGACTAGAAAGACTACCGCTCGGGCATAATAATGCTATTAATAGAAGTTGCATCAGCAAGTTCCTGGTGTGATGCACGGAATGGAGTAATTTTTTTCACTTTAATCAAGATATTGAAAGAGAACAAGTAGAACAGACTGACCTCTAGGCTCTAACATTAAATAGGCTTTTAAATGTGGTCCCATTATTTTCCAGCTAGTAGGGGGGTCTTCAGCGATTAGACATTCTTCTTCCTGTTCTTTTAGCTATCTTGGTGTATTTGATTTTGTTACGACAAACGCAGCAAACCCAAGAAACAACCAAGAAACACGACGGAAAATAAACACGCCACACACAAAGAACACAAAGATTTAGCGTGATTCGGCGAAGCCTATGTCCACGGTGAATATCCGACGAAAGAATTCACTATGTGACAATCTGGAGATTACAAGCCTCCCAAACCCTCGCTCTCACTCCTTTTCTGCGATTTTCAGTGTCTCTTGATCATCCCACTCCAAATGTTAAGTGCCCTTATATATCGGGCTACCGCAAGCAAAAAACCGGGTCAAGAATTTTCCTCGAGGGCACTGCCCCCAAGCAACGGGTCGTCGGGTCGAAATCTGGCCACAACGCGACCCATAACCAAATTCGGGTCACAATGTCACAGATTTAAAATTGAGAAGGTGGATTAATGAAAAAAAGTCTGTCCTTTAGAAGGGCATAGGTTGTTGATGAAATTTCAGGAAAAAGGTTAAGATGTCGTCATTTTGTTTCAAAACATTTTATTTAACATTTTACTTATAAAAATAAAATAAAATAAATCGTTTGAGAACATTTTGTCAAAATAATGACCGCAATGATTCTCTTCCTTCAGTCAAATTTTAAATTCTTTAGGTTTAATAACGATTTATGATGAAAAAAAACTTTAATTATCTTGGGATGTCATACTGAAAAGACAGGGTTAGGACAATCTAGTACATGTAGGATAGGGAGGGCAAAATGTGAGATCTAATTTTGACGAGGATCGTATGCTCTTTAATTTTATATCAAGAAAGGAAAAGTATGAAAGGAAAAATATATATATATATATATATATATATATATATTATTGAAAACTATCATGCAGTAAGTGCCTACAATGTAATTTGTAAGGTTTCTCCCTTAAGCTGGAGCTAAATCCATCTTGCACCGCTTTTGATTCATATTAGAAAAGTCTTCTTTACTAACTGCCTAAGTTTGAATTATATCAAGCTGATTCTCTGCTTTAGCATAGAACTTAGTTGCCGTTTTTGTTAGTAGCATGCCTCTTATATAATATCTTTATGCTTCATCTTGCTTTGTCCTCACATGAAACACTAGATAATCAGCAATGCAAATGACAGGTTCTTTTTGTTTGGAATTTCTCATCCTTTTTATCTGGTTCCATATTTATTTCAAAACTTTGCTAGCATTTATGCAAGGTTGCATTTCTTATAGAAAAATAATGCAGGTTTATATTATACTATTATATTTGTGACTTAAATTTCATGGCTTTTCTTTTACAAATTTTTTCTTCCTGTTCATGGTATGGATTTTGCAAACTTCATTTCTACACCCCCCACCCTCTTGTTGGATACATTACTGTAGGCACTGATAAGGTTTTGTTCCTTATATCTTTTGGTTGGGGTTTGTTTGTTTATTTGACCTTTTTGTTCTTACTCTATGTTTTATACAGAATGGCACAAAAGATTCTATCAGTAAGCTTGTCTTGGACTTGAACAATGCAAAGTTGGAGGCTGATGTTGGTGAGTTATTGTTGAACATTCAATATATTATATATTTATCTGGATGAAGTGAATATTGTAACATCTGTGAGTGACTTGAATGTACTTATCCATTATTTGTAGCTTTCTATAAATTCCAGTTATCAGACAAGCATGTGATAGGGGCTAAAGCTTGTCAGACTTCTGCTTATTGAAGTACATATCTTTTCTCATAATCAAGTATATAGGTCTATCTCAAGTTTAACCTATGCTGTTTATAGTTGCGTAGAATTACAGAGTTCTAAACAAGGACAAATTGTATGTTTTCTTCAATCCAATCATGAATTCTGGACCCGTCCTGCTTTTTAATGTGGGCAGTATGAATTCAGGATTTCAGGGGACTTCATTTAGCTGTCTTCCTAATTTTTTGAATATAAAATATATCACTATCAAACTGTTATGATGTGTGGAGAAAGAAGGGAATCATATTTTAGCTCAAACAGAAGGTTTCAACTTTAGTTCACATATTTATGTACTCGATTCTTATTTAAAAGTTCAATACCTATTTGATACCATTTCATTTTTTTTTTCCCACATCCTTCCATATAGATTAGAGATGGTGACCGATCACAAATTGTTGAATGATGCTTGAAGAAATAGCTGTTCAATGTCTATTAGCTGTTATGTTGTTTGCAAATCAAACCATGATGTTCCTTTCTGTATTCCCGCTGTTTAAAACTGAGTTTTTAATCATTTTAAGTGCATAAACAGTGAGGAACTAATGGGAAAAGATGATGATATTAATGAAATGTATAAAAGTTATTTTGAGAAGTTGAATGAAAATCATATAGGAAGTTCAACCTTAAAAGAATATGATAAAATTAGGAAACTAGAGAAAATAAAAAATTTTCATAGGACAAGGGTGCTTAAGGTAAAATAGCATTAAGGAAAATGAAAATAGAAATAACTTAAAGACCATATCAGATTTTTTATTGAGGCTTGGAAGTACCGAGGAAATGATGGCCTGGGTAACAAAATTGTTTAATAATTACTTTTAAGTTGCTTGATGGATGGTGAAAAAGATTTCTTGTACCTTAGAAAACTTCATTAAACTAAACTTAACTCTTCATAGAAGGTAGAAATTGGAGACTATATCAATTGTAAAATTAAATCAGGAGGAGTGCTGGATGCTTGTGGTGTACTTGTGATGACTATATACTTCTAAAATTGAAAGGTAAATTCTATGACAAGCATTATATCAATTTTTTTTTTTTTTTTAATATTGGTAAGAAACAATATGCTCATAAAGTGAGCATATACTAATATCAGGTAGCATGTGGCTTAACTAAAGTTAAGACCTTTGTTGTGATAAGGCTTGTTGTAACTGAGTTGAGGTTTTTCATTTATGAACCACGGATATAGACACGTGACAAAGGTACAATAAAATATGGGCATGACTATATGTCAAATTTCAAAAAAAATAGGACACACAAACATGCAAAGATACTCAAAAATAATAATAATATAATAAAGTATTATATATACATAAAATTATTTTTTTCCCATTTTATCCACATTATCATAAATGTTATCACAAATTTGGAGTTTAGAACAATTATATTATTTTTCTAACTAACCCATAATATGATTTAAAATTGCATCGAAACCCCATTTTTCTGAAAATTTAATTGCAAAACTACCCACCGTGTCCTGAAAGTGTCCAAATGTATCCCTGCTGTGTCTCATTCATGTCCAACTAAGAAAAAATAATATTCAAATTTCAAGACACTTCTAACTGTGTTAGACACGTGTACAACACCGCCACGGCACCACCCCCAAAGGGGTGTCTGTGCTTCCTAGTTTTTCATGCATTCATGCATGCAAACTTGAAGAGAGAAGCCTTTCGATGCAACTTCTATAGGTATTTCCTCTTCAAGAGTACGGCCTTTGACAACTTTTGTTGATCTTCGCATCTTAGCCTGACATTTTCTATGTTGTACAATCCATGTCATTCTAGAAGTCCGTGGGAGTCATTTAGTTGCTATTGATTATTTATTTATTTATTTAGTTTCCGGTAAACCAGTGCCAAATTTAAAAAGATCTAACTGTCAGTCATGTCTTTGGAATTTTGCAGATGTTGTTGTAGCCCCTCCCTTTATTTACATTGACCAAGTAAAGAACTCATTAACGGATCGGATTGAGATAGCTGCTCAAAATTCTTGGATTGGAAAAGGTGGAGCCTTTACCGGGGAGATCAGGTTATTGTGCTTTTCCTTGATTAGCTCAAATTGTTCTTGACTTGCCATTCTATGTTCTACTGGGGTCGGGAAATAGTCTTTGTTAAGGATATGTTTCTTGAGTTGAGAGAGTTCCTTGACCATAGTAACCATATTGTGCACTTTACTTTGGCCCTCGAAAAATATATTAACAGATTGGAAAATTTAATAAAGAATTAAGTCACTGTTTGGTTAGAATTTCTAAAGATATACAAAATGAACACTTTGAGGTGGGCCTGGCTTTTTCCTGACATGGAAGATTCTATTTGTCGGACAGCCTATTGTTGGACACATACTCTACAATGTGCCCAACCATTCCTGAAAATACCAGTAATCAGAGAAATTTGTTTGAATTGCATAATGAGCTTGTCTAAGTTCATTTCCCTTTGAATTCTGTACCATTTTTGCTTGTGCATATCAGTTCACAATAATATGTGCCCTTTAGTGCTTGTATTATTGTTTGGCTCCCTAGTTTGCGCACAAATGTGGGAATTTTGGCCACGATAATTATTGCTTGGTTTTTGGTTTTGGTGTGACTTCTGTCTGGTGGGCTTTCCCCTAGCAAAAGGGTTTTCTAGGCAGTCTTGGTTCAGGATTGAGAATCTTCAAGGACCCGGATCTCAGGCTGAGTGTTTATCTGCTTATTGCATTATCTTTATGCTGTGGAAGTGATCTAGTCATATTTGCACGGGTGCGGTTCCTGAAGTGATGAACCAAATACATTTTTTGTCTTTTGGCTCTAGTTCTGCTTTGATGACGTTTCCTTTTATTTTATCATAATGTTGTTGAATCTAAGCTTAAACTTTCCCTTTTTTTTTTTCTTTTTTTTCCCCTTAATTGGTACTCACACACACATGCCTCCACCGAGGCTCGTACGAGCCTGGTATCGCTAGGCCACTGGCCTGTTGGTAAAATTTATCTTTATTCAATCTAAAAATTTCACATAATTAATAAATTTGCCTTCGCTGTTTTGTAGTGCGGAACAATTGAAAGATATTGGCTGCAAATGGGTTGTTCTTGGGCATTCTGAGAGGAGACATGTTATTGGAGAAGATGATCAGGTAAGATTTCCAAAACCTTTTTAAATTTTCTTTTGGAACGTCCGAGAAAAAAAAAAAAATCTATATAAAAAAAGAAGTTCAAATATTTGTATCGCTGGGAAGGTCGATAATGGGCTGAGTTTATTTAAGTAACTTGACTGAAGCACTGTCATTGTCAGTTTATAGGAAAGAAGGCTGCTTATGCCTTGAGCCAGAATCTTGGTGTTATAGCATGTATTGGTGAATTGCTTAAAGAAAGAGAAGAAGGAAAAACTTTCAATGTTTGTTTTCAGCAAATGAAGGCTTTTGCAGGCAAGTTTCCTTTCATATATTATTGTTCTGATTAATTTCAGTCAATAATAGGATCTTATTGTGAAGTAGTTACTCTTCTGTAATCTATCCACCAAAACAACTCGTTTACATGATGTGCAGAAGCTGTGCCCAGTTGGGATGATGTAGTTGTTGCATATGAGCCTGTATGGGCAATTGGAACTGGTAAAGTGGCCTCGCCCCAGCAAGCTCAGGAGGTACATGCAGCTGTCCGCGATTGGCTCAAAAAGAATGTTTCAGCAGAAGTTGCTTCTAAGACACGTATTATCTATGGGGGTACATTTTCAATTTTGTTTCAATACGATCACATATTCATCTGACTTCAAGTTTGTGATTAGCATGTATTACAAAATATGAAAAGGCATCCAGCCTTAATTTTTTTTAGGATCCTTATCATATTTTCTATGTGATACTGTTGGATTTGTGTCAAGACTGTCAAGTATACACTAGTCTTTATTACCTGAACAGAGGAAGCATACGCTGCATTTTCCTGACGAATTGAGAAGAAAAAACATGACTTTTGGGAAATGTGTTGGTGCAGTATGCTCAGTGATAGTTTTGTTTCGAGGTTGGACTTACAAAATTTTACCCCACTGCCAATTTCTATCCTCACAAGCTCTGATTGTTTGAATGCCCCAGGACTTACTACATTTAGAAATGATTTGACTTTTTCCAATCATAATCCTTACTCAGAACCAGTATCTCTTCTGCAGGATCTGTAAATGGGAGCAACTGTGCTGAGCTTGCAAAGCAAGAAGATATTGATGGGTTTCTTGTAGGTGGTGCTTCCTTAAAGGTATTTATCACACCGTCCACTATTAGAAATGTATATCAAACTGAGTAGTGATTTATATGATTCCTTCTTGTGTTCCGCATCATATGGTTTATCATATACAAGAGTTTTTAACCGTATCATGTGATTTTCTTTGAGAAGTAATCAAAGAAGGTTCTAAAAACCATTAAGAGTGTGCACTTGTCATTAGTATATCATAGATCAAGCATGTATCGGCTGTCACATGTATATTTTAAGATAGAGCAGATGTGATGCATATTTTTGTACACTAACATGCTGAATGTACTATATCTAATATTTCATGTTGTCACTGTCATAAAGGAAAAAAACCCATGATGCGGTTAGAGGCTTCACTTGTTTTCTTATTGATTACTAGATATTACACTCGTTTGTAAGGAAAATTTGAAAGAGAAACAAGAGGCGTAATATTTCATTCTCCAAATGTTGGTTTGTATTCATTATTGAAGTTTGATTTGATGTTTTACAGGGTCCAGAGTTCGCGACCATTATCAATTCTGTAACTTCCAAGAAGGTTGCTGCCTGATCATTGGTGTTGGTTTGACACACCAGGGCAAATAAGTGGCTTAGAGAAATAGCTTTAGGTGGAAGCATCCCGTGACAAATATATGAGCCAGTTCTGTTTGGTGGGGATTTGATCATTTTCTTTCCCCTCAATCCCATAAAAACGTAAACTATCCCTTAATTTTTATCAGACTGATTATTACATCTGTTTGAACTACAGTTACCAGCGTAATGGAATATAAATTGTGTTGGTTTGCATGCTTCCAAGTTAGAATTTCAATTTTACTACCATGTATTGGCATTTGGCAGACAGACTTCTGGAAGGCCACAATGCGTCTTTTAATTTATAATCAAATCTAATTCTAAGAGAAAAACTACAGCTGGAAGAATTTCAACTTTATGGCACAGGGCACTTCACACAATTGACAATATTTATAAATAATCCTGCTATTGTTTGAGTTGCGTACCTGCATGACATAAAAGTGAAAGGTAAGTTCCATAGTGCATGATGCGTGTTTTAAAAGGTTTGCTCGAACTGTTTTAAATTTGTATTCACTAATTTATTTTATTTTATTTTTATTCTATAGCGGTATTGGACGGGTTCCCAAAAAAAATTCAGACTGAATAAATTTAAAATAAATTATATATATATATATATATATATATATATATATATATATTGTGGGTAGTATGGTCAAATATTTAACATTAATACAAATAAAAATATTGTTTAATTTTAAAATTATCATAAAAAATGGAAGAGGAAAACTATAGTTAGCAAAATAATATTTATTTATATAAAAATTATTAATCGGGGTGGGTTCAGGGCTTTGTAGGTTTCAAACTATCTTTCCAAACATGCCTCTAATCCTATTAGGATGATTCCAAAACTGTCCTAATAGGGGCAAGGGCTAAATTGACATCCCATCTCTAAGAATTGTATATCCACTTTTTAAAATTACAGTACAAGTATTGCACGTAAGAAAACCTATATTAGAATCACTGAACTGGGGAGACTGCAAACGAAACATATTATAATTAAAATTGTGACAATTAGCAGGAATGCAAACGAAATTTCGAGTTCTTGTTAGCAAAAAACTTTTTTCCAGAAAATGTGCTTTTAGTTTTAGCATTTTCAAATGTCATACTTAAAATGCTTTGAAAATTTTGGAATAAACAAACACGAGTTGCAGAACGAAATATGCCGATGCTAATAGTATACCTGAACATGTATGTTTACAAATATGTTTACATACACAAACACTTTTTATAACTGGATCTATACAAATACAAAATTGTATATGCTTTCAAATTTAAGTGCATATTTACTACCTTCATACATGCTTGCTTCATTCTTCTCACAACGGAAATTGAACCGGACAATTGGTTTAACCCTGACTGACATCCGATTCTATCGGGACACTATCAACCAGTAGCGCCCAGCCTGTTCATTCTTCGTCTAAATCATCCAGTTCCATGCACATCGCTTCTTTGTACTCTTAAGGAGTCAAGTCGCACTGCCTTACGACCCTCAATCCTAGGGATATGGAGAAGAAGACCCCAGCAGCACTGTCGGCTCAGTATGCTATAGTGTACAATGTATTGAGAATTGGTAAATGATTCTTACATACAAGAAAAGCATACACCAATGCAAATGTGCTATTTCTTTCTTTTTGGGTTAGAACCATCATTATAGTTGAATTTTTTTATACTTTAGGGACAATTCATACCAAATATTAATCCTAACCCCCAAAAACAAGAACAAAACAAAAGGAAAGAAAAAGAAAAACCACCACCAACAAAACCGACAATGAAAACCAACCAGACTGCAATCAAAAGAGTTCGATGCCAAACTAGAAAATTGGAAATAGGAAGTTGTATAGAACACGAATCTGAAGAAGATTATACAAGTGCATTTTAGGAACAGCATCACAGAATACAGTTTCATTTCTATAAAACAGGGTTGAACTTCAACAACACTGATGAGGACAACAGATTACAGCTTACATACAACAATTTAGGTATGCACATTTCTTTTAAATAACTTTAAAATGTTACCCCTTTTTCCCTGTTTTGTTATTCAGATCTCCAGTTGCGCCTATGATTGGGGCCCAAAAAGAGGAACAAATTAAATTTAACGAGCCGCACTTTTTGATTCCCGCCAATTCAATTCTCTCACTGTGAGAATAGTTGCCAGTGGAAAAAAAAAAAATAGCATTTTAGCTAACAAAACCCACCAGAGAATATATCTTTGTTAGACTTTTCCTTCGTATTGGAAAAACAGTTTGTAATCATGTTGCAAAGTTGCCAGGGTGCTTCTGCAGGGACCCTCTACAATACAATAAGAACAGAATAAAAATTAGGGCTCAAATAATATGTCATTAAAGACATCAATAATCCAAATCGGAATGAGATTGATTACCTCCAAATACCGTATGAAGATGTTGAAGATCATCTGCTGAACAAGCATCTATTAAAGCATAGACACCTGATCTCAACGCTTCATCTATTTCCCTGCAAATCAAAGGTAAACCATTTCTCTAATAATACCGTATGAAGTATTTAATGAAGTTGGACAGAGAGGAACAATATAGAGATCATAATAAGCTATTAAAATGATAATCAAAGTTTTAGATAAGATGCTAGACTCCACCTTCTGATTCCTGTTCTAAGGGGACCATATCCAGAATAAATCCATATGTAATTGGATAAGAACTGAAAACAGTGCTGGCCAAAGACATCCTTCTGCTGTCTCATCTGCAAGAAAATGAAAGAAAATCACCGAGGAATGGGTGTTACGAACACATAAAAATAAATACTTTAACACAACCACTGTCAAGGGTCTAGATAGGTGTTAAATGTTGATAACATAACAGTGGCAATGTATCATTCCGCTGGCCACCATTGATTGTGAAATATAAGTACTTCTGTGTTACTAAATTATCGAGCGCTTACAAAATCCCAACCGTGTGAAGGCCTGATTAACTAGTTTGAATACAAGTACTTCTTTGTCATAGAAGAAAACAAAGATATTATGAATCACAGGAAAAGCCCATCAGATCCAAATGAAGTGAAAAGAACAGGTCTCCTGGATGTGTTATTTACGTAAAACTGATTAGTAGAAAAGTGAGGCCCATAGCATAATTACTCTATTCACTCCACCCCATGTAAGAGGAATTTCTAAACCTCCAATTACTCCCATCTACCAGGAAAAAGCTATCAAGTCCAGAAAATATGTGAACGAGATTAGAAATTAATGCAATTTAGCGAAGAAAATTTGATTCACTGCAGACATCATCCATATACATGATATTTTGCAGATTCCTCAGTTGTTGGTAGACCAGCTTAGCTATCAATGTTCCTATTTCGGAATCTATATATAAGCGTTTTCATCAAGTGAAAAGACCTCTATGAACAGATTTTGTAGGAGAAATATTCCCAAGTTTTGAAAATGGAGTCTTAGTTCCCCCTATAATGAAGAGATCTTCTCCATTTAATAGAGAAAATATATAAATAGAAACGGAGATATCCAGAATGAGCCATGTAGATACGTGCTGCATTATTACCACCGAGTATGTTTGGGCCTTGTGGCAATGACTGCTGACCATATGATAGTAGATCATTTCTTTGTCCACAGGATGGTTCCTTGTGAACTTTAGCCCCCCAGCCAACTGTGTTTAAACATCATCCATGAATACTAACTGAAGTTTCGATAATGAATGGCATAAACTTATGGTTATAGGAAGGTAACGGGTCGGGAAAGATGGAGCCCTATTGTCCTGTTTCGCACCTTATTTTATGTACGAAAATCTCAAACTAGCATAATCTGTGATGTCTAAAGAGGGAAATCAAAATCCAAACACCAGCGTGCAAGGGACCTTCCTCTATAAAACATTGAAGTGCTTGGAAGAAGGGATGAATGCTCATGGCATTTTGTTTACAGAAACAATTCTCACCTCTTCATAAATTCTTCGGAGAAAACAAGCACATTTCACTCCCTCTTGTAGCTCCCATGCAAAGTAACCTTTTCTGACAACTGGATCAATATCAACCATCTCCAGACAATCAAGAAGAACAGAAACTGAACCTTCAAGTAGAGGAATGCACCGCTCACATTCACTACAAATTACAAAAATTTGTACAACAGAATTAATGTCTAATCACACCTGTGCATGTGCATATGTGTATCTATCTATATATATATATATATATATACAGAGTGCGAGAGAGAGGAGCAGAATTATAATATGAAGTGATGGGAAGAGGAAAAACAGAAGGCTACAAATCATATCTTTAAGTAAGAAGCACAGGGAAAGTGCACCTTTTGTGATGCTTAAGTACGGTACACAACAATCGGCAGGATGCAGCATATAAGTCTATTGAAAATTGCCGATCTACAACAAAGTTCATGCTTTCTTCAGACTTAGCTACTTGAGTATCCAAGAACCTCAGAGAATTAGATAGAGCGGGAATTTTGGAATTTCTAAGCTGGAGGAGATTGTGGAAAAGCACAGCAGGTATACTCACGGACTGCCCAATATGGCAGGACTCCATTTGGAACAGAAAGTGTTTTCCAAAAACCCTTGTCAGTACCTCAACACACATAAGAACGACTGATCCTGGGTCGGGATTGGAATCACACTTATTAGGGACTACATTCCCATGGAAAATTGCTGGACCCTGCAAATGCACAATTATGTTGAACAGACAAGCAACTAAGTTCTGGATATGTTCTCTAACCACACTCGAACGCTTGCTTCCTACAAAGCACGACAACAATTAGCACAAAAAAATATTACATAAAAAATAGAATATGCACCTATGCTGATATAGACATGCGCTCAACATATAAATACCAGTTTTCAACAACGGCATGCTTTGCAGAATAAATATTCTCTCTTCTATTATGGTTCATAAATCAATAGTTCTAGATTTAGATTTTAATTTTAAAAGGACAAAAACAATAAGAAAACATATTGACAGAAAGCATTCCGTTTTTATGACTAAAAAATGTCTAGTGCTCTAAAAAACAAAACCAAAAAAAAAAAAAAACAATCTAGCAAAATGTAGACTAAGAAGTGCCGAAACTTTAGAGAAGAAATAGCATTCATGTCGGACACCAACACTCTGGTTGGGGTGTGTGTTGGCGGGGGGTGGGTTGTACAATTGTTAAGAGAATACAAATCATTCCTATTTGAGTATGTAAACACCTGCGTACGTGTATATGTCCTATCTTTAGTGTCAGTTCATCAAGAGATAAGGATGGTTACTGATTATACTGATTCATAACTCACAAATTTCATATCATAACAATTAAATAGCATAATTTCTAATTAAGAGGAAGTATTTGTTGCATAAAAAGTATAAATATATACTCACATTTATTTATTCCATTTTCTTGCCCTTATCCTGTCCCAATTTTTTTGGATTCCCCTTGTTGGCATGTCCATGTTCCATGTCCGTGTATTTGTTTCATCGACCACATATCTCCATTTTCAATTTAATTTTTGGATAATAATGCATAATAGTTATGAAATTGCAGAAGGATCAGGAAGTATTTCCATTTTGTTTTAAAGGGCAGAGTGAAAGAAAAGGAAAAAGACAAGGCTACATTACTCCTGCATCTCAAGCAAGACTTGTACTACTTTAAAGCTTGCTCAGCCCAACATAACAATATTCTCGTCTACACAAACCATTACACTCTGAGAAGTTGTCTACTCCTCATGTTATCTGTCGTCAATCATATAACAAAAGTATATATGCTGTAACAACAAAAGGAACCGTGAAGACAAAAGGTGACAATATTTCTATTTAGTCGAACTTCTTAGTTGGCATGGAGAAGTATAAAATGATAACCCTAACAACAAGATTATTCAAACTTGTGTTTCCAGTTTTCAGCATTCACTTCCTCTTTTTCTCACTTCATTGTAACTCCAAAACATTGTCAAAATTCATTTATGCTTAAGGGGTAACCAAAAAGGAACACTAAATGAAAAGATCAATACCCAAGCAACTAAACAACATAAAGATTATATTTCATATGACATAGTGCATAGCATGGAAAGAGATCAAATATTGGGAACTTTATAGAAATTGATAAATACATTATGTATCAAATGACTTTTAACACCTTCGAGGTCATAGAAATAAGGTAAATTCATGAAGATTTCCATATTTTTTAAGGCAAAATATTTAACTTTTGTAATGGATTCACTAAAAATGATCAGTCCCCGACTAATATTTAAGAACTAAAAAGAAGTCAATTCTTGAAAATCCAAATGACACAATTAGGAGTTAGGAAGCACAGACACGGGACACGCAATACACCAAATATAAAAAAATTGGGCACAGCAAGGATACGATAATAAAATGATAATATAATTTTATTATATAATAAAAATAATTTTTTTTCTCAATTTCTCCTCTATCCATAACCCATTTAAGTTAGGCCCACTAGACATTTTCATATTTCTTTTAAAAAACATAAGTTTTCATGGGCCTAAATTTCATTAAACTATAAAGAAAGAAATCTAATCCCGCCCCCCCCCCCCCCTTCCCCCTTCCTCACCCTCTTTCATTCACCGACATCTGTCTCTTCCGGCAGTTGTTCTCTCTCATCTCCTCATCTCTTTCACATTTTTCATCTTTAATCTCAGTGATCTCTCTCACCTATTGTCTCCCTCTTTGGTATAACCTTATACATCTCTACATCAACTGATTTTGAAGACATCACTCCTACTCACAAGTCTTATCTACAGGAAATTTCAAGTATCATAAACCGAAAATCACGATCTTGACATAGGAGAATATGATCTGTAATTACATGATTTTTTATCTTGAATGTTCTCAATGGAATTTTTTGTGTGTATATTATATAGAGAGAATGGATACACACACTCACACACATACATATAGACATCAATCATATCTTCTTCTCTCTGTTTAAAAAAAAAGTTCTACGGTGTCCTCCGACGTGTCCCGGCGTGTCGTCCAGGTGTCCATTCCATATTATAAAAAATAAAAAATAAAGATGGGACATGTCTACCAGGTGCCGGACACATGTCCGACACAGATATGCTGCATCCTACCAGCGTATCCGTGCTTTAGAGATAAGGAGAAACAAATAACTCAATTAAATGCTATAAAACGTAAACATTTAAAATTCTACAAAGGACGCAATAAGGATAATTTGTCTTCATGTGTTATCAGAGTACATTTCTTTATCGATAAGTTAATATGATGTTACCTGCAACAAATTCAAGTACCAAATCGAAGCAGTCAATGGCAGCTGCAACAGTCGAGGAAACTGTTCCCCCGTCTGAACTTCCAGTGTGTATTTCATAGACTATCGTGCAGCCTTTACGCACTCCAACTAGTGCTCTCTCTAAAGCCTGAATAGCAGATAATAAATGCAACTCTGATGGTTTCTTGACAAAATTTTTGAAAGACATTCTCAACCTAGCTTTAAATTCATTTAAGCAGTATGGTCCATGAGAAAGAGTTGATTCAGATAATCCAATCTGACCATTCAGTGTCTTGGTACTGGACTCTGTCTCATGAGATGCTAGAGTAGCTTCTTTTCCCTGTAAAGAAATGCACTTCCCTATAGCCCTAAAGTGTAAGTCGATCAGCTTGGCATACACACTTCCAGAAGAAATAGGATTGGTCAAAGGAAAATGACTCCCTAACACTTCAAGAAATGTTACAACACCATCTAAGCAAACAAAAGTAAATGGTTGTGGCACCTCGACCTTATTTGCCAGCTCCAGTAACAAAACTTTGGAAATCCCAATTAATATAGGTACCAAACCTGACGACAAAGAAGTGCAGTTGATCTGCAAATTTAGCCTCAGAATAGCTGAAGCAGCACCAAATAGCCGTCTGAGTAAAAATGCTGCTTCAGGATTTTCACCTCTCAAAAACCCCTGCAGCAAAGACTCCTTTAAACATTGTTGTTCAAATAAATCAGCCTTACTTAGAACACTGTCTAAATCTGATTTTTTTGAATGGGACCTTTTCTTCCGGACTCTTTTATCAGAATCATCCTTTTTGTCAACTGATGCAGGGCAGTTACTTGCAGTTCCAAAATTCTGTTGCTCTTTTCCATACAAGATATCAGTAGCATCACCAGAGCCTTTGCATGAACGCAACCCCAATAAATCATGATTTTCAAACTCTAACATGGGAAGAGTTTGAGGATCACATAAACTTTGGGGCAACTGATCCTCCTCAACATACAATACATGCAAGTAAAAATCTATGAAATCTGCAAATACATCCATGCAAAGGTTGATTTTATGGATAGGTTCAAATTTCCATCTTGATAATTTTGTTTTAATGTTACAAGCTTTTGCATCTATGTGGTCCAAGGCAGATGCTAGGCCCCACAAAAAACCTTGAAAGCAAGAAATAATAGAAGATATTTTCTTCAAATCCAGAACACCAGCATTCTTCTCTTTTAAAGCCTGTTCCTTCAAAGTCTCAGCTGTAAGGACCATAGCTTTCCATGCATCGATACATTTAGGGGAATCCAAGTATCGATCAGATTTAATTGAATCACTCTGTTCATGGACAACAACAGCAGAACTCGGTTGTTCTCCACAAGGTTCCCTGGCATTTACAAGGAAGTAAACTGCATGTGTAAAGCGGTCTTTGCTTAATGTAAAAAACACATAAGAAGTATGATCCATCAATGAAAAAATCATATCTTTCACTTGGGTAGCTTCGTCTTCCGAAAATGCATGTTCAAGCTTAATCACAGCAGACAATGACTTCAAAAGCCATAAAACAGGAAATGAACTCTCCGAAAGCATTCGAGTAAGTGAGGAATGACCAGTTTCCATCTTCTCTTCACAGGATCCCAGTATTAGACTTTTGAGGGCCCTCCGACAGGACACAAACAATCTGAAGAGCTCATAATGATCATGCGAGTATAATGCACCATGACAATCTACCAAGCTGCCAACTACAAACCTGAAACCCGCAGGTGCATTGCAAAAATGAAAGTTTGTATAAAGAATTTAAGAATAGTGCGTTCAGTAGAAAACTTCCAGGGTTAAAAAGCAAAATAAACATGTAGTAAATCCTATCATGGATTCTATGAAGGCATTTGGGGTAAAAAGAATAAAAATTATAAATAATAAAATAAATGAATATGATCCATGTATCCAATTTCTCTAAAAGCTTAAGCTAATAGAGATCCTTGTAACTTATTCATCTATTTTGCCAATGTTAGGGCTTAGTGTCATATGTTGGCAAATTTTGTAACAAAACTTACAAAAGCCAGAGTCTATACATTCATTTGGATAAAGTCAATTACCTCTTGATCCATTGGAGATGACCCACGAAGATGATCAACAACGATGAAGATGACAAGGGTAAAAAGGTAACTTGAATAACTTTGTGGATCACTAACAAATTAAGAATTTATAATTAAACATTGTGTAATAGCCCCACTCCACCACATCGTATGATATTGTCCGCTTTGGGCCCGAGCCCACATGGTTTTGTTCTTGGGTTTTACCCCAAAAGACCTCATACCATTTGGAGATAGCACAACCTACATATATAGCACTTCTCCTTTCTACACCTAGTCGATGTTACCTACTCCACCACATGGTATGATTGTCCACTTGGGCCCCTAAGAGGGGGGGGAGACCTTGTAGGCAGATGAGCGTGCGCGGGTGCAAGATCCCACATTGCCTGGGTGTGGAAATGGGAAGTGCTATATATGTAGGTGGTGCTATCTCCAAATGGTATGAGGCCTTTTGGGGTAAAATCCAAGAATAAAACCGTGTGGGCGTGGGCCAAAAGTGGACAATATCATACCATGTGGTGGAGTGGGTCGTTACAAATTGTATCTGAGCCAAAGCACAGCCGGAAGTGTGGCCATTGGGAACATTGGGACCCCTAAGTGGGGGTGATTATGGCAACCTATTTAGATGGGTGTGAATAGGCACTGGGCAAGCTACAAGTTGCACAATCCCACATCACCTAGGAAAGGTAAAGGTGAGGTACTTATGTGTGGTGGTTCCAACTCGAAATGGTATAAGACCTTTCAGGGTAAAACCCAAGAACAAAACCCTGTGGACTCGGGCTCAAAGCGGACAATATCATACCATGTGGTGGAGTGAGCCGTCACATTAAGTGACGACAAAATTTTGCATAATTTGGTTTGATTGCATTACAATTAATTTGCATGTTTTTTAAAATTGTTTCAATTGTTTCCTAACACAATTTAGCTATCCAAAAGTTTGTTTATGCAAAAAAATCAGTTCTACAGCATCAAAAAGAACAGTCTTTTTGTTTGCAGAAGGTTATCCCTGGCTGCTGGAAGTCAGTTTCCATATCCAATTTGACTTCTAAAACTTCCCAAAATCCTATACCTTGTGGATTACTCTTTCAAAAGCTTATATATCTACACTACTAGGGCTTTGAAAAACATAAGAGAGAATATTCACATAGAGATATTTATGCATCATTATTTTAATTTATCATATACGCTTTGAGATTTCATCTAGATGTGAGTGTGATTCATTGTTATTCATAAGAACCAAAGGAGATTTACACGTGAGGAATAGAAAAGCAGTGAATCCCAAAGTTGCTCATCAAACAATAATTGATGGTTGGGACGAGGTGTGACTGGAAGGCAAACAATCACTAGAAAAACAGATTCATGAGGAGCGGATGCTGTTGGAATGCGATGCATAAAACTAAATGACAACTATTTATTTTTTTTACATTTTCCATTAACTGTAGATTTCTAATTAATGAATATAATTATCAACATATTTGAAAATTTCTAATATATAAAACAACTATGTCTCACCACTGTAGAAGTGAAAAGAAATGAATCTAGGAGTTTCTACTTAAAGATGCAATTTCTTCTTCTTTTTTTTTTTTTTTGGGTGGTGGTTGGGGGGTCTGTGGTTAACTTGAAAGAGATGATTTCAAATACAAAATTTTAGAATGAAGGATGATATTTCTAAACATGTATGAGAGAGAGAGAGAGATAGAGAGAGAGAGAGTACCTTTCGAGGTTGAGAATAGAAGTTGCATAGAGAGAGAATGATCTAGTATTTAGATATCCTTTTGGCATCCAACACAAAAGATTGAGCAAACTTTGACAAGCTGCAAACTTCATGCTAATTGAAGGAATGGAGTTTTGTTCCTTGTAACACTCCTTAGGCGACTTATTAAGTGAATGAGAAATTGGTTCTGCTACAGAAGAACAGTCATTCATAACATGTTTGTTGCCTGAAACAACATTTGGTGAGTTGTCAAGCACACTTAAAAACTCTGACCAATTAGGTGATGAACTCAAATCAACCTCTCTGAAATTACTAAATATTGGTAATAATGACTTCTCCAGAATCCGGCAAAATCTTGATGCCATATGCCTGCAAATAAACTAGTAGTACAAAACACATTATGAGAATCAAGTGATGAAATGATTTCCACAAAAGCTTATATTATGGCAGAAAGCTTAAAATAAGATAACCATATAGAACAAACACGGACGGGAAGCGATAGAGAGAGAGAGAGAGAGAGAAAGGGGTGCAGGGATTTGTGATACATCATAATTGCATTAACACATGACAGTGTCACTGAGAAGCCCAATAGCATATGATCCACATGCACTTTCTGAGAGCAAACGCAAGTAAAAGAACACAAGTGTGTGCAGAAGTATGAGAGTTTGAGATTTACAATAGTATCTTACTTTTTGTTCATAGAAAACAGTGTCATTGAGAAGTTGCAATGAGATTTGATGTGCAGTGACTTCCTTCGGACCACCAGGTTTATTAGTGTTGTGCTTTCCAAATTCATCCAAACTGCTTCTTTCAAAGGGAAAGGAATTCTGGATTAACAGTGAAAGGAACATCTTCAACTTTTTCTTAGAAGCATGAGTGCACCAAATATCTATATTTTGACAAACAATCCACCAAATTGCACAAGGGAGCGACTTTTCATTCACAGCACCAATGCCAAAATCCCACGTTTCGTTTTCACGTAAAGCTAGTGCATATATATCCTTATAAGTTGCATCATCAAATGTGGAGATAAACAATTGGTCTTTATCCATTAGTGGGAGGTATTCCAACATGAAATTGGTCAGACCTGAAGCCTCTTGCTTGAAATCTGATACAGACATTTTCAACTTTTTGTTTTTTTCATGATACAGTGACATCTCAGTATCATCCATCACTTTTTTCCGACCGTTTCTCTGCACCAAATACTCATAAGACTTTATCAGCCTATTCAAATCAACAAGCCTCTGGAGAGCCATGGCATTCAATACATAAATCAGGGGGGAGCAATCTGCAAAAGTGTCTTGAAAATAAATGTCCGAAACAGTTTGTGCAATGGTAAGAAGAGAAGCTGAAGGTTGGACAATCCATGAAAAATAGTCATTATCCTTCCAATCAGTTCTCTCCAGCCAATCCCCTCCAGAGTAAGCAGCAAATAAGTCACCCATTACTTCTGACATCTTTTTTGATGTATCTGGAGGCACAAGACTGATTGCTTGCCGGTATAGGATTCTGCAGGACATATACAAACGAAAGAAGAACAGAACAACCCAGTGAGTGCAAAGCAAATCAGTTTTGGATCCAGCCACCATATCAAAAGCTCTTCCTGTAACTATTGAAATGATTTCATTAACATTATCTAGCCGTAGTGCAACCAGACTACTCATACTAGGACGTATTTCTGCTATCAAATCTTCCACAAGAACACCAATGAGATTACTGTTACCCGTGGTGATTGTCAATGAATCCAGAATTAGGGTGTATATATCAGATAAACCTCTTCCCAGAAGCTCTGCTTGCAGATCAAAGCACAGTTTGCTACAACTACTTGGTTTTCCAAGTTTGTTTGCAGTTGCCAAGGAACAATCAACTTTCATCCATTCCAGAGATTCAAAAATATCTGCTTTTAACTGCCGAATGCACCCACTTGCTTGCCCTTCCGGGATGGATGTAATAGCAGTGTAAATGGCAAGCCTGAACTCTTGTGAGCATAACAGTATTCTCGCTGATTTGGCATATGATTCATAATATAACGAAGGTGTGCAAGACATAAATGTTGCATAATTTATCTCACCATCACTGTCAGGTAATACCAAACGCCTCACCGCTTTGCAAAGTGCAAAAATGATATTATTCACCTGCATTAGTTCAACGTATAAATAAGGACAGAAAAAATAGCTCAAATTCAAAACCAAAAAAAACATAGGACATTCTAAGAAAAACAACACAGTTGAATGGAACTCAGCAAAAATATCCGCAACGCATGACTAACAGTAAGTTGCTACCACTATTACCCTAAAGAAAAACATGGGTGAATCACATGCCATGTGCATATGCATACAACAATTGACAAGGAAAGGCATGGAATCATGGCCTACTACTTTTAAAACTGGAACCCAAAATGCAAAATTAAACCATGTGATTAGGCTCTCCCACCACAAACGTTTAAAATAAGCCACCTGCAATCTGATAAGAAAACATTCAACTAACCTGGCGAAGTTCACTAAAAAGATTAACCAGCTGGCATCCAAGGTGAAGTATCTCTGAAGTCAATGGGCACTGATGAGGTTTTCCCATCAAAGAGAGGCCTAGGGCGGTGTATGAGAACATCATAAGCCATAATCTTTCCAGATCATTGCCGATGACCTCATATTCAATTTCCAATAAACTCCGTACCATGACAACAAGCTCCTTGGCTATTGAATTTAACACCTCCATATGTTCTCTCTTACCTAAAACATATGTTGTTGGCCAGAGCTGATTTATTTTAAAAGAAAATGACAAAACCATATTGTAGACCACCTTCAGGAAATTAAGATGAGAACATTCTGAGGTATCCTCTGTACGTATGTATACCTTTTCGTGCATAAAGCTGGTAAGTATTTTATTGATAGATCTGAGTTTGCAATGAACATTCATTAATGCAGGTCCCACTTCCAGTTCAGCTTGGAGATAATTATTAACTTCTAGCAACAAAAGCTCTGTAATATTTACAAAGAAATCAAATATTGACTTTCGTGTTTCTGCATTCATAGTACTTAAGCAATTTCTCTTTTCTGAAGCTCCCTTTTGCTTTTTAACACAATCAACAAACAAGCAGAACAGCTCCCCTATGCCCCCTAAAGCCAATATATTCTTCCCAGCCATAATATTTTCCAGCTTATCAAAAAGGTGTCTGTGATAACTTTTCATAACTGTTTTCAAGTCTTTTGGCATTCCATCATCAGATTTGATGTACTTTCCTGTACTCTGTAAGCTTAGAAATCCATCAATGTGAACAGGGTGGAACAACCCCTGAGATAGAACCTCTTTCACCAACTCCAATAAATTTCTTGTCCATCCAGCATTACTTCCATGAATATGAAGATGTAACACATTCAACAAATTCAATAATGGCTCAAGAAGCTTATCTATGAAATCACGAAATCCATTTTTCCGAGGTGGGTGGATCTTCAAAAACTTGGTAAATGGATCGAGTACAGAACATGATAATTGCAGGACAAAGACGCCTGTCTTGCCACCATCAAGCTCATCGTTAAGAATTTTCTGGACAAGCTCAATTATAGCATCAACGGTCAAAACCCACACATCTAAATTCTCATTTGAAACCCCACCATGGGATGAGAATACACACAAAATACTATCAAGAACAATAGTGTACAATTCAAGCACTTCGCCACTCAAAATTGAATCTTTGGAATGTGGGGGTGCAACATCCAGTCGGGATAACACATCTCTTGCAATGCATTGAATAATCCTTAAGAAGTCCCTTGAGAAGCTTAATGAAACATGCAGTTTCAAAGACTCGTCCAAGCAGAACTTGAAAATCTTCCAGCATCTATAATCCAAACATGACCCAGTAACTTCAGACTGAGGTTTATGCCCTTCACCCCTAATTTTCTTTTCGGAAGAAATCAACAGTGACTGGACCCAACTGTTGAGGAATACTATTACCCTTGAAATGCTAACCGTCTCTGAACTTTGATTGCTGTCATCCCCTTCTTTGTTAAGTCTCGATTTCACAAAATCAAATGCTAGTTCGACCTTTCTGCATTAAAAAATCCCTTGTTATCAACCCAAAAAAAAAAAAAAAACCTATCTGCCAATACAGTAAAATCAAATTAAAGAAGAAAAAATAAAATCTGAATTTCATTGATTTCCAATAAAAACAAAGAGCTCGCACGGAGTAAGCCAAATGAAGAATGAAACATCTCAGATTCTAAACTTCAATTTCTTTTCTCCCTCTTCTCGATTCTTTCTGTAATTTTCACTTTGTTTTGATAAACGAATCAATTTTCAATTCCAAAACGGAGGCCAACTTTCTTTTATTATTATTATTATTTTTTTTTTTTTTTTGCATACAATGCCAACACTTTCAGACAGAGAAACGAACAGGTATAGTACATATATTTTCTATGTGTGCATATATGTAGTGAGACAAAGAGAGAAACTAACACTCGGATATCAATATCTTTGTTCTGAAGTGATAAAATTAACTGTAGGTTCCTCCATGGAGGATCATCTAAAAACTTTTCGCATATTTCTCTTTGTACTTTATTTCCTTCTGGTTCTTTCGAGTGGTCGACACGAGAGGCTTTGCAAGGTCGTTCTTCGTCTTCGGTACTTCTTTGCTTTCTCTTCTTCTTCTTCGTAGCCTTCTGTACTTCAAAATCAGCCATTGTTGGGGTTCTTCCCTGAGCGATGTCCACGAAATTGATATCTAGGGTTTTGCACTTTGGGGTTTTAGGTCGTATTACTTACTCAGTTACTGTATTTGGCAAGCGAGCGAGTAGGGAGTGCATTAGTGCAACGACGTCGCTGATCTTTTGTTTTGAAGATATTTGGTATTTATTCGATTTAATTTAATATTGCTTTAATCTTTTTCTCTCAGGGGAAAAATAAAATAAAATATTTTATTTTAGCATCTAAAAATTCCTTTTTTTCATAAATATACATACATATATATATATATATATAAAATAAAAAAACCCATAATTCTAATATACCAGAACAAATTTTTTCTTCGAATTTTTATATGTAAAGTAAAGTTTGAATGCTAATACATGTTGAGCATGTTGTGTTGAAAATATATATATATATATATATATTAAATTATAAACTATAAATGTTAGATTGAATGGCATAATGGTAAGTTTCCAAAACTTTCGACATAAAAATAATTAATATTAATTTTATATTTTATTATTTCATCTATTGTTTAGTTACCTAATTGTTAAAACGTTCAATCAAATGAAAGTGTTTTATATTATTACTTAAATAAAGTTGATTGTAAGTTATTGAAAGGTGACTATTTACTTTACCTCCCCATTCATCATCATTATATCATTGTGCGTACAATAATTGCTCCCCCTTCGTGTATAAAACTATAAATAACCTATGTATATTCTCTTTGTAAGCATTAGTGCAACTAACATATTGAGTTTTTAGTTGGTGGCATTAAAGTTCATGGGAAATCATATACCGTAATGCCAGTCAATTTATTATATTCATCTACACTTTCAAACTTTTTGTTTATTTATTTATTTATTTAATTTATTTTTTAAGTGGAGTTTGGGTCCGGCCAACCTCAACTCATCTGCTAAATAAATTTTGAATAAAATTGAGTTTTATATCATTAAGTTAAATGAAATGAAAAAAGCACCAATTTTTTTTTTTCAAAATACAAAGTAAAGAGTTCAAATATGTTCAAAAATATTATGAGAGTATACTGGGGGCAAATAAAAAAGGAGGAGAAGAGAGGATGGAACAAGGTTTCTCGTACAGTGACATCGTTTTTATAAATATATTTATGATGCAATTTTTTTATAAATGTATTTATGATGCAATTTTTGTGTTTAATCGATGTAATGGTGACTTTTTTGTAGGTAAATACAACAATGGTGCTTGATTTTGCAATTATAAGTCACTTATTTTAAAAAATAAAAACAAATCAATGGGAAAAGAAGAAAATAAAATTTATTGCAAACTAATATCCTAATCAATGAGTAGTATAGGAAAGATAAGTACTTCACCAATTTAAGAACAAAAATATTGTCCGGTAATATTTAATTGAATACAAGTGCAAGTTTTTTTGTTTAAAGCTATCCATGAAATGACGTCTGTTGAATTCATTAAATTATATTAATAAATTTAAATAAGAAGAAAAAAAAAGTTACATACTACATATATCATATATAAGTGCAAAAAGAATAACTTTAACAAGTAGGAAAAAAAAAAACGAAAAAGGAAAGAAAAATTAGAGAAAAAATTTAAAGTTTAATTAATAAAGGAAAATTTAACTTTTTAAAAAAATAAAGGAATTAAAAGAATTTGAAGATAAAAATAGAAATGAAAAAAAAAATTATGAGATAATTTTAGAAAAAAGAAAGAAGAAAAATCTTATACTCTATATATTTTATAGTGCATGGCCCCAAGACAGGGACACACAAGCCCAAACCTAGTCAAGGCCCAGTGGGGGCAATTGTTCCCACTCAATTTTTTTTTTTTGCTATTATATCCTTACCAATTGTGTTTTTCTAAATTTTATATCTATAAATTTATAACATTAACCCCTGAAATCACAAAAAAAAAAAAATTCACTACTGTCCACAGCTCATAGTTTGAATCTTTGTATCTTCTTATTGTTAAAGGTCCTTACTTCTCACATAATTTTATAGGTCCATCCTATGAACACATGCCTCTTGTGAGCTTATATTGACTCGGCCTTGGTGCTCATTTGTATTGTTCACTCTCTTCGTATATCTTATTTTTTAGTCCTTCAAAATGAAAATATAATAAATAATTAAATACTGTGTGTATATAATAAAAATCATAAAATATCATCCTTTTTTTTTTCATTACCTTCGTATTTAATTACTAATCAGAGAAAAAGGAAAGAAAATACCCTCCTTTAAATCACATTTTATAGCGCATTAAATTTTTACATTTTTGGGGAAAAAAAAAGTATATTTCATATTTATTCACCATTAAAACCAAAAAATGCATTGAAAGTATGAGGTTGAATCAATTAGCCTTGAGTGCATCAAACTCCCCTAAATATTTTTTTCTCCCTCAAAAAATCCCCTAAACTATGGACAAAACATTTAACCCCCTCAACTATTCAATTAGTTGCAAAATGTTAAGTGGGTGGCCAAAGAAAGCACGTGCATGAGCAGACACGATATTCGCTGCATAATTTGAATTATTGTTGTTACGGACACGGTCACTGTATCTCAAGAGCCCGAGTCCCTATGCACTTCCTAACCCCACTTGTGCTCCAACACGTCACTCTTCCACCACAAACTGTCAGGCTCTCCGTACATTACACATACACACTAACTCCAATAAACCAAACTACGAAATCATTGAGATACAACATTCATATACAGTATATCCGTACATTACACATATAGGTGGCCGGCTTTGATACCCAAGCACAAATACGAATACAAAATATAAATACGATATGATATAAATACGACAATATTACACATTAAAAAAACAAGAAATGAGTACGGCGAGATACCCAAAAAGAAATAAAATTATATACAAAAATATATATTTTTATATCAATTTCATGTAATATTTCACAACACATAAAACAAATATTCACAGTCATTTCTTAATAAGTTTTGAACTTTTTTTAGCAATTATATTATGTATTGTTGTTGAAAAAGTTACTTTTTAATATTGAAAGCTTATTTAAAATGTGTTATCAAGTATAAGAGAAGTATTTGATACGCAATAAAAGTATAAGAGAAGTATCGAATATGTGTTATAAATTAAATAGTATGTCTTAAAATTATAAATACGTTTAAGAAATGTGAGACATAGGACATACAGAGACGTCACTCTCACAGATGTATTCATATTTCTGAAGTCACGGGTCAAACGCTTACTATTTGACTTAAAAACTTAAAATATTAGATAATACTATCCGTCTGTTAATATAAGTCCAAATTCATTTTCATCATATCCAATGTTTGACAAAAACTCTCTTACAATAGTATGTGACACTGAATCCAATGTGGGACAACAACACTTAAATTCATTGCTGTTTAATAGAATTAAATTGAAGTATACTGTCTTGTATATATATTTATAGTATTTGTACGGTGTACCTATGATATGTACATGTCTTTCCATTAATTGTTGTTTAATAGGAATTGGAGTATATTGTGCTGTAATATAATACGGAGTAACATATATTTACAATACAATGTACTAGCATGTCTTCTTTGAAAAGTACATGCTACATGTGTTATCGTTACACATCATACACGTCACTTTTCACCTAAACATATCAACTGGCTTCGCACATTACACACTCTCTCCTACACGACACTCGCAGCATACAACCAAACTCAAAATCAATTCATTGAGATCGCCTTTATCGTCTTCTTAGTGCGTTCCAGAGTTTAGGGCAAAAATATACAGATGTGATTGTAAACATGTATATATACATATAAATTACAGGTAAATGATGTATATATAGACGGTTGGAATCCTCTGATATGACAAGTCCTCGCACCCAGATTCACCGTTCTTTGCAATCGAGTGCTGGCCCACATCTCATTATTTGTGTTATCAATGTCTTATAAATTCACACTCTCGCAGTGATCCTCGTTTATTTCGATCACAGTCCCTTCAAGCTCTCGAAGCAACTGTAAGTTCTTGAATTGTGATTAATTTCCAATCTGCTATAATGTCTCAACAATTCGTGAATAATTCTTCTTATTTTATTTTTATTTGGGTGACATGGATTGTTAATAATGTGGGTTCATGCATGCATGTATTGACCCAACTTTTCTCAATTTGGTGTGTGTTCTTGATTTTTATTCTAATTTCTTGATATCTTTAATTAATGGTCTGCTGACCAAAATTTTTCTGATTATGTTTTATTTCTTCCCTTTCGATTATCGAAAAATATAATGAGGAATAAGGAAAAGGAAAAGAAATGTTGGTGAGAAAATAGACTTATAGGATTTAGTTGAATTGATTATTGGGTAATCAGTGTAATTAGGATTTAATTTATTAATTTTTTGCATCATTTTATCCTGTTTCAGAGCGAACCAAAGGAACCCAATTCTAATTTTTGAATGATTTTGTTTTATCTTTTAGATTTCACATCATTCAATCGATGGGTTTTAATATTTTATTGTTATAGTAAAACTGAATTTCCTTATCAGTTCGTAGTCGTACCATGCCTAACTTGTTAGGTATGACTTGTTATGTATGACAGTTAATCTGATTTTTGTATCTGTCCTGTTAAGTTTGTTAGTTATGCATTTATATATATATTTGAAAAATTACTCAATCTTGTTCAATAAAATGCAGATTGTTGAACGCAAATATCCATTGAATTATCACTTTTTTCAGATAATTTAGAACTTCTGGAATGTCTGTATCCTCTGCGGATGTGACTCAAAACGGCAATCTTGCCGAAGTTGAAGAATTTGATTTTTCGAGGTTATCTGATAGGCCACGGCCTTTGAACATGGAAAGACCTTTAAACTTGGAAAGACAAAGGTCATTTGACGAAAGGTCTCTCAGTGAATTGCCGGTTGGGTTTTCTCCTCGTCCTTCATTTAGACAGAGAACTTTTGAGTCAGACCAGCTCGATTGTATGTTTTCACCGGGTCGAAGATCTGGATTTAACACCCCAAGGTCACTAACTGGGTTTGAGCCGCATCCGATGGTTGCTGAGGCTTGGGAAGCTTTGAGACGTTCATTGGTGCACTTTCGTGGTCAACCGGTTGGGACAATTGCAGCTTTAGATAATTCTGAAGAAGATCTTAATTATGATCAGGTGATAACCAAACACATATCTTATAGCATGTGCTTGACAATTCCAGTCTGTTGTGGATCGTTAGTCTAGTTTATTGCAACATGCTATTATTATCTCCTGAAAGGCTAATTGGTGACAACAAGGAAAAAGTGTGAAGATTATTTCGTTGGAGTTTCATTTCTGATATATTTTTTTCCATAGAACTTCATTGTTAACGTGAGTTTCATTTCTGATTTTTTCTTTTCTTTTTTTCATAGAACTTTTTCATTGTTAACGGGAAGAGCATGAACAATCTCACATGCATATATATTTTTTTCCTTTGGTTTTTAAAACATGTCACGATGCACGACATATATACTCATCTGGCTCATAGAACCATGTAACTTCAATTGGAATACTCAAATCTCAATTGGTATTTATATTTAGGACACCTGTTGATGGAAGAACGAAAAAGGGTTTTCATACATTTTGTTTGGTTCTCGAGGAAATTGAGGAAGAAACTTGACCTTCGAATCTTAAAATTTCATTCATTTTCATTGGAGGCAAAAGAGAAAGAAAAACATTGCTCAATTTGGCCTGATACGAACTATTAGGCTTTGTTGGATTGAGTTTTTTTCTTTTTCTTTTCAGTTTGCTTTAGAGTGGAGACAGAACACATGAAGTTCAAAATTTTGTTATATTACATTTCTCTGATCATTTTTCCAGCATAAATTATAAGGTAACGTTATCAGCTATCATATGTAACATTTCGCCCAACTGTTACAATCATTTAAAGGATGAGTTCCTAACCTGTAGGTGATGGCACGTCTGGGGCCAATTGATGAACCAGCTGTTGTCAGATTCATACTTTCATCATTCTCTTTAAGCCTATACTTTGATATAACTTCTTTTGTTATCATGACAAAGACATATGTAGAGTTAGGCGGTAAAGTTGGTGAATGTTGCTGCTAACTTTCTTTGTCTGGTTAGGTGTTTGTAAGAGATTTTGTCCCAAGTGCATTGGCATTTCTGATGAATGGGGAACCTGAAATAGTCAAGAATTTTTTACTGAAGACTCTTCGCCTTCAATCATGGGAGAAAAAAATTGACCGATTCCAGCTAGGGGAGGGTGTGATGCCAGCGAGTTTTAAAGTACTCCATGATCCAATCAGGAATACTGAGACTTTAATGGCAGATTTTGGTGAGAGTGCTATAGGAAGAGTGGCTCCTGTCGATTCTGGATTCTGGTGGATTATATTGCTTCGTGCATACACAAAATCCACGGGAGACTCTTCCTTGGCTGAAATGCCTGAATGCCAGAAGGGCATGCGCCTGATAATGAGTTTATGTCTTTCAGAAGGATTTGATACATTCCCGACTCTTCTTTGTGCTGATGGATGCTGCATGATTGATCGCAGAATGGTAAGTTTCTGGCAGTTTCTACTTTTGTCATCGAGTGATTTGTTAAGACTACTTCTGTTCTTTTACTTGTACCGCACTATTCATAAATACCTTCTCATGTTGATTGACATTTGGTCTAAAAACTTTCGTCAAACCCTTATGAACATCAATCCTGGTTGAGTTGAGTTGATGATGTAGTGCGCTTCATTTCAGGCTCTTACTGATAATGTGCATTTGAGACAGTTGTGTGTGAAATTAAGTAAAACTAATAACGGAATGCTGCAAGAAGAAAACATTATTGATATACTGAACAGTCTGATTTTGACCAGATCTGGATACATTTATATCTGATTTAGTCAGGAAATTTACAAATATCCTATTACTGAGATTTAAAGGTTAATCAGATCACAGCCTATTTAAATCTACCAGTACAAGTAATATCAAAAGATGTAAAATTACCTATATTTGTTGTTCTCTTTGTATTATCTTAAAGGAGATGGTTTTGGGTTTTTGAGTTCATGCTATTAAATTAGTGTAACTGGACATTATTCAGATTAGAATTGAACTGTGGTCTAATCTGCTGGGGGGGCTACAATAAGATGACTTGACATCTGAATTCCAATTGTGCTGGTTTTAACTACTTGATCAGAGTATATGGACCACTGCAATTCTCTCAGTTTTAAAATGTAGCATGTCATGAGTTGAAATCAAAGAGTTTCAATTTCACTTATGACCTCAACTCAACTCAACAAAACCTTTTCTAAACTATAAACAAAAAATGCTCCCTGTATTATCTGAATTTCTTAACATTTCAGTTATAATTATGTATTAGGACTGCTAAAACTTGAACTCGTTGTCCATTTAGAACTTTACTGTTACCAGCATTAATTTTATGTTCCTTAACAAATCCGTGTTCCCTTCAAAGTGAAAACTGGAGGCTCATTACTGTTTAATGGATCTTTATATTTTAAATATGGAACAATAAAAATATTCTGAAAACCATACGGAAACATGTGTCTGTGCTGCAAGAAATGGTAATTTAGACACCAATAAACTTAAAAAACCATTTATAACAGTATAAGAGGAACCAACCATTACAAGAAGAGAAAAGCTGATATTAGTATCAGGTGAAAAAAGCTAGCCTGCCTGACTTACCAAAAAGAAGAAGCACACTTGCTTGTTCCTATGAAGCTTTAAGAGTCATTGCTGATATTAGGCGAACTATAATTAAATCTGAAAAGCATGCAACAGTGGCAGACATTATGATCCAATTACCGTTCATACCAAACCTGAGTGTTCACTTCATTTTTGTTAGAATACGATTACCATATGGAAGGGGAAATGTACCAGGCAAAATTATTAGATGAAGGGTCATGGCTTAAATAAAAGAGTAGAGATAAGAGAAACCTAAAAGAAATACCCGTGGAGGAGCATGGAATGTAGGGTGCTGTTGAGGAGAGAGGACATGGGAATTCAATTGGACCAGGAGAGTGCAAGCTTTTTCCGCGTGACCTCGTGCAAGAGTTTCTGCATGTGTAGAGGGCTACTAGAAATAACATGTGCTGTGGTCGGATAGTCAATCACAAGGCTGTTGACCTCTTGGGATTTAGGCTCAATAGCAGTGAAACCTGTAGGCCTAGTCTTTTCTGGAGCTGGTGGGACAGTGGAACCATAACACGATTCACCAATTAAAGATTCTATCTGAATTGGGATAGTGGCAAACCACTCTCCATTGTGGGTTGAACCTATTAATATTGTCCTTGACCAAAGGGCACTGCAGTTGCCTCGATGGGCCTCTGCTGCAGTCAGTAAGCGAAGGCTGTCAAGCTTCCCAGTAGTGAATAGCAGGCTTACAATGGCTGGTCATTAGCTAGCACCAAAGCTTGTTTGGACCTTCCAAGGCCTCTAAGTGGTGCTATGTTGTGCATAGGGTTGGATCATTGAGTTAAGACTTCAAATTGTTGTTTGGAACAAAAGGTTGGATAGTATTAGACTACTCTCATATGGCAATGGTACTAAGGAAGCTGAAAATTTGTTTGCAGATGGCAGGGCATCTAATCTGCAAAGCTGGCTTGAGCTGCAGGAACATATGCTAAAATAATGAACGAACCATCATTCCCTACACATCTCTAAGTGTTGGGTCTTTTCCACCCAATAGCATCAATCGAAAACCAGAGGACACTTGCTTCTGGATAAATGTGCCGGTCAGGGCTCGCGGTACCTACCACTCACACTTCCTCTGCTTTGGAAACGCGTCAATGGAGAGTCAGAAGAAGGGAAGGAGGCCCTCATATGGAGTTGCACACTTACTTGAGCTGTGTGGGAGATTGGGGAATGGGTTGAGTCTAGCAATGGACATTAGGAGTGTGTTCTTACTTTATAATTGCTTGATGGTTACAAGCGACAGTTGGTTCATTCTACTAAAAACAATGTATCCAGTAGCATATATGCACTCAACAAGTAATTGGTTCTGAGAAAGTTTCTTCTGTTACACCATTATGCTTGTTGCTTGTTTATTCTGAATCTTAATTAACTTTCTGTATGATTTGCTATTTATATGTTCTCAGGGTGTTTATGGTTACCCGATTGAAATACAAGCGCTGTTTTTCATGGCTTTAAGATGTGCTTTGCTTTTACTCAAGCAAGATGCCGAGGGAAAGGAGTTTGTAGAAAGAATAGTTAAACGCCTTCATGCATTGAGCTTTCACATGAGAAAATACTTTTGGCTAGATTTGAAGCAGCTTAATGATATATACCGATATAAAACAGAGGAGTATTCTCACACTGCAGTCAACAAGTTCAATATAATGCCTGATTCTCTTCCAGAATGGGTTTTTGATTTTATGCCGATGTATGGTGGGTACTTTATTGGAAATGTTGGCCCTTCAAATATGGATTTTCGTTGGTTTTGCTTGGGCAATTGCATTGCAATTTTGTCATCTTTGGCAACACATGAACAGTCTATCGCAATTATGGATCTTATAGAGTCGCGTTGGGAAGAGTTAGTTGGTGAAATGCCGTTAAAGGTTTGTTATCCAGCCATAGAAAGCCATGAATGGAGGATTGTAACGGGGTGTGATCCAAAAAATACTAGATGGAGTTACCATAATGGAGGATCTTGGCCAGGTATGCTTCTACACTGGTTCCTCTTGGTGCAAAATAGGGATGTGACTCAAACTAATGAGCTATTGAAAACTGCAAATTCCAACTAGCAGAATCTAGGTCAGGTCATAGTTGTAATAATGTGTGTGTACATATATATATATATATTTATGTATATATGAAAAAAAAAAAAAAAGACGAACGGCCCACAGTTTTTTCAACTTTAATTTCTAAACGGTATTTTGTTTTTGTAAAATCTTGACAGTGCTAGCATGTTTCTAATCCCAGTCACTGTCCAAATTGATTTTCTTCAGTGGGCTAGATTTCCAATTTCCCAAGTTCACCATGATGTTTGATCAATTATTGATATTCCTTTATAACCCGTTTCTTCTTCTTACATTAAGTGGGGAGAAATTATCAAATCTCCTTGTAAAAAAACTCTTATTGTGATGGAGGTTTGGAAATAGTACACTGATTTGTGCTCCAAAACGTTTGTTAGTTTAGATTCTCCGTGCTTGTAGCTCCCAACATAACTGATGAGTGTTGATTCTGCAAAATACTCATGCTCAATATATATATTCTGTTACTAATGTTCATTTTGTTCAACAATTGTGGATGCAGTGCTTCTATGGCTCCTCACAGCTGCATGTATCAAGACGGGGCGGCCTCAAATTGCAAGACGTGCCATCGAACTTGCTGAAACCAGGTTGTTGAAAGACAGTTGGCCAGAATATTATGACGGAAAGCTTGGTCGGTATATTGGGAAGCAGGCCCGTAAATTCCAAACCTGGTCCATTGCTGGTTACCTGGTGGCAAAGATGATGCTGGAAGATCCATCCCATTTGGGCATGGTGGCTCTGGAGGAAGACAAACAGATGAGGCCTCTCTTGAAAAGATCAGCTTCATTTTGATCTTCTTTATCTGTCTTCTTTCAACCCATGCACCCTTACTTTTGACCAGGATGTGAAGGATTTGGAGGAACATTCAAAGCTCCCTACCTAGCCGGGAAGAGAGATCTTGCCAGAAAAAATAAAGCAAGCTGGGAAGACAAGGGGAGGAAGAGGAAGAGGGAGTTGTATTGATTGTATTAAGTCAAAAGTTTATGCAATATCTGTATTATTTATATTTGTTCCACCCTTGTTCTTGAGTTTACTGACATCTAATTCAATCTGAAATTCAGAAAGTCCTTAATTTTATGCTGAATTAATAATAAATGACAAGATTTGGAGTACTGTTATTTTCCGATTACAATATTAGCCTCCTGGTAAAAACTAATAGCGTTGGTGCATTGTGATTTTCAACACATTTACATTTATATACTGCTTCATTTTTTTTTTTTTTTTTTTTTTTAATTCAGTCTTTAAAAAACAGATGTTAATGCGATGGCGTAATGCAATTCGAGAGATGGTTCAATTTGGAAGTTCTAATTTGGAAGTTCTAATCCTTTGCGGTTACTCTCATAAAGTATTTTTTGATAATTGTTCAATACATATGGGAAAGCCACTCCGGTCTGAATTTGAGATGAAAACTTCAAATGACACTAAAACGAAACATGTTCCGACTTGACTCAGAGATTGATAACTATCCCTGGTTTCAAATTCGGCAACCATTTGAGCCCTAATATCAATTTTTTCATGCCATAAATAGGCCACCTAACAAATTAAAGTAATTAATTACTAATTAATAAAAGAGTTTATATTGCTTCAGAGTCAAATGTCATGACACTGACAGGGAACAATTACGATTGCATATGACGACTCACGGTAAGAATAAGGTAATGCTTGATTAGTGGGATGCAAAGATTATATGTACTTGGTGATGAATTATTCTTGGAACCAAAAAAAAAAAAAAGTTAATGCTTGAAAAGCAACCAAACAAGGAGAATACAAGTCCTTGGGGGTGAATCATGAAGCTCTTTTAAGAGAGTTGACACCATCATCGTGATTATATATATAGGAAGATTCTCATGCGGTTCAAAAGAACGAATTTTTTAACGAATCAATGGTAACCATAGTTAATATTTGTTACCTTAATAGTCAATTTACCATAGTTAGCCAATACCTTTATTCAATTTCTCTCCTCCTTAATCTCTTCCATCTTCCTTGCAATCTCAACCACTACCGCTATATCCACACCATCCACACCATCACAGCCACCATTTTCACCATTGCAAATTGATAAATAAGGTTTATTTTGATATACCTGTGCAAGTAGTACCATGAATTGCTAGACATGTAGTATTAAAGTTCTTGTTAGAGCATCTCCAATGCTCTTTCATTTTGGGCTCTCAAACTTATAATTTGAGAGATGAGTAAAAAACAGATTCTCCAATGGTCTTTCATTTGACCTCTAAAAATTTGAAAATCTCATTTTTTTCTCTCAAATGTAAGAGCAGCCAAATTTTTTTGGCAAGTCTGTTTAATGGCCTACGATGCCGTTTCTTCCTCTCATCTGCAAGAACCCTTTTCCTCTCATCTGCAACGTCTTCCTATCTCCCTCAATTCTCTGTCCCTCAATATCGCTATCTTTGTCGTCTCTCTTTCTCCTTCTCCCTCATCTGCAACGATCGGTTATGGTTTCTGCCGTTGCCGAATTCTGAACTTCGGCGGCGGATTCAACGATGTGGGCCCACTAGAGGACTCCAAGATGCTGCTTAGCCGTGGTTCTCAGTGGTCCAATCGTGGCTCCCTTCGCCGTCGCCGTGGTTCTGGGTTGTGGCATGAGCTCCGGTGAAGAGGGCGGCAACGACCGGAGATCGGATGAATATGATGAAATAGTAACGCCAATATAGGTTTTGATATAGGTAATAGGTTTTGAACTTTGGATTCTTGCAGACAGATAGATTCCATTGGCTCAGCAGCTCTAATTGTCAACCTTGAAAGAGGAAATGAAAATAATCTAAATACCGGCACTGAGGGTTCAGATCCTATGAAAACACCTGCAGTAGTAGATTCCTCAGGTCTTCTTAGCCTATTGGTGGGATGGGGTGGTAAGATGAACTGAAATATATGGGTTTTGAACTGTAGATTTTGTAGTTTGTAGTTGGAGAGAGAGAGAGAGAAAGGGCAAGTTCTCAGAGTTGAGAATGAGATTTAGGCGATTGGGGAGGCTGATATGATTTACCCTAAAAATATATATATTTTTAATAATTATATAATCAAATATATATAATATACACACACACATATAAAGAAATATATATATATATATATAAATTAATTCACAAATAATGGTAAAAAAATTATAAAAAATTTGTTTTTGTTTTTTGTTCCTTTTTTGACCCAATATTTTAGATTTTTGCTCATTTTTAATTAGATTTAATTTTAGTTTCCTTCTAATATCTACCGCTTGACTTGGAATGTGCCTAATATTAATATTATTGATGCAAATATGAATGGTGGGAATGGTAGTTGAAAAAGAATGGTGGTAGTGTCAAAAAATAGCATTTTGCACCATTGGAGCATAATTGCTAAATTGTAACATTTTGACAATGTAGCACATGTCAAAATATAGATTTGACATCCGAATTTAGCTTTTAGCATTAGAGATGTTCTTAATGATGATCTAAATTGGAGAAATTGTGAAGTGGTAAACGGGGTGTGTGTTATGTGCACTTGACATGGCCTCGCCAAAATGTTTCTGCATGATTATTTTCAACCACTGAAAAAAGTAAAAAAGAAGTTGAGTAATAGAAATAGTTTTTGAGATATTTTAAAATTTTGAACGTCAATTTTCTGATACCATAAACTATTTCCAAAATTGGGATGATGAGATTGGATATTTAATTGTATTTATGCATAAAATTTGAAGGAAATTGTAATACGTGAAAACGTAAATAGGAATGAAAATGAACAAATTGTCAGAATCAGAATTTGGAGATTTTTCTTATTCTGTCTCAGAAAACCCAAATTTGGAGACTTTTTATTGTTTCCATACCAAGATTAAGCAATATATGTTTTTTGTTTGAGACTCCATTATTAAATAAAGGTATTGACTATCTATGATAAATTGACTATTAAGATAACAAATATTAATTATGGCTAGGTCTGATAAAATAATAACGTGAAATTGACTATTGGTTTATTAAAAAATCCGTTCTTTTAGACCGTATGAGAGCCTTCCTATATCTATATATATATATATATATATATATATATATATTTTTTGTTTTTTAAAAAAAAAAAAAAACAAACAGGTATAACATATTAAAAAGTGCAAATGACATTACTTCATTGTTCATATGATATTTCATTTATTGGGACAAAAACTAATGTGCAAGTGTTTCTTATATTCGTGGAGAAAAGACAAAGAAGGGATTATTATGGACCAAAAAAGAAAGAAGGTAGTGCTGGAAAAGTAATGGGACAAGGAGATTACATTTTGTCATAGTTGAATTATGGAATGTTTTAAGAGAATTAGTACCATCAGCTTGACAAAATATATATATATATATATATATATATATATATATATATATATATTTTGTCAAGCTGATGGTACTAATTCTCTTAAAACATTCCATAATTCAACTGCAGTAAAAGACAGATATAACATATTAAAAAAGAAAAAAACTTCAGATGACATTACTTCATACGGGACGGCTCGATCTAATTTTGGTATATATATATATATATATATATATTTTGTCAAGCTGATGGTACTAATTCTCTTAAAACATTCCATAATTCAACTGCAGTAAAAGACAGATATAACATATTAAAAAAGAAAAAAACTTCAGATGACATTACTTCATACGGGACGGCTCGATCTAATTTTGGACTTTAGATAAAAAAAAAAAAAAAAAAAAAAAAAAAAAAAAAAAAAAAAGACCTTTTCAATAATATAAATAAAAATAATCACAACTCACAAACAAAATACACAAATATATATATATATATATACACACACAAAAATTTATAATAACAAAAGTTAATAAAACTAAAATGTAATTAAAGATAAAGCACCATAAAACCTGATTTATAAAATCCAAATTCAATATTCCTACAAATTTTTCAATAGAATAAAAGTGTCATATTTAAGAGTATATAATGAATATGGAGTGGAGAAGAAAGACAACTGTATATTTGTAATGAGAGGAGAATGAGAAAACTTTTTGAAAAAAGAAGAAGATAAAAGATAAAAAAAATATATGGAAAGTTTTCACCACTTACATTTTTAATATTTTAACTTATCCAAATATTTTTATAATGCTGGTATAAAAAAACGTGAATGAGAGAGGAAGAAAGAGAGAGAGAAAAAAAAGGCTGTTTAATGATGGGCTGAATAATAAATTTCTATATTGGTTAGGATGTATTGAAAAGCGTGAATGAAGAGTAGAAAAATAAATAAACAATTAAAAAGTCATATAATGATGTAAATCTTTGGGGACCGATATTAAATTTCAGTATTAGTTAAAAGTTCAACGAAATGAGGAATGAAAAAAAAAAAAAAAAATAGAGAGAGAGAAAAAAAAATAAGTTATTTTTGATATAAATATTTGAGACCTAATATAAAATCGGAATGAGGGAAGAAAGAAAAAGAGAAAAAAATAATTTATTTTAGGATATAATATTTGAGAACTAATATAAAATTGAAATGAGAGAGGAGAAAGAAAATAGAGAAAAATAAGTTATTTTAAGATATAAATTTTTGAGGCTTAATATAATTTATTTATTAGAGTTTAATAATATTAGGAAATATTTATAATATAACTTAATATATAAGGAAATTTCAAAATTTTGCCCAAGTTGCCTAAGTTTCGAGCTGGTCCTGACTTCATAGTTCATATGATATTTTATTTATTGGTTAATCCCATTATTCATATGGTTCAAAATAATGCCTAATTGATACTCTTTATGTTTAATTTTTTTTTTGTCATTTTTGGGGAGTAAATTTTTTTTAAAGGGGAATGGACATGTATTATTTTTTTAAAAAATTTATTAACTATTCTATTCAAGTTTTAAATTTTAGGGAGACGATATTCCCACTTCACTTTTCTCCAATTGCATTACATTTATTATTTTCTTTTAAAAGAAATGACAAGAAAGTCCTAAAATTTATTAATGCAAAATTTCTTAATTTATAACTGTCATAACTATCATTGATACAACTTAAATATATATATATTTTTTCACTTTTTTCCTTTCTTTTTGTGTTTTTTTGGAGGTTCTCTCACAGAAAATAATTTATTCTATACTGGGGGTGGCAATTTCCTCTAACCTGTTGGGTTTTCGCCCCGCTCCGCTCCTAATAGAGCGGATTTGGTAGCTCCATAAATGAGTTTGGGGCGAATATGATAAAAAAATTTAAAACCGAAGCGGGTTTGGGGCGGGGGCGGGGGCGGACTTAATGATGCCCTCATGGCCTCACCCCACCCTGACCCCAATTCCGATTATATATATATATATATTTATAAAAAGTATATATTTAAGTTAAGTGTCCATTAATATATCGTGACTAAATATTCACTAGATTCGCTACTTACTAAAATTCCATAATTGTGCACGTGATTCAATTTTCAAGAATCAATCAAGAATTCAAGATCTTAAAGCATCTCCACCATTGTGTATATATATATATATTTTTTTGTGTATATATATATATATATATATATATATATATATATATATATTTGTGTAAATCTGATGTGTCATGATGGATTTACACAAAAAATTTGAATTATTTAATTTGAGTTCCAACGGTTGTTTTATATCTTTTGTGTAAAAATATATTTCCCAATAATAACTAGCCACGTGTCATGCCAGGACCCCACATAACTTTTACAAACTTACTTAATATATGGTTGATTCTTTAATGGAATGAAAAAGAATGATGAGAAAGGAAATATGTTGATCTGGCAATATAAAAAGGTTGGGTAAATTATACAACCCTTTTACATATTGGTGATGTGGCAATGTATCTTAAAAGACTGCTGGAGATGGATATATTTTACACAAAATGGTATTTTAACAGACGCTGGAGATGCTCTTAGTATTCTATCCTAAGTTCAGGAATTAATTCAATAGTTTTAACTCTACCGCAATTAAACAGAGTATGCGAGATGGGGCGGGAATGGTATACCAATTATAAACCCGTCTTGAAGTTGGAGCGGAGTTGATACGACGGATTTTTTAATGGAGCGAAATAGGATTTACCCAACTCCACCCCGTTGCTATTCATATTCTATACTAAGAATTTTATTTTTGGTAGTCAAAAAGGATAATTTATTCTATAATGATTTTATTTTATTTTTATATTTTTTTTTACAATCGAAAAAGATATTTATTCAACAAAATTGACTTTTTTTCAATTTTGTCAAAAGAGATAACTTTATTTTTTGGTAATTTTTTATGAGTTTTGTCAAAAGAAATAATTTATTCGAAAAAAAATAACCTCTGTCTTTTTTTTTTTGGGTCAAAAGAGATGTATATTTTTTTAATTATCTTCATTTTATACTTTTTATTATTATTATTTTTTTGGAATCTTGACAACAAAGATAATTTATTCAATAAATATATTTTTTTGGAAATTTTTTTTTTTTCATGTCAAAAGATATAATTTTTTAAATGGTTAGTTTTTATTTTTTTTATTCTGCCAAAAGATGCAATTTATTAAACATAACAATTTTATTTATTTTTTGTCCTTTAAAAAAATTTATTTTATTTTATTTGTGTTGTCAAAAAATATTTAAAATATTAAAAATTATAGTTAAAAAGAGAAAATATGATAGGGCGTATCATTTAAAAAATAATATAATGTTAAAATTATTATTTTTTATTAAAGATTATAGTGCAAATATTTAAACTCCTAAAATATATTATTTGAAAAAAAAAAATGACCAAACGAAAGATGGAATTTTTTTTTTTTTTTGGAAGGTGGGAGTATCATTTTTCTTTCGTTTTCCCGAACTTTCCTTCACTTTCTGGGGGTTCAGATCACAAGTCAGAAGACTCCCAAGCAAACACCACCGTAGACCTAGGGTGTGTTTGGATAGTATTAGTTATGAGAGAAAAGAAAAGAAAAGAAAGGATAGTATTAGTGAGAAAAGAAAAGAAAAGAAAAGAAAGGATAGTAATAATTTATATTTGTGTTTGGATAGACAGGGGAGAAAAGAAAAGAAGTGATAGTTATTTTTGTTTGGATAAGATAGAGAAGAGAAAAGAAAAGAAAGGATAATAGACAAATTACTTTTTTACCCTTTCATAACCATGGGACTTGGATGGAATAATAAATCTGTGTATTGATTTGTGGAGGCTAATTTTGGTATTATCAAAATACCACTAAAATCACTATCCTTTCTCTCACTATCTCTCCCTATCTTCTCAATTTTGAGGAGAAAGCAAATAAGAGATAAGGAGGGATAGCTATCCCTCCCTATCTCTCCTTATCCCTCCCTATCCCTCCACTTAAGTTACCCAAACATAAACTTACACTATCCTCTCTTTTCTTTTCTCTCCCTATCCCTCCAAATCAACCCTACCAAACACACCCCTAGTGTCAGAGTGATAGTCGCAACATGAGGGCACCGAGGAAGCCGATCCGCGCCGTGGCTGCCGTGTCGACATGGGTTGGCAAACAACCGCCGAAAGTCAAGGCTTTCCTGGCCGTAGTCTCCGGCATGGCAGCTTTGGTGCTGCTAAGATTGATCGTTCATGATCACGACAACCTCTTCGTCGCTGCCGAAGCTGTTCACTCCATTGGAATCTCTGTCCTCATCTATAAGCTCATGAAGGAAAAAACTTGTGCTGGTAAGACTAATACATATATATATATATATACTTAAATAAATTTATGAATAATTTTTTTTTTTCTTTTGGTAATTTACTCACATATACCTCTGTTGTATGTATGGGTTATTTTCTTCGGTCTGCTTTGTTGCTGAGAAATCGTAGGAATAGAAAAGAAAAATTGGAACTTTACAGCAAAAAAAAACAAAAAAAGGAGTAATTAAACCTGTAATGAGATTCCTGAGGATCCTGTGCTGTATGCAATTTTCATAGATCAAACGGAGCGATAATAAATTGAAGTTTTTAATGTTTTTTTATGCCTCTTTCTTGTTTTGTGAATTGGGTTTTGCGGTCTTTAGGTTTTCTCTTTTATGCTTTACTCCAAATTGCTATTATTTCCAAATTTTCCATTTTTCTCGTTGAGTTAGATCAAAGGCTCGTTCAGTTATTCATCGATATTGGGCACTTCCTTCTTTTTTAGTTGTGTTGCTTTCAAAAATTTATTCTCTTTTTGCTTTTTGGAGGAAAAGTTTTTCGTTTTGCCTCTTTTTTGATTAAGAGAACCTCGTATATTACAAAACTTAAGTTGATGTACTTTTTTGGGCTGAAACAATTAGCTTTTTGGTGAATAACCATTAATATATTGTCTTTTTAAGTGTAGTGGGATTTAGCTTTTGTTTATTCCGTGCTACATGTATGCAAGGCATCTTGCTCTCATTTTTAAAATTCAATCTTTGGACTCCCTACCTTTGTTAGGTTCTGATACTTGTACCAGTGCAAAATGAATAAGAAGCATTGCCTGTCGACGTCTGTGAAAGCTTTTGTATTTATAAATTGATTCCATACAGTGACTACTTTGTTTGAGGGAGAGTGTCACTGTGTATTTTATAAATTGAGCTTCTGTCTGTGCTTCTTAGGAAACACCTCTCCCACACCCCTGGAACCATAAAAAGAAAGAGACAAAACCAAAAATAATCTTCATCAGTTGCATTGTAATGTAGAACCCTGAGATTTCAAATATTTTTTTCTAACAGTTGAAACAATCTTCATCAGTTGCATTTATAAATTGATTCCATACGGTGACAACTTTGTTTGAGGGAGAGTGTCACTGTGTATTTTATTAATTGAGCTTCTGTCTATGCTTCTTAGGAAACACCTCTCCTACACCCCTAGAACCATAAAAAGAAAAAAGTAAAAACCAAGAATAATCTTCATCAGTTGCATTGTAATGTAGAACCCTGAGAGTTCAAATAATTTTTTCTAACATTTCTACAGTTAAAGAGCTCATATCTGATTTGAATTTCAGAGTTGTTCATCAGCTTCTACAATTTACAAGACTTGCATCTGCCCCAATTGATGGTTGCCTATCTGAAAATTGAACTTTCTTAAAGAATTTGTCGAGTTTGTGCTGTGCCCTATGCTGTTAATTTGAAATGATCATCCCAGAGTTCATTTTGTTCCTCAAATGTTTTCACAATTGCATGTTGTTTGCTTCAGTTCTGTCTTTTTAATGTTGTTCAGTTTGTTTGATAGTTTTTATGTTGCCTAACTGAAAATTGAACTCTCCTAAAGAATCTGTCGAGTTTGTGCTGTCTCCTGTGCAGTTAATTTGAAAAGATCATCACAGAGTTCATTTTGTTACTTAAATGTTTTCACAGTTGCATATTGCTTGCTTTGGTTCTGTCTTATAATGTTGTTCATTTTGTGTTAAGATGCACTGAATTTTGTATTAAATGCATTCAGCCAGTGTGATTCGTCCAACTACAAAGGCTTATTTGTCATATCCTGCAGCCTGGAGGGCATCTATTCCATAATTCAATCTGTCACAAAAATAAAAATCCTCAACTGCCTTTTTACTGTAATGCTATTTGCAATGTAAAGCACCTTGTTGAAAATATGAGGTGAACTTACAGAAAAATTACTAGGAAGCTTTCTTAGCCATTTCCTGGAATTATAAATTAAAATACTGCATATAGTACATAATAATTTTGCCAATTGTATCATACAAATTAAAATGATACATATAGCTTCTTTTTTTTTTTGGCCTAGCGGTACCAGGCTTTTACTTCCCAAAAGAAGGTCAGGGGTTCGAGCCTCGGTGGAGGCACGTGTGTGTGTGTGAGTACCAACTAAGAAAAAAAAAAATGATAGACCCTTTTCATCAAATTTTCTATTTTCATTAGTTAATCCTTCATCACCAAGGTGTAGTCTTTACACCAAGCTAGAATTCTGTAGCTCGTGATGACTTCTTTCGAATTTTCCTTTTGGAGTTTGATTTAGAAGGTTTACCTTATGGCACAAGTTATGAATTTCTTATGAGAAGACCTCATGGCGGGTCAGGGTAATTGTTTTCATTTTTGGATTATATGCAGGACTTTCACTCAAATCTCAAGACCTAACAGCTATTTTTTTAGCTGTTAGACTGTACTGCAGTTTTGTCATGGAATATGATATACACACCTTGCTTGATTTAGCTACATTGGCTACAACTCTGTGGGTTATTTATATGATCCGTTTTAAACTGAAGTCAAGTTACATGGAGGACAAAGACAACTTTGCAATATATTATGTGGTAAGTCATCCACCATTTTCTTGCTTATTTCTTTGAAGCAATGACCCTAAATTTTTTGGAGTAAGATTTCTATTATATTTCCCTCACTAGCGTCAGTCTCATCGTACTTTATTAAATCTGAGGATAGGATATATGGTGGGTGGAATTTGCTATTGACTATATCCAAGAATTAATTGTAACACTTATAAATGTACTCTGAGGGAAGTTTAAATTACTTCTATGTTGAGTGAGAACGTATATGTGACCTTGTTTAGGTGTTGATCGTAGGCATTACTAGGAATATGTTCAAAAAGGCTAATAAGTTGATGTACTTGTTTTTGGAAACTTTAATGAATATTAAGTTCTCAAAACTAATCATTTTAATGACTTAAATATATTTAGGTGTGCATTGAAAGGCTGTATCCTTCCCCATGGTTATTCTACTTTTAATTTATAGATTCATTTTATTGGCAGGCTCAAAGTTGATACTGGTTGACAGGATTATAAAAGAAAATGACTAGCAAGACACTTGTGATTTTCCCTTAGTTGTCAAAAGAATATTTCCTTAGCTGCCAAAAATTCACCATCTCCTTTTGTTTTCTAGTTCCTTTATTTATATATGTGTGCGCGTGTGTGTGCATAAAGGGCATTATCTAGTGTATGTCCCACCTATGTGAGGTGTTGGGGAGGGAAGATTGGTACAAATCTAGTTTTAAACATTATTTTTGCCAAAGTGGCTGCTCTAAGACTTTAACCCATGAACTCATGCTTGTTAGTCCAAGCTTTTACCACTGCATCAAGCAATGCCCCCCCGTCTTTTATTACACAAACATATATTGGGTTGGCACCTTCTTCTAAACTTATACCATGGTTTTTAGAAGTAGTCCCCCCTTCCCCTTCGCCTTCCCCTTCGCCTTCCCCTTCCCCTTCCTCCTCCTCCTCCTCCTCCTCCTCCTTCTGATTAAGAATGATTTGTAATATAGCAATGATATTGATTAATATTTGCAAGTGGCGGTTGATGGTTAATTAATTAAAAAATCGAGCATAAAATACAATGACTTGTAAATGGAAATATCAAATGTGGTTCTAGATAGAGCACCATGGTGAAGAAACAGAACTTATGCAAGCTAAATTCAAATTGGAATTAGGTTCTAAGAACATGAATAGTAAAGAATTACTCCCTCCGTCCCAATTTATTTGTCCATCTTTCCTTTTTGGGTTGTCCCAAAATACTTGTCCACTTACCAAGTTTAAACAACATATTTGACATCTTTCCATAAAATACCCTTACAATTTAAAAAAATTTCAAACTTGATTATATATATATTTAAACTTGAAAGGGTAGCTTTGAAATTTTTAAAATTGCATTGTCCCCTTAAAAAGTTCTACTCCCCAAAAGGGACATCTAATATAGGACAGAGGGAGTATAATTCATTTGCTTTGAGTTCAAACCTAAGTTTCATTACTTTTGGCACATTTTCGAGAGGTAGGATCTTGTAAGTCACTTACTTATATGCATGGGTTGTGGCATTGATAAATACAGGTATCATAGTGGAGCATGGTTGATCATATGATTGATTTGTAAATTTTGTCCAATTGGCCTATTTAGGTCACCACAAAAGCTTCTCTACAATTTCTTCCATATTTAGAATTTGATAAGAAGCAATATCCTTTTTAATCTCCCTTGTCTTTAGAGCAATCAAACCACTATATTCTATAGGCTTATAGACATGTATGGTATCTAGATAATTCCCACCTTATACAAACAGGTGGATCTCAGAATCATTTCTTTCTTATTTGTTTTACTTCGTTGTAGTAGTTTGTTTTATAATGACATTTTTTTTGGGGTTTGTTTACAGCACTCTTTCTATTTTGTTGTAGGTGGTTCCTTGTGCTGTGTTAGCTTTGGCTATTCATCCATCTACATCACATCATATCATCAATCGGATTTTTTGGGCATTTTGTGTTTATTTAGAAGCTGTTTCGGTTCTACCGCAATTGCGGGTCATGCAGAACACAAAGGTACAATCCTGTGGAACAAGATACATATCAGGATTTTGAATTTTTTGGATGAACCAAGACTTTTGCTCTCTTCATTGGGCTCTTCTTTTTGTCTCTCAGATTGTTGAACCATTCACGGCTCATTATGTATTCGCTCTGGGTATTGCAAGGTTCTTGAGCTGTGCTCATTGGGTTCTCCAGGTTTGAATGCTCAACCTTGAATTTCTACTGTTGTTTTGATTGTGTAATATGATATGATCTCGTGTTTTGAAGTTTTATCTATTCGTCGCCTTGATTAAGAGGATAATGCTGACAAACAGTGTGCCATTCCTTAGGTTTTGCCTGAACTGGTTATTTGACCATCCAATATGTTGTACTGATCTGGGGATAGCATGAGTTTGCTTTATTTATGGTCTATAGGAGTCAGGTGAGGGGACTAAAAAATAGGAGTTTGATTAGCTAAGATGGTGCCTTATGCTACTTTAAATGCCTTAAATGCATTCAATGGTTCGGCACATAGCAGTTGCTTTGATAACTTGGTTGGTGGAGGGTCCTTGAGAAAATATGATCAGATTGCAAAACAGTGCAGGTTGTGAAATGGTTGACAATTTTATCTTCATAAATTGCTTAATCACTAGAATATGTGGTTGCTACTGTGAATAAGAGAGTATAAAAGGATTTTGTTTACATGGTTAAGGGACATATTCAGTATGGCAAACATTACTGATGAAGGTTAACATCACTTATTGAGAATTGAAGATGTTTCTGAAATCAGTTGATCGTTCCAAATGCATGGCTTTATGGTTAAAACATGTCTTCACCAAAAATATCACTAAGTAATGCAGGATATGGCAGTCAAATATGCCCTTTGGATCCTTAGCACTTGCATAGGGATGTAAATAATTTGTATTTACGTGCTTCCATTTGATTGACTTTATGACTTATCATTTTATTTTGGTTTTTGATTGGCTTTAACAGGTTTTGGATAGTCGTGGGCATTTGCTGACAGCTTTGGGTTACGGATTATGGCCTTCTATGGTTCTTATCTCAGAAATTGTTCAAACTTTCATTTTAGCAGACTTCTGTTATTATTACGTAAAAAGGTTAAACAAAATTTTCGTGATTTCTTATCTTTTTTATGAGAATATTCAAGTCTTTACCCAATGCATATTCTGAACAAGTACCTTTTCTTTGCAGCATATTAGGAGGACAGCTTGTGTTACGCCTTCCTTCTGGAGTAGTATAACTGGGGATTGCATGGGCATCCTATCATTGAGAATTAACTTAAATACAGCGGGCGATCTTCTTTTAGTTATTTTTACTTTGCACAAGGTACATGTTACTTGCTGGTTTTTCCTTGTAGTCATGACTGGAAATCAAGTGGATTGTTTGTAAAGTTGGCGGTGCATGAAACTTCAATGGATATCTAAATCAAAACTTGATTTTATCAGAAATTAAATTGATGTGTATCAGCACTAGTCTTTGTCTATTTATATTGGATATTACTAATTTCTGATTTTTATGATGTTTGCTTGAGCTTTCACTGCAAATTGATGGTCAAGGTGAATGATATGAATGTCCTAGGCGTCCCTAGGCTTGTGCAACCTTTGGCTTTGTTCTTGCATCCTTTTGAGTGCATATTAGTTGCCAACTTAAGTTTGAGCTTAACTGAGCAGGCTAAATGGTATTGAGATATTAAAAAAGTCGCTCGTCCCGATTCTCTCAGAAAAGGAGGCAGGTTGGTTTCAGGTGGACAGCCGACTGTAAAACTTTAGTCAACATTTTGAGGAATTCTCACTTAGATAAAAAACACCACAAGACTAAGTCACAAAAAAATAGGATAGCAACATGGAACATAGGAACATCAAGCGGTAGGTGTAATGAATTAGTAGACACCTTAAAACGAAGAAAAGTAAACATAATTTGCTTACAAGAGCTAAATGGAAAGGTGAAAAAGCTAGAAATATTGTGGAAGGATATAAACTTTTCCTACTCCAGAGGGAAAGATAACCAACATAACAGAGTATGCATAGTAGTAGGTTGCTACATGAGGGATAGAGTAGTAGAGGTGAGAAGACACAAGAGATAGATTAATTACTATTAAAAATGTCCGAGATGAACATATCTTGAATATAATAAGTGCATACACTCCTCAAGGAGCATTAGATGACACTACAAAGAGGCTCTTTTGGGGCTCGTTAGATGAATTGATGCAATCCATACCCAGTGTTATTAAAGGCTCAAGGCGCTAGGTTTACTTTGGAGCCTAGGCGCGAGACGCATGGCGAGGCGCGCGCCTGAGTGAAGTGAGGCGCACAATTGAAATTTTAAACTACCATAATAGCATTCATATCTCACAAGTCATATCAATATTCTAAAAATTAATATCAAATATAAAAAAGTAAATCCATCAACTATATAAGCATTCAAGAACCATAAAACATAGCACAAATTTGTTTTCTTGAAAGGCAAAACAGAGTACAAAAAGAAATAAATCTATTAAAAAAAAACTGTTTACAAGAAAAGGAAAAAAAAATAGAGCCAAAAGAAAAACAAAGACAAGGTAGAGACAAAAGAAGTAGATGAGAAAAGAGAGAGTGTTAAAGAAGAAAAGGGAGAAAAAAAATAGAGCCCACAAAAAAAAAAAGACAGGGAGAAGAGAACTAGACGGAGAGACAGAAGTGAACAAAGATGAGGAGAGAGAAGTAGGGGAGAAGAGAGAGAAGAAGAAGAAAGAACTGACATGGCTTCGTCATTCGTCTCTGCCACTAGGGCTTCGTTGTTGCTCTCACAGTTTCACTCTTTCTATGTTCGGTCTTGGACTTTCTTATTTGTTTATTCTTTTGAACAAAAGATCCTTCTTTGATATGCTTAGGCTTTCTTATTTGTTTATTAAGTTGCCAAAAGTACCCTTTTTGGCTTAAGAGATAGAACAATCATTTAAAAAAAAACAAAAAACAGCGAGGTGCGCCTAGGCACACCTAGACAAATAGGACGAGGTGCAACCAAGGCGCGCGCATAGTAAACATCAGTGAGCCTGGGATGACAATAGGCGCTAGACCTGCGCCTTGAGCCTAGGCGCGCCTTTAACAACACTGTCCATACCTAATCATGAAAGCATATTTATAGGTGGTGACTTTAATGGACATGTAGGTGTTGATAGGAGAGGTTATACATGAATACATGGGGATATGTTTTGGGGAGTGAAATGAGATAGGAGAACCACTTTTAGAGTTTGCAAAAGCATATACCTTGGTAATAGCTAACACTTCCTTTAAAAAGAGAGAACACTTAATAACCTTTACAAGTGGATTAAATAAAACACATTGCAAAAGCATATGAAACAATAGTCGATCATGATGATAGTACAGAAGTAGCTGTAACTAATGCCGTTGACCATTCAGATTCAATTTGGTACTTTGGAAGCCCAGAGAACTGTTTTAGTTACACCTTGAAAGGATATCAATGAAAAGTCATTTTATTAAGCTGATTATCACACTATTAATCTCTTATCCAAGTCTAGTCAGTGTGTTAAACTGAAAATTGCGAGATTTGATGAAAGCACCATATATTAGACACAGATTTAGATAACCAGGCAGAGACAATGGTGAGTGGTCAGATGAGCTCTCTAGAGCTTAGAAGCCAGAGGTTTCTTATAGTCACCAACCCCAAAATTGGAGTAAAAGGGGTAAAAACTTCACATAGGATGGGTTTCATCATTGACATTGGTCTTTTACTCTTTCCACTTGGATTTAATTGATTTTTTCTCTAGATCCTACCATACGAGTCTTTCTGATGATAACCTCTTGGATATCAGCTGGGTTCCATGGTGTGGCTCTCTACTACTGAGTTATTGAATTCATTTCCTTACTATGTTCATATGTCTAGAGGAATGGATTATCTCAAAACAGATATACAACCTGAAAGTCAGTCAGGTGGTTGATTTGTAGGTCTCATGGCAATCAAGTAGGATGATGACAGGAATTTAGGCAAAATACAGTCTCATTACTTCATGTGATTACATCATTCTGCAAAGAAGACATAAATTCACACTCAGCACTTTTCAACCTAATATTGAACAAATTAGCACAGAATGTGTGTGTGTGTATATATATATTTTATCATTGATTGAGGTTTTAACGTTTTATTTATTTATTTATTTTGCGAATTAAGGTTCCTTGGAAGGTAAAAGTTGGGTGTAGCGTGTAAGAACAAGGATTCAACTTTGAAGACCTATTTTTGTAAACAATATCAAGGTCTGTCCCTAGTTTGCCCATCTTGACACCCTTGATTAATGGGATTATGGGTAGTACAAAAAGTAGAAGGGGTTTAGGTTCTATTTTGATTCCTTCAAAGTAGTTCTAAAGAAGCTTACAATTTAAGATTTGCAAAATGAAAATATTGGATAATAAGATGTGTAATACAATAACATAACTCTAGGCCGGCTAAAATGTAAAGTATCAATATTTCATAAGCAAACTAGCTGCAATTATATGCAGGACAAGACATAATCCTCAGATAGTTAGATTCCTAGCAAGAATTCCCTCAAATGTTATGCCAGGTCCAAAAGCCAATATCAACCCCCATTCACTCTCTTCTTGCTTTTCTTTCTTCAACTTCAAGTTCTCTTCTAACATGTACTCCAGCACATACACAATGGTATTACTACTAGCATTTCCATAATCTGCCAGAGCCCTCCGACTCGCACTTAGTTTCTCTGGCAACAAATCTAGCTTCTTCTCCAGCCGGTTCAGAATAGCAGGGCCACCAGGATGAACTGCCCAAAACATCTTGTTGTACTCTTTGTCATCGTATCCAACTGTCGCCATTAACTTATTACAGAATCCGCCAATGTGATCTTCAATTATCTGAGGAAGCTCCCTTGATAGCTTGAAGCTTATCCCCTCTTCTGTGAGCCGGCCATCAATAATCTTTTCAGTGTCTGGCAAGAAATGCTGGATAGAAGTGTGCAACTCAAAGAGGGGCCTTTCAGTGCCTGAAACCGGCTCTGAACCAATTATCATGGCCCCAGCTCCATCCCCAAATAGTGCAACTCCGACTAAATCATATGGCCTGTTGGCACTTGGTGGTTTAAAGCCAATAATGGTTGTTTCCGAAGTGGCAAGCAGAACTCTACTCCCTGGATTATTTTCAGCAATGTCCTTTGCAACACGAAGGCCAGCGACACCTCCAGAGCAGCCCATGAAGTAGAGCATTACTCTCTGAGTTTCTGGGCTTAGTCCGAGTCCTCTTGCTAAATAAAGGTCGCCCCCTGGCATGCGAGCTTCACTTGAGGAAACATAAACCAAGTGGGTTATATCTGAAATAGGTCTGCCCCAGTTCTTGATACAGGCTTGTGAAGCTTCAATGGCCATTTGTGTGACAGCCTTGTTGCAGATATCTAATCGTTGCATTACAGTGGGGCTGCCTTCAGTGGCAAGCTCAGGGTACTTCTTTAGGATCTCTTCTGACATGACCACATACCTTGTTTTGACTGTGGTTGTCTTGCCTGAAAAGTTCCAGAGAAGAACCAAATTGCAGATGTTTCAGTTAGAAGCAAACTAGCAAAGAGAAACCGAGTTTATAAATATTCACCACCTTAGAGGTTCTCTTAGGTGAAAAACAGATAGTTGATGATCATAATCTACATGTGACAATCAAAGTCGATAGGAGATTAGCCTCTGAAAGGTGCTATGATATGATTGTCTTTAATTATCCAGTTGGGGCCAATTTCCACAGTGATTTTCATGTAGGTCCAAGCCATTCCAAGTCCTCATATACGGTATTTCTATGCTTTAGACTTCTTTTATCTAGATCTTAGTATATGAAGCATATATAATTCATCACTGAGCTATAGACTGCAATATTTTAAGATAAAAAAGCCTTTTTCATCAAGAAAATGGATAGGTTATTCCTAATTGTGTGCAATTATTTGAGCCCCCTAGCAAAACCTCCCCAATATTTTCAGTGTGGGGTGTTTTGCATGATTTAGCTGCGGAGAATCCTTTCCTTGAGACCGGCACCCACGGGATCTTTTTAGACTTGGCATAGAGTGTGAATGTATATATATAGCCAAGGAGGTGTGTTACTAGAACTTTTCTCACATTTTTCAGTGAATGATCAGAGTAACCCCCCTAGGCCTGACATGTTGACATAATTGGCGGCAGGTGGATATTTAGACGAGCCAGATTTTACCTAGTTGCTTTATTTCTCATTTTCTCTAACACAACCTTCAAGTTCCATGACAGGTTCATGCAATTTTAATATTATAATTAGAAAAGGAAATGAAATAAGTTGAGATGGTGTTACAGAGTCTTGTTAGCTTCTGCTTGAGGTCTGGATCATCACAATTAGTGTTCTTGAAATACCCATCAACCAGGAATTCTTGCATGACAAGCTGGTGAGGGAAGGCCTTTCCAAGAGCCAGAATTGTAGCTCTCCCCGGGTTCGCCTCTTTTGAAGAACCTTCTTGCATGATTTCTGCGCTTCCCATCTCTCTCTCTCTCTCTCTCTGTGGAAGAAAAGCTGGTTAACTAGCCTGCTGCAGAGATTGAAAAGAGAAACTATTTTTCTTTGCAATGTAGCAAGCATAGGACTTGCTCATATATATAGCTGCATAATGCAGTTTTTATATCTAACAAAATAAACTGCAAGGATTACGATTAGTGGGTTTTTTTTTTTTTTTTTCCTCTTCATATGGGAGAGAGTTGGGAGAGTCATATTGTTGTTCTTTATGAATTTATTATGTATGGTTGAGATGCAAGTAGTTCATGTGTCATGTTTGAAGGTGTTGATAGAAGTTTGGTGTAGAGGTCAGGATTGTGTTTGCAGTGAGATCTGTTGTGATGCATGATATTGTCAACCATGTTTCATGACCACCTGATAAACGAGTCTTGTGTCACCTTAAAACTGAATCTTAGGCAAGGTGATATACATATTGGTGATTACAAAGTGCCTGAAAATTATAGAACTTGCTCGGTTCAGTTTTTCAGTTTTTTGAGAACTAAAAAGCAGAAAATTGTACAAAAATTTTGTTTGGTTGACACTGAAAATTGTATCAGTGCCTGCAATGATATTGAAAAACATAAAGCGAATACTTTGAAAAGAAAACAACATATTATATAAAAACAAATTGGGAGCACCGGTTCAAGTCCCAGCAGCGCAATTTAAAGAGAACTTTCTTCTAAGTCTTTGGGACGAAATCAAGGACAAATAGTCTTCAATCAAAGGCCCTTTAGCCTAAGCGGTATAAACCTCCTTATTTTCAAAGAGGAGGGGAGGGATTTAGCCCGGGCTTGGGCAATAGGGTGTGTGTGTTTGCTTTTAAAAAAAAAAAAAAAACATTGATATCATAACAAAATACTAATGTGTGTGCAAAATAAAAATAATAATGTGTACTGTATATAGCTAACTTACCCAAAAAAAAAAAAAAAAAAAAAAAAAAAATACCCTATAATTTTGATTTGGAAATGGACTCTCTCTCCCATGAGAGTTCCACATTCGAGTCCCAGTCTCGGCAGTGGAATTTGTAAAGAGCTTGAAAATTATAGGGTTTGTTTGGTTCAGTTTTATCAGAATTAAAAATTAAAAAATTATAAAAATAAAATATATTTGATTGACAGTGAAAATATTTGTATCAATGTCTGAATATAGAAAAATATAATTTGAAGATTTTAAAAAGAAAACACCTTATTATATAAATAAATTAGCATGTTGTATCACAATCTGTAGCGGCTAAACGTGATTTGGTATATAGCTTCTCTCATGGAGCTCCGATTAAGTGGAATTTAAACAAAACTTTCTTCTAAAAATCTTTGGGACGAAATCAAGCAACAAATATGTAAAAGCTACGAATATATGCCATGATAGATAGGCTTGTACCCTTGAATGAAATCGATGGAATTTTATTTTGATACATACGCACGTTATGTATATTTTGGGTTGAGTATGTTTCGAAACCTCTAATCCAAAATTTAATTTGGATTGACCATCGATCGAGGTTTTGGAACTTGCAGATATCTTATGATAATTTTGAAAATTTGAAGATCTAACTCAATAGCTTGTACTGTAATTTTGAATTCAGTGATGAAGGATTAATTTGGTGTTAAGAAGTTTTTTTTTTTTCGAAAATATGGCGTTAAGAAGTTACCAACTAAATATGGTCCTCGTTGTAAAAACCATAATAAGTATATAAAAAATAAAGTACAAACAAAGTATACAAAATCCGCTGTAGCCAACTAAATCACAGTGTATTGTGTTGGTTCTCTAGCGAGAGCTCCGGGTTCGATTCCCGGCAGCGGAAACTTCTTTTTATAAGATAAGAATCTCTTTATGTCTTTCTGAAATATATATATATATATATATATATATTTGTAAAGAACTATTTTGTATAGTCATATGAAACAGAGCCAACTTGTGCAGCAATTTTCTACCACAATAGAGTAAATCAGAATTTTCTACCACAATAGAGTAAATCAGAATCGGGAAAACAGACAAAGAAGCAAGCAAATATGACCATCCATCCTAGAGAGGCACACCAACGCCATAACCAAGAAGCCACCAAAAACTTGGATGCCTTAATAACATATTGTCAAAAAAATCTTCTTTATGCAAAACAAAGAAACATATTTTGTTGGACAGAGAAATGATGGGTATGAACCCTATATTCTGTGTATTTCCCCCCCAAAACGCAGCGTGATTATACAAGTTTCATGCTCTTCCAAAGCTCAACAATAGTAGCCAAAAGTCTAGCATCATCTCAAGATTAGCCAATTGGAAAGAAATAATAATAATAATCAAAACAAAAGACTTGTTTGGTTTACAACTCAACAATTTTCTGTTCTTAAAAAATGAAAACTGTAAAAAAAAATTCTGTTTAGTTCAATTTTTTAAAAACTGTTTTATGAAAATTGAGTTATAATGTTTTCAGATAACTATCTTTTATAGTTGTCTGAAAACAGTTTTTTGTTTTCTGAATTCTTGAAAACTATTTTCAGAGTTACAAACTAAGCAAGCCAAAGTCTCTTCACAATGTTCTAGGACAGTTATTCGGAGATTTACAAGTCAATAGATGGAAACCAAGCCATGTCCAACGCAATGAAATCTGATCCACCATTCCTTAAAAGGGAAATCTTATACCATCTACTACTATTACAAGGAGAAATTACTGTGCAGACACTGGTATGTCCATGCTGGTACAAATTAGTAACAAGAATCAAATAACCTTTGGTTGCACAACTGAAAAATGTACCTACACTACAAGTATTAGCATTTTACTTTAAAATCACACATTTTTAATCAAATATGACATATTTTAAATAAATGTTGTGGAACACATTCTATTACACATCTTCTCTGTGCAAACAATAACTGGAATTGGCTATGATGGGTCAAAGTTCGGAAAGGCACTTCCCATTGATGTAATCAACAACTTGGGTGACTGTTACATCGAGAGCATTAGTCACTGCTGCCAAATTCTGCAAAAATTCCTCCGTGGTTGGCTTCTCGCCATCAACAATATCAGTCACGGCTTTTATGAATATTGCAGGGACTTTCAAAAGATCTGCCACGTACGCAACAGCTGCTCCCTGAAATAAAAATTTAAACAATAAAAGGTTTAACTGCAACGTGAGAGGGAAAAACTTTTCCTTACTAGTGTTCAATATTTCAGGAAAAGAAATCTGAGAAATAATTCCAGGTACTGTCCATTACTTTCACATTTCTAGCAGAAACCATTAATACTTCATTGAAAATATATCATATGATCCATGAGTGAAGGAAAATGATTTTATACTTCGATGGCCACAGCCAGTTCCTTTTTTTCTACTTAAGCAGAGGCCATCTTATAACAGCAAAATAATAGTAAAGTCAACTATTAGTTACACTTAGACCGAGTGACCAGGGAAAGAGATGCGAATTGCCCCACAGGGCTTGGTCCCCGGGGTAACCATATGAAGTGGAAAGAAGAAAGCGCTACTGAACGAGAGCGAGTGAAGTTAGTAAGCCCACTCTATTGTATCTATTAGAGTCACCCTCCAGAGTCACTAACAACATATATATATATATTTAGATATGATACTAATTCTTCATAAGCTTGCACTAACAAAATTTCTTGGACAACCATCTAATTGACTTTCTCTGTTGTCTGAGTGGCTCTTAAGATTTCACACCCTTGTGAGAACCCAAAAGAGGATATGGAGGGAAAAGTAACTTGGTAAAATTGGCGTACTCAATTTGAGAGCCTGACTATCATTATATACAAGAGGAAAATTACAAATATGGAAAGAGAATAAAATCAAATCAGAATAAAGAGAATAAAATCAAATCAGAATAAAAATAAAATCCCTAAATATTATCCTATATTGAAGACCCAATAAATCTGCCACAATCATTGAGTCAACTTATGGATATGATATCCAACAGAGGGAAGAATAGCCATGGACATTAAATTCTTAACCTAAATGAATGCGACTGAACAGTTGCTTTTTACAGAGGAAAAGACGTATAAGCCTGTTAAAAGTCCTTTTTACACATGAACCAGTGATAGGTAGCCAAACTAAAGATTAGTTTCTAAAAATTACTCTTTCCTCAACTTGGCATAAAAAAATGGAAGTGAAAGGCAACCAAATTAATATAAAGAGTAATAGGCAAGGACTAACCAGTTATATTCTAATCTTACTGAACATCTTATGTGAAGCCACAAGTTACTGGTACAACTTCCATTACACCAGTGTCAAACTTTATGAAGTGAACACATCACTTGCAGATCAAAGGTATCTTAATTTTTGTATTACAAAACTAAACATTTCTATGCCCATTCCCCATAAAAGCTTGATTACAGAAAGTAATGAATCTTTATCTTTCGGTCCGGGAGGTTGAAATGGTTGTTCCTCCCTGCGCACCCCGCCTAACAAAGATGGTTTATGAAAGACAATGCCAAGACAACCGTTAAACAACTTGCCACAAGGCTACCAAAGAAATGAGTGACAGTATCTTCTCTCTCCCCTCACCCGCTCCTTTATTTTTTTACTGCTATTGCAGTTAATGGTTCTTCATGATAAAACAGAACTGAATAAATGATCTGGCATATGCCTAAAAAAAAAAGGAACTGTCTCTACTACAGTAAACTTTCAGTTATATTACCTGACGTTATGGTAACAAAAAGAAGGCTAAAAAATTCCTCTTTGTAATAAGAAAGAAAATATAAAAAATTAACCAACAGCAAATGGTTGGATTAAAAGTCTGTTGAGTTGAAGTTGAGAAAAGATCATAAATCCATTAGATCTTGGGCATGGGAAGGGAAGGAAGTGACGATGCAGTTTCCCAAATTTCTAACAGAGGATAGTGTAAAAGAAATATTACCTCCATGTCTTTGAGTGTTGCATCATTTGCAATGATTGACGCTTCATCCTGTGGGGACATATCTAAAGAGTCGCCAGTAGACAATTTGCCACCCTGAAACACACACAAATATAATTGAAACCTGGATCACTGGTGATAACACAAGGAAACAATTAAGTAGAACAAGAGTTGGACTTCAGTGAGAATGTCTACCAAAAGATAAATTAATAGGATTACTTTACTCCATTTGCAGGCTATATATGCAACCTCATGAGTCAAGTAGGGCGACAATAAAATGGGTTAATATTAAAACTTAACCGTAAAACTGGACATGATAAATGGATTACATCCATAACCAAGAATGTTTTGGCGCATATGAACGTAGTCTTAATGGTATCCACCAACCAATAACAAGGCTGATGTATTTTATGTATTAATGGATTGGTAAAGCCGTATTGGTTCCAAGCAATGATAATTTCCATTACGAAACATTCTAGGAAGCAGAAAACTCATTCAATAATTCTAGGTTATTAACAGAAGTAATATCCATGAATAGGGGTTGACCTACAATAATAATGAAAGCTGACTTTTGATTTTATACATACTAGCGGTTGCATGCTATATAAAAATTGATGCAGGATCAAAACATAATGTGCTCGTTGACCTCCTCAAGGGATAACCCTCCACCATCTAGAACATACTCCCCTTAACTTTAAAGAAATTATAATTGACCATCTCCACTTCTTCCTTCTAGAGGCTCGTCTCCTTTATACCGAGTATGAATTAAGGTCCCAAACTGAATTTGGAGCCACCAAAGAAATATCAAGTACAGATAAGTCCATATAAAGAAAGGACAGTCAATGGCAACATGGCAATAATCATCACTCCCTGGGAACAGAACAATATCTGATTATTGCAACTAAAAGGGAACACTTCTATTGCTGTTCAGAAGACATTTTAAGATGAGAAAAGTATCGAGACATAACCAATCCGAGAACTTCTATACACGCATCTCTAAGTTACCTTTATTTGCACATGGCCTGATATGAAACTAGAGAAGTTTTGAATAACTAGTATGTGTCTTTCAGCAAATAATTAATTGTTTTTTAGTTCATGTGTATATGAAAATGTAGAATATACACATATATACATAAATAAAGGTTCATAGAGGGACCATCTGGATCCTTATAGTTAATTCTGATATGTTGATTCCTTGATTGAAAAGATATCGGGGTGTACAAATTGAATCCAAGATGGCCACATTAACAATACTAGAATCCTCATAAGGCATCAGGCATAAGACTTGCTACTTAGTAACAATTAGTGAGAAATGAGCATTTACAAATGCCAATCCTTGTAACTAGAAGCAACCAAAATCATGACACCAATGATTCGTCCACAAGAGACAACCAATGAAGCATTGTTGGCGTTAAAATCAAACATCTAATGGCAAAGGCCATAATTCCTTCTCGAGAACAATTTAAAGTTCTCTATTCTGCTTACTTTGTCATATGAGAAAAATCATGAATCGATAGAATATCAATATTTTACTTTGATTTGAATAACATAATTATAATTCAATTCCCACTAGAGAGCAGAGAGTATGTACTTGTAAAGGTAACAACTTAGGATTATCATTCTATGTTTGCCAAAGGGTGAATTACACTCACAACTCCTGTGGTTTGATCTTATTACACTCGCTGGTTAAGATTGGCCTTTATTACACTGACCACCCCTTAAACATTAAAAATAACCTGAAATGTCATTTATGCCCAGGTGTTTATGAAATAAAAGCAAATGACTGTCATATCCTTTATCAAATTAGGGTTTTTAATTACAGCCGATCTTTCTTCTATCTCCCACCCTCTTACTACCTTCGTTGCATCCACTATTCATCCACCTCTCTCAGTTACTCATGGCGCTCTTGGATCTTGTCGGTGTGCTCGTGAGGATGCTCGGCAAGGATGCAGCAGAGGTCTTGCCGGTGAGCAAGGAAAATGAGGAAGCGGTGAGCTCGGAGTGAACTGGATGAATTTACCGGCGAGGACAAACCTCAGGCATGGAGGACTAATTAGCGGGCATGGAACGGCGGCATGCTCGACGATGACAAAGGACTGAAACCGATGCGGCGGTGTGCTTGGCAACGTCAAGGAGTACTTACCGGCGAGTAATGAACGGCACAGTGAGTGCTGAACTTCTTAACGGCGGCCAATGAACTTACCGGCGAGACGGTCTGAACTGAGCAAAGGTAAAGCTTATCATGTGGTGAACAACGTTTGTAAGAGTCGCGATTCCGACGACGGCAGAGCACTGATGGCAAGAAAGCAAATTTCCGATGATGGTGAAGCACGATGCCGACGAGCAAGGTTTGAACAACGGTGAGCTCGGTCCGGCAAGCTCTAGAAACTCCATTAGCATGAGGATCGGCGAAACCCAGAAACCAACTACTGCAACTACAACCAGTTGAGACCTAGAAGCTCTGAGTTAACCGTGACCCAACCAATAAGAGCCCGAGTGCAAAGATCTTCATAACAACGACCAAACACCGGTGACAGGAAAGCTTCAAACACCATGAGTCAATGACCACCGACGAGAACAACTCTGAGCACAGAGATACAACGACCCAATCGTGAGCTTCTAAGTTATATACTTCCGACGAATTTCAATTTCAGTAGGCTACAGTTCCGGTGAGTTTTAGTCAGTCATACAAATTCCGATGCCAAGATTGTTGAGGGTACAAACTAAAGTGGAAGGACCTGCATTTGGTGCATCGAAGACCCAACAGTGAACGCCTCACTCAAACCAATATAACTGAGAATTGGTATAATAGTTTTGTGAATCTAAGAAAGCTGTGTATGTCTTTTCCAATACATAAAGGGAAAATCCGTCATCAAATTAATGTTGGGGGTTATTTGTTATTATGTGCCGAACTTGAGGGGTGGTCAGTGTAATAAAGGCCAATCTTAACTAGCGAGTGTAATAAGCTCAAACCTCAGGGGGTGTGAGTGTAATTTTTGACAAACTGGATGAAGAAGAGGGCTCTCTGAGCATCCAAAAAATTTCCTTGAAAGTAATTTTTGTACCATACAATTGGCCATGGGATTCTGTAGAAAGGTTGTGTGTCATTAAGGAAGCACAACTAATAAAGCAGATTTAATAGACCAAGCAAAATGGTCAAAATTATGTGGCAACATCTTATTCCAAAAAAGAAAGCATCAAGGCATATGAGAGATTTCAATGTGGCCAATTGTTGTCCAAGCATTTTACTGCAGATTAATCACCTTTAGGTTAAGATCCTTCAAGAGATTGGGTGTTGAGGAAGCCTGCCGTAGACCAACTCCATAAAGATCAAAAACCTGTAGAAGGAGACAAACGATGATTGAGTTAAAAGTGGTAATACAAATGTATAACAGAGGGCTAAAAACACTCTACTTAAAAATCATGGAGCAGGTGAGACAAGAAGAAAATAGTTACTTTAGAATTTTTGGGTGCATGAGACAGAGGTTACATTAGCATTGGTAATATATAGGTTCAGCATAAAAATTGAGGTTTCATTCACCCTCACATCCTAAAATACCAAGAGTATGGACTGTACTAAGATATACAATAGGAAATGGACTATATGAATGCATCTGCATAGAGCTTCTGCTGAACTAAGTACTCTAATTAACGTATATGGAATTAAGGTGCAAGCCTCAGGATATAATATTGGCTAATCTACATTAGTCACCAAGTTGCATTTCATCAAGTTAATAGATATGTAGATGAGTCCTCACATTTGCAACTATTTATATTCATGGATCACAAGTATCGAACTAGTGTTGGGTTCCAGCATTCACATCAGCAGCAACAAAGAGCTAAATGTATTTTAGTACAGTTTGTGTGGATTTTTTTAATATAATGTTAACAATCATCACGTAAGGGATCCTCATGGCACCTGTTTCCATGCCACAAATGGACAAAGTAGTTCTTCACCAAACAGAACCTTGACAATTACAAATCTGTTCCATAAATTGGTGCAGGGTTTGTGAGGAAAGCTTACAGGGATAGGTATCCTTCTATCATGGAAAGCAAGTTCTGATGCAAGAAACACATCGCCAACGCAAGCTCCTTTAGCCTGAAATCACCTTAACATCAATGTGGAAATACATATATATAAAAGTAACAATTGATTCATACATTTTTGTGTGATTGTGATGAACAAAAATCAATATTTGAAGCAGTAACTTCACATATTTAAACAATAGAATTTGACAAGGCCAATCATAATTTTCAATAAAAGGAGACTGTACACAATTTCCTGTCTACCAAAAACACAATCTGATACTTTGTGGTAAAATTAAATTTAAACTTTTCAGTGCCTTCTTCTATAGAAGTACTCCTCTTACTAAGGCAAATGTCTGTATCGTGGCCCAAAGTGAAAAGAATGATGATATGGTAGATTGTTATCCGTGATAGTTTTAGACTTGACACAAAAGCAAACTGTTTCTTGGTGTTAAGAAGGACAAACACTCTCAGCACCTCAAAATAGGAAAATCTCCAACATAATTTCAGAAATAAGAAAAACAGTAGTAGAAACAATCATTGGCACAAGAACAATACCTTAAAGCCACCAGCAGTGCCTGCATTTATGATAAGGTCAGGCTGTAGTGCTTGGATAGAAGCATAGGTGACAAGAGATGCAGAAATCGTGCCAACACTGTCAACCCCTGAAGAGAAACGGTTCAGAGACTCGAGCGCTGTTTAATACCAACTTAGCACTTTATTCTAAATTCAAAAGTATTCTTTTTAATGTCCTCTTGTTCTTACTTAAAGTCAATAAAACAAGCATTTTTCATTAAAATCCATAGAATTCCTCAAAGAAAGCCATCATAGAGTGCCAATCAATTCTGAATGATAAGGACTTCCAATATGGTATAAATCACATGGAGATCCATTGTTCTTCAAAAATAAAAAATAAAAAATTGTCTCACTACAGTGATAAACTATTGTGATGAAGATCAATTTTCAGTCAAAGAAACACGCTATTCTGGAAGTCCTTCAAATTCCCAGACTTCCAGCACGTATAAACAATGAATCTTAAACTAGGGAGACAAATATTCAAAATCTCTAACTAGGGAACAAAATGACTAACACAACTGTGTGTTTGATTTGCTGCAAATTGGACATACACTGCATGGCACAAGTTTGAAGGCACATAATAAACAATAAGAAAGCCTCTGAATTCTTCTTATATAGATGTTTCAAGAAGCTACAAATGGTAGCTGGATAAGACTGAATGTGATACAAAATGGGAAGCATTAATTATTATAAAATTCAACAATGATCCACAAATAACTTTTCTTCCAAGTATAGAACACTTAACACTGCATGGTTTAGCACAAGATGGTGAAGGCTTCATATCAGATTGACCCAAATATACTGGATTCTAAAGAAAGCTTGGAATATCTGTATAGGATCAACAAAAGTAGGCAAGGTCCACAGAGGAAAAAGGTTTGGGCTGTGTTTTTTGGTGTGCTAATGTGTCATATTAAAGCGGACTAGGTAAACTTGGGTTCCGTTGCTCCACCCCTCGCACACTTGAACTCATGAACCTAATATAGAGTATTCTACCAACAATGATAAAGACATGATGTCTCTACTAAGAATGTCGTTTTTGAAAAAGAGAGCCAACAAAATGAGTTAAGCAGCAATGCATAAGAACTCATAATTGCAGAACATATCCACACAGTTGCCAGAACACATAACCAATTATCTTAACAAAGTAAATTGAAAAAAGAAAACAAAAAAACATGTAGTAAACCAAATACCCACCCAAAACTGTATCTTTTCCTGGTGAGATTACATTAATATTCAGATCTTTGTAAGTGCCATGGAATCGGACCCAAGGGACCCCTTTCGGGAACCTGCATGATTGTGCAATAGTAAGTAAAATCACTACAAAAGCAGACCTTTAGTACTCACAAGCGCCAGCGCAGCAAGTTGAACTTTTAAAATGAAATATCTAATAACTACTATTCTCTTCCCTTCTGTATGTAAGAAACCCAATCAAAGACCAGACAACAAACTTAAAAACACTCATGAAGACTATTAAACTTACCCGTGCACTTTATATATTTCAGTCAGTATGTATATATATCACATGAGTAGCATAAAGATGTACTTTGACAATTAGATCACATGTCAAACCCATATGAATGGAATAAAGGTAGGCAAACCGTAAAGCAAGTCTCCAACTCAACTTACTGTCAAAGCTCAATAATTGAGCAAATGTGGGAAAATGAAAAAAATGTGGATATTTGTTCCATCCAAGACACAATTCAAGGCAACTCAACAACAAAAAACACTCTCATGTGTTACAGGCTGGCTAGTGGTAGCCACAAATCTTGTTTGCTTGCCGTTCGGCTTTATCTAGTACCATTCCCCCTCATAAACCATATGCCAACATATCCACTTTTACTACTACCTTAATTCATGTCCAATTTTCAGGGTTTATTGTCAAAAATCCATTAGTTGTAGCTAACTAATAAAACAGTCCCTTTTATCTCCTCAACAGGAGTTCGCATAATAGTTAATAGATACAAATCATGACAAGACCAGAGTTATACATCCTTGATGCAGATTCACAAATAACATTATAAATAAAAGAAGCAAATCATGACAAGACCAGAGTTATACATCCTTGATGCAGATTCACAAATAACATTATAAATAAAAGAAGCAAATCATGACAAGACCAGAGTTATAAATCCTTGATGCAGATTCACAAATAACATTATCAATAAAAGAAGCAAATCATGACTTTGCCATCCGACATTGCACTGTACAAAGCCTCACAGTCACACATACAACACTAATAGAAAAACAAAGAATATACAACAAAAAATAGTAAGAGAGTAAGACAAATGGTTACAAATAACACAATGTATCAAAATACTCTGCAACTACGTTGATCTTGATTCTTGACAGTATACAACCATTAAACAAGATAGTTGATTAAAACGAAAAATGAACAACTAAAACATGGAGAATATAATCATGGAAAGAGAGAGAGAGAGAAAAAAAAAGGCGAAAAAATAAAAACTCACAGAGAATTGGGGTCCTCCGAAAGTTGAAACTTGTTCACGATTGGAAGCGCTTCAGTCTGCATAGCTGGTGATTGAAATCAAAATCAATCGAATTAGACAGAAACTAATACAAACTACCAACTGTTCAATAAGCAAGATATATATATATAGAGAGAGAGAGAGAGAGAGAGAGAAAGGGAAAGAACCGATGATGAAGACGATGGTGGAAATGGGGCGGTTCGGAGCTTGGGAAGCCATAGACTCCTCTGCAACTTCTGATTTGTCGTCGTGAGGAGCCATCATAGACTCCAGAATCAGAGAGCTTGATTTGCAGCAGCACAGCGTGAGAAAGTCTCGCAAACACAACTGATGATTCGATTTTAATTAGCTTTCTATGAAAATCTAGAGAGAGAGAGAGAGAGACAGCGACAAATAGAGAGAGATCGTATAAATCAGACTACCACTATTATCAAATAGGGTAGAAACAGGTAGACAGAAAAGACGTGTTTGTGGGACCAAATGTCATTCGTAGGTCCCATACATATTACCGATACATTTATCATTTTTCTGTCTCCCTTTTCTTTTGGCTGCGTTTTAGTAATTTTGTAGGAGGATTTTATTTATTTATTTTTGTAAAAATAATAATAATAAAAAATAAAGTTTATAATTTAAATTAGGCCACTAATTTTTTTTTTTTACAAATAATACTGGATTTTGAAAACAAATTCTTATCCATTGATGCATAAGGTTGTTCATTCTTCAATTATTTATTTATTTATTTTAAATGTAGTCTAATCCATTTGTATGAAATTATGAATTATGTATTGTTATTGACAAAAATAAAAACAAACTAAAAGGTTATTCATTCTTTAATTTTGTTATTGACAATTTATATGGACTTATGAATTATGTGTTGTTATCCCCCAATTTATTTGTTTGATTTACAACTTCCAAAACATTGGAATTGTGTTATTAAAAAATTACAAAGTTATTGTAAATTTGGTTACACAATTTTAATGTATAGGGAGACTAATAAAAAATATATGTCTTGAACATTAGGATACTAATGTAATAAGAAGATTCTTATCTCACATATTATAATTTTTCGATTTTCAGTTAGACTTTAATTTTATTCAACCGAATATATTCTTAAAATCATTAGTAATTTTTATTACACGTGAGACGAGGAGCCATATGAGAGAAACTTGACAGTACTTTATTGTTAAAAGAAAAACGGACAAAACACTTTTCTTCAAAGAAGGATCACTATCTGTAGACTATATAGAAAGAGATCGAAACAAATCTGTGGGAGGACATTCTCAAGTCATTTTAGTCTTAAAAACAACTCATCCACTGTTTACTTCCATATTAAATCCTTTCCCAGTAAAGTATGTAGTCCAACCAATAATGGATAAGATTTTTCCTTTTTAATAGAATAAAATAAACACACCAAAAAAGTAAATAGGGATATTTTCATTGTTCTTAATAGTTCGGTTTGGAACTTTCACATCTTGCCCTAATTAACTCACTAACCTCTAACATCCTTTTTACAAAATAATAATAATAATATTATTAATAAATAAATAGACACAGGACATGGTTTTTGACTTTGTATTCTATGCATCTCATTGTAATTCATTACCTAGCAGGCTAGTACCTACCGAAAGGAACATTGTCTAGGTTATGTCATTATCTCTGAAAGGAACATTTGCTAAAATCACAATCGACAACACAACCCCATCACAAATTTATTGAATCAACACCTCATATTCCTAACATGCTTTATAATATCACCAGTCCAACGCAGGTCCACATCCAATTACACCTGTGCTACTATTACTAATTTAAAGAGAATTTAAACAAGGCACGAAAGTCTTTAAATTAAAGTGGTAAATGATAATTGATACATTAATCCTCTATTTTTTTTTTTTTGGCCAAAATATTTTGGTGAATATACATGATTTCATATATAGCCACCAGTATTCGGAAACGAACGAGGATCATATAATATATCTTTAATCTAATAATTAACTGGTCTTTATCAGTATTATATAATATAAGGAGTTATTGTGCACAAAGACGTGTCTCGTGTTTGGTAACTTAAGTGATGAACGGACCTCACAATGTGGTGTAAGTGTTGGTGTTCGATTTCTCAATTGGAGATTGCTTTAAGATATAAATAATGTAATTTTTTTTATTTATTTAAAAAACTTAATTAAAGAGAGCGTTAATAGGATTTAATGAATATTATTTTTATCAGTTGCTAAAATCACAATCAACAACACAACCCCATCACAAATTCATTGAATCAACACCTCATATTCCTAACATGCTTTATAATATCACCAATCCAACACAGGTCCACATCCAATTACAGCTATACTACTGTTACTAATTTAAAGAGAATTTAAACAAGGCAAGAAAGTCTTTAAATTAAAGTGGTAAATGATAATTGATACATTAATCCACTAGTTTTTTAATTTATTTTCACGAAAATAGTTTGGTAAATGGAGATGAGGATCATAAAATATATCTCTAATCTAATATTTAACTGGTCTCTATCAATATTAAATAATGTAAGGTAGGGAGTCATTGTGCACAAAGACGTGCCCGGTAACTTAAGTGATTGGCGGACCTCACAATGTGGTGTAAGTATTGGTGTTCGATTTCTCAATTGTAGATTGCTTTAAGATATAAATAATGTAATTTTTTTTTTATTTAAAGAAAATGAATTAAAGAGAGTGTTAATAGGATTTAATTAATATTATTTTTATCAGCAGTATATCAAATATCAAAAGACCTCATATGCTATTTTAGCTTGAGAAAAGACCTCTTATGCAAATTTTGGCTATAGACCTCAACTTATAAAAAACAGGAATTTCGCAAGTGGTCAGTTCAGGACCATCCGACCATGGTTTAGCATCAACTCACAAAATAGGTACGAAGAAAGCAACCTCTAAATGGTAAAATCAAATGTGTCTTGATGTATCATATCAAGTAATACTAATTATCAAGTAATACTAATGCTACACTTGCTACTTACTAATAAATTCAATGAATTATACAAAATTAAAATTTATTTCTAATTAATTATATGAATCTGTCAAATTTTTAAATTCTTTCTTTTAATTTCATTTGATCAAATTATACTATTAATTTTAACGGTCTTATATAATTTTATTTTATAATATTTCGATTGATTTTTTTTTGTAACCTGTGCATTGTTATTTTTTGTTCAAAATGTTTGAATAGGATCGACGTAAAAGGTCAAACTCTAAATAAAATGGGTTTTTACTGGCAATGGTTTCAATAATAGGTTCAATAGCATAGCACAAAAACCCGAAATTAGGGGGCCAAAAAAAAATAAAAATAAAAATAAAAATAAAAATCCTCTGTCATTCAATTGATGTATATAAATGGACTGAGAAATCTGTTTTGATATAGTGGCCACGTGCTGGGCATGATGTGTCACACATGCTTGTTGATGTAATATTCTTTAATAATTCCAACTCAAATCTGCGGAGTGTAATGGATACACACGCTAAAAAATATTGCAAAAATGAAGTCCTTGAATTATTATATTAATACGAGTTAAGATAATCTTTAGTAATTTGCATTCAAATCTCCTCGTGTAAAATGTAATGATTGAAAATAACAAATGGAAGTCCATAAATTAGATTACGTGTCTATTTTATAATCAAATGTTATAATTCAACCAATATTAATGAGTAGTGGTCTATTAATATTAGGTCTCTATTTTTTTAAAAAAAGTAAGAGGTTTGAACTTTTTCATGGAGATGTGTGTGTAAATTACTAACTAGAAAGAAAGGAAAAATGTTGTAATTCAATAATATAAGGAACCAAATTTCTAAGGACAAATGAGTCTGTAAATTTTTTTTATCAAAAACCAAAAAAAAGTGGAAATCATACAAGGAAGAGAAAACCACTCCATAGGCACCTAACCATATAAAATAAATAAATAATAATAATAATACTAAAAATCCAATTGGTACAAGTTCCTCCTACTCAAAAGAGAGGTGGAGGATCTGTAAAATAAATAAATAATAATAATAATACTAATAATCCAATTGGTACAAGTTCCTCCTACTCAAAAGAGAGGTGGAGGATTTGAACCTTCGTGGAAGCATGGGTGGGTGGGTGGGTGGGTGGGTGTGATTGCTTAACATTACCTAAAAAAAAAAAAAAATTGATTTGGGGTAATGAATAATTTGAAAAAAAGACGTTTCTTTTTTTTTTTTTTTTTCAAAAATTAAGAAACAAAAAAAGTATGGTGTTGTTTGATAAAATTGAAAATTAAATATTAAAAATTTTAAGTACAGAAGATTTTAAACCGTTCAACATTAAGTGATAAGTGATATTTCTGTCATTTAAAATATTTATTTTAAGTGGTACTTACCGTTTTCACTAATACTCAAAATGCATTATCAAACGCACTTAATTGGATAAACGTTTAATCCATTCATAATTAAGCGCTGAATTGAGTTATAAACGGCATATAAGCCTTAAAATGGAAACATTATCGTAGAGAAAGTAGGCCTAGGCCTGAAATTTTGTTGGATCTCTGCGTTGAATTTGCTTAGGGGCCATTGGAGGAAATGAACTGTTATGCACACTTCGCTATTAATTCTGTTATCTGTCGGCAACCATTTGAGACCAAGCTCAAACCTTCAATCTGATCCGCCAACAAATAGTATTAACAGTTTGGCAATAAAAACACCTGTATACACATACTCAACCGGGACACCTTCACAGGTTGTACACAAAAAAAGACAGGTTGTAACGAATAAACACTTCATATATGATTATATGCACTCATTTATATGCACTCATTTACAAATTATCTGAGTTTGGTCCTTTGACAACATAGGCCAATACAAGCATGACTTGAGGAAATTAGAAATGAAGGCATGTGCAGACATTAGATAAAATCTTATGCAAGCATAACTCAAAAATGTTGGATAGTACGCATACAAAAAATTTACTAAAATCAAGCAATTAGTGTTTTGAAAGTCATATAGATCAGAAAGAGGAGGAGGAACTGGCGACGAGTAGGTTTTTGACTGGAGCTACCATTTGGTAGCATCGGGAAATTGTCTGGAGGTGGCATCTCACAGTTCTCACCGTTGAAATATATTCTTCTAGGAAAGGCCCATCCGTTTCCTAATGTAAATGAGTCAGAATCCTTTTCCAAAAGTATCTCTGTTGTGAGCGAACCCAGCTGCTTCTCATCAGCTTGCAACAGTTCATTGTTGTAGAATTCTAACCCCCAAAAGAGCACGACTTCATCTGCAAATGTCAAGGACTCAGAACTATAAGAAATCTATATAATGAGGGAAACAAGCAGCAGTCTTGAGTGAAATTTTTGTCGGTTGTTGTTCAAATCTTGTTGGTCTAACAAGAAACCATGATGATGCAAGATCTTAACCCATTGTTCAAATCTTGTTGAAGATAAATGAATGAGGTCATAAAGAATTTAAGTTTGCCTGCTACATTTACTTCTCTTCACACATAAAAAAAAAAAACATTGATCTAAAAGTATTCCAATTACAGCCCTGTAATTAACCCCTTCAGTATTTCATCTATGCAATCCACATAAATTTCTCTTGCCAAAAACACGATGCTAATTGGACAGCCAGAGAAATCTGAATCCTATAACATGGCTTATTTGCTATCAGCTAGCTTCCTGTCATCGATGAAAAGGGGGCAAAAAAAAAAAAGAAGAAGAAGAAAAGAAAATGTCACAAGTGGTGTTTCTGATAATCTGTCAAAAATTTAGTACTGTATTAGTTTTTGTATTATATATCATTTTCTTGAATGTAATCACCGCAGTTGTACTCATTTAGACAATTATTTAAAAGTCCATTTCTAAGAGTTTGAAATCTCCGACACATTGTGCCCATGTAGAAGCACAACACAAATAGCGTTGACAAATCTTAATCATATTGTAAAATAAATCAAAGCCCCTTTATATCGAAGCTCATTTTGACATGAAAGGAGGTAAATTGCTCAAACTAAATGACCAATGGTTCGAGAAATCTTTACATAGCACTAGTAACTATGTTTAAGTCAAATGAAGATCCAACTTTTGATATGTCTCATTGGTATTTGGTAAATTGACTCTACTAAATCCAGATCAATTAGTTATTTTAGCAATTTAATGTATATCAAACTTTTTGATGGAAGTTAAATCTCTTCCATTGATCATATTCAATATATGATCTTAATCGGTACAACAGGGCAAATTACATTACATGTCCAGATAATCTTTTGACACTGGTAAGGTAAAGATATATGGGTTTCTAGACCATGACACACACACATATATATATTTAGTGCATGCCTATTTATCAAGGGTTAAGAGGTATACATATCTTGCTTTTTAGTTAGGAATATTCTTCTAATTTGAGTTACTTCCACTACTGCCACATGATATTATAACATTTTCAGATAAAAGAGATTCCATTTTGGGCTTGAAATGCCGCATTGGCTATAATACCTTTTATGCCAGCAGTAGGAAGCACTGTACTGTTGAAGCTATAGGTTCGAATAGATTGACTGAAACCTGGATGCTGAACTAACACATTCCAGTCTGAGTAGTTTCTTCCATAATTATAGTTAGAGATTGTCAGTTTCACCCTCCAGTGATCCCTGTAGTTGTTCTTAACATGCCAATGAACTCGAAGTGGGCACATATGATCAGAGCATTGCACAATGTCAGGATCAGGTCGATTGTAAAGAGCATTCGCCACTGATAAAGGAGAACTTTCTCTGTTGAACACAAATACGGACGCAAGTGGTGAATTAAATTGCAAACTATAGTCTGGTGATAAAAAGATAATCACAAACAAAAACATGCCTTCAGCTGCTTGCTCTCATAATTAAAGGATGCTGTTAGTAATAACAAACCTAGCGCATTTAGTACTACTCTGGTCTGTTGCTCGGCATCCACAGCTGCAATTGGGGCATGATGTGATGGTCGGATTATAAAACGATGAGAGTGAAGCACAGCATACTGGTGTTTTATTAGCCACATAACTAGAATAGGTGCATGTTGATCTCCATGTAACTGAAAAGCGTAAACATCATCAGGCATACCATGGCTTAGACTAAAAGGGCATCAAAACAGGGGAGAAGAAAAAATAGAAGAAGAAATCTCAAAAAATAAGTTGTTTTCAAATAATATGTAGTAAATGGGGCAAGAAATAATCTTTCTTAAGTTCCCAATATCTTATTTCTTTGCTCATAATATTAACTAATTCTAAAGTTTAGGCCCTGTAAAAATTAGAGCTATATTTTTGTCTCATCTTTGGCAGGAATGAAAGAGAGGAGGAATGGCACAAGGTAATTACAGCTGAACCAAGAAATAAACTACAACATTATATGCATTTGGGATTTCTTGGATAAGTTAAATCTTCAAAATTTTCAAAAGATAAATTGTAAATTAGGTTGGAAGAAGATAGAATTTAACCAGTTATCCCCCTTCAGGGGGTTATGGAAAATAACACTCTTTCTTATCATAATTATTATCAGGTAAAAAAAAGCCTTTTCGAATAAATTATTCCTTTCTTGTGCTTTCTTTTTGTTTAAAAGGGAGAGAGATGAATAGAGAACAACAATCATGGTAATGCAACTGCAATGGCTCAGCTGACTGTTCAAGCCGCAGCTGTAACTTCTGTATCCAACTTTGAAACATATTTACACAAACTACATATATATATTATATTTGTATCTTCAAATTTCTTAAAGTAACTAGTCAGATCAAAATTCAAAGAAACTACCTTGAATTGGATAATCGACATAATTTTACATTGTACCATTTATTTTTGAAAACTTCCAGTATTTTTAAAACAAAAAAGAAGGGAGTATAATCTCAATTCTGTACATGGAGATCTGGTTTCCCATTAAGGGTTTAATTACTGTATCCCAGGAATATCACTTTTTCAATTATAGCTATATAATGGAATAGGCTAAACATTAAAATCAACCCAATGGAAATGAAGCAATATCAACCCGATTGGACGATTAGGTAGACCAGAGCACCTTCTTAAAATCTACAACATTTTACAGAATATCTAACTCATGAGATTGCAGGATAGTGGAACAAGTTTCACCTGCCAACCCAAATAGTTTAGAAAAGGCTTACTCGAATTGAGTTCTTTAATTGACGAGACACTTATCATCCTCAACACCTAAAATAAACCTCATTAGTGAACATAGCCATCAAATTTTATCAGATCCACCACAATCAGTTGAATGTCATAAGTCATTTTTTTTTTGAAAGTTAAAGCAAAGGAGAGATCATACCATTGGGCTAGAGGCCGTTTGGTCAGATTTTGAAGTCATAAGTCAGATTTTAAAGTCACTAGACATATCTACTTCCTAATTATACAATGCTATTCTGTTACTACTATAATTTTTGGAGTAAAACACTACTGCGAATTACTTACTGAAAACTTGTTCTTCTCTTCTGCCTCCAATACTTGAAGAAACTGTGGGATCAGTGGTAACAAGAGGGCCACAAGTGTAACCAGGTCCTGGTGCTAGTAAAGTAAGATTTACAGGCTTGTACGCGGAGAAATTCCCCAAGTTGCCAACCTTGATCTCAAAAGAAGAGAATGACTTCAAAGGGTCGATAGCCCAGGCAGCAAGAAGGCCACCGCGACAGCAGTCCTCTGACTTGTTTTGTGGCAAGGCCTCTGGTAGGAGATCAGCTATAATAGGGTTTTTCTTGCAGGAGTGTGGTGTCGGGGGCCTGAAGGATGAGCAGTCCCCTTCTTGGGTAGCAAAGGCACCAGACATTGACCAGATGAACTCATTGTTGGTCCATGTCCAGCCAAGGTTCCAACCAGGTTTGTCCACATGGCGATACAGATAGAAGTTTTGGATGTTTACCCTTGCCTGAAAATAAGAGTGCTGTTATAGGATGAGGATTGTGTGAAACAATAAATATTTCACAAAGAATTTGGACTGTGAATGCTGGAATGGTAGTAAGTCTGCATTAGATGTGAAAGTCACCACATTCCACCCAAGTGAACAAATTGTTCTTTGCACCATCAGAAATGATCAAAGGACAAGTACATGATCATAGCAGTAAATTAGGGTCATGAAAGTCAATTAAAAAGAATGCATTTATGTTCATAAAAGTGTGAATATAAGAATCAGTACACCTAAATCACTGACAGTATTCAAAAATCGTTTTCATAAATCAAGTTAAATTCATTGAAAATCATAAAAAACCACACACATGATATTTTGGGATTACAGCCGTTTCAAATATTTTTTAGCGTTAGATGATGAGGAAAAGAATTCATGGCTTTGATGGTCGTGTATGTTACGTCACGACTGTTGCCCTGTTTCTATTACATCGCAATCATCACAATTATGATGGTCATTACCATTACTTAATCCTTACTTTTACTAATTAGTATAATTTGCAATTTAATGCAATATTATCATACACTTTTTTTTATTAGTCAGCTAACTTTCTTTAATTTGACAAATCCCAAGCATGAAAAAGATAAAACTCAAGTTTTGATCACCGTATGGTCTGTGAAACAAAAAATTGATGAGGAAAAGATATACCTTTGCATCTCAAAATATACGAAAATCTATTTGCATTATGAACCTACAACAAAACTTCCAGAAACCACTAGCTACCATAATTTATATCGAAAAGCAAGATTATTATCAGTTCAATTCCTCTGCTTTTGCCCTGAATTATGTGTAATTAGATTAGCAACCAGGTTTACTTACAAAATAGAACAATTCGATAATTCAAGATCAATTAAGAGATTTTTGGGTGGTCGTTCAAATGAAACTGTCCATCCTGTTTTACATGGAATTGGTACAGACAAGTTGTCCATGTGGAATGGATTGTCACCACAATCATCTTATTGTAATAAAGATCAGACATCAGATTTCTCATTGAAATGGTATAAAATTTTAAGAAAGTAGCAAGTAAAATCAACAGACACATCAAAATTGGCTGCTGATAGTCGATCATTTAGTCAAAATTGAAAGCATAAGAAGCCGATAATTGGTAACAGTACTAACCACATAGCCATCATCTGTCCACTGAGGTATGTCGAATGTAATCGTGATATTTCCATTTGGATCCAAGGGGTCATAGCAATCTGCAAACCAAAGAAGTGCATCTCATTTAGCCAAAAGGAGATCTCTCGGATCAAATGAAATGAAGAAACAAGAAAGGAAAAGTATGATGCCTGATAAACTGCACATGGTAACTAATAATATCAACATCAGTGTAGAACACCATACACGAGAAAAGATTAACTCCATGCTCCTTTGAAGATTAGCAGAAATAGATGGATAAAAGTTTTTTTTGGCAAGGATAAGATGGATCGAAGTTGTTATAGTTTAATGAGACAAACAAGGTCTTTGAGTACTTTAGTACCAAGGAAAAAAGTTGTTCCAATCCAAGCTAGAGAAATCCATCTTTTGCTCACAGCTCATCAATGTCTCCCATTCTTAATCAGAACAAAGGAGAATCATTGGAAACATCAACTGGACATGAAAGACAAAAATCCCAAAGATAATGTCCTATAGAATTCAACTGGAAGATTCTTTTACGACCCATGCACACCAACCAACAGAATCTAAGCTATTGGAAGGCGGCCTCATTTGTCCTTTCCACCATCTCCTCCTATATGGTGGAGGGCTGACTGCAATAGAACATGCACAAAATTATGACCACACGGTAAAATGTTACATTTCATGCTCAGACAAATTGGAACTGTTGTTTCCAAAGAATGCAAGCTGTATATGTTGCAATCCAAGAAATAATAACTGGAAATTCTTGCAATCGAAGACTAACCTTGTCCCTTTCTTCTGGTTACTGTCTCTTGAAATTCTTGCAATCGAAGGCTAAGGACAAGAAAATCAAATCTAAAATTGCAATATCTAGATACACAGAGGGTAACTTGTCATGAACTATTGAACAATTTTGATAAATGACAACCTCGTACACAATATAAACACACAACCAGCCTGATATTATCCTTTGACATTGAAAATGAATTCAGAGATTACAAGAAAACACAATAGACGAACCTGAGTATGTATCAAATAAGGCATTGTCATTCATAGCTCATTTGATCCATCAAAGCCAACAGGCCAAAGAAGATCATTAGTTCAAACACAAGACTCACTGCATGTCTTAATCTTACGGCATATATGTAGCCGGCCACCATCAAACATTGACAATACCCTCGAACCCAACACATACTTCAACTTGTTTCAATTGCAATTTGGATCGAACATTTCATCGAACACCTTATCGCAATACAACAGACAGAACCCAATGGGCATTGAGCCCAGATAGTGTGATCTCTCCTCCATCACTGTTGGGGGCAATATTACGATTGTGCGCGCTTTTGCTTGAATCAAGAAAGAAAATAGTCAACCACCATTGGTTACCCAGGGAAAAAAAAAAAGAAAAAGGATTATAAATTTTAGAGGTATTAAATATTCGTGTTTTTGTGCTGTACAAAATTTGAGAGCTACTGGCCATTTATATAAGAACTTGCGCTGATTTTTGAGAGCTACTATACGATAACTCGCGTGCCATTTATCAATATTCTTTTACATTATATAAATATTGTCTCTAAAACCTTTTCAAGATTTTCTCTAAAAACTGATTACAATTGAAAAGTAGAGTCAACAGTCCCGCAGTGACTATACAGCACTATCCAACAGCTAGACCTTTTGAATAAATAATTAAGGGTCCACATGATACAATTAGTATCAGAGACAGACCTAATCCTAAACGTCTGAGTCTGCGGATAGAGGCAGGGTAACTTGACCGCAACGAACGCATTTCCCAAATACGACTTGGGACAAGAGCTTTTGATGCGGGTTGAAGTGTGTAACGCCCATTCCTTACAGCAACCATCTCTCCAGGTGGAACCACTCTAGACACAAAGGCTATTGGGGCGAGAGTGTTATAAAAATATTAATCCATAATTTCTCAAAAACAAATGCAGGCCTATTGGTTAGTTATATATATATATTTGAAAGGTATTGGTTGGTTATATTTATCCGTCTTTAAAAAGGGTCCACATACATTTTGGGTCAGAGCAAAGAGCGGGTTAGTTTTCTGGGTTCAATTTGGCTTGTGTAGGCAGGGCAGACAATTTTATGGGTAGAGAGGGGGTACTAGGGAATGTATCTATGGTTTACTTTTCACTCTCTTTTTATTTTTTTTATTCTTTATTCTTACTTTAAATTTAATATTTATATAATGATGATGGGATATTTGTTATCCAATTAAATTCTCCTTTCCTTCAACTCCAGCATTATAGTTACATTTCGCTGTCAGTGCAATATAATAAATTATATCCATTTTATTCATTTGAAGATTGAAGTCTTCACCATTCATTTTGGACGATAATGAAGATAATATTAGATCACAAGACTCTTGATCACATATATAGCACTTAAATTGGTCCATTAGTGCACTCAAAATTGGTATATAAATGCATTAAGATGAAATTATTGCTAAATAGTAGAATTTTTTATTGCTAAAAACTATAATTTATAAATTTTTTTTTTTTTTTTCATGGCATTATTTTGCGGGTAGTATATTGTGTTTGTTGGCTTGACGATAGCATATACAGAATTGTAAATTAAATATATTTTTTGTTGATGAAATTTTTTTAAAGTACTAAACTTCTATTTGCATGATAGAACTAGTTAGGTAGAGGGCACCGAAGTGAGAGAGAAGACTGAATTGGAATTCTAAACTAGAGCCCCAATTTTACTCAGATAAGGGTAAATATGGAAAAAAAATTATAAGAAGTTTGTTTCTTGTGATACTTGTAATTTCAGTGTAAGAAAAATAAGTGTTTTGACTGTTTAAAGATACTGGTGAAGGTTGTGCAGGGCCAATGTCAGCTCTTTTTATCATTTTTTTCATTAAAATGAAAAAAAAATTAAAAATATTCGTTTGTAACATGACAAAAGAACTTCTTAACATAAAAAAATAAGGCCTGAATATATGATATGAAATATGAATAACTAATTTACTTTATTGGCCGATCCAAAATTTTAAAAATGGTTTAATGTCATTTTGATCAATAAAAAGGGTATTATAGAGATTTCAGATCCAAAAATTGCCAATATTTTTTTTCAATATTGTAATGGTCTGCAAACAATAGGAGACTATTCACATAATTTTGAATTAGTATAAAAAGATTTTTGTGCAAAAACAGAAGTTGAAGGATTTTCTATAAATCATGACAGTTGAGGAAGGTTTTTCTTTTTATTTAATTTTGAAATCATTTCCTTTACCAAAAAGAAAAATCACTAAACGGAGAAACTTGTCATTAATAAGAAATTGAAATGCAATTGAATTGTCCAATAGACGGAGCCAGGATTTCATCTTAGCGTGACACAATGTACTTAATTAAAAAAATAACAATTTGAAATAACATAACAAATATAAATTGATCAAATCAAAAGGCAAAGAAAAAAAAAAAAAAAAAACATTTCAAAATAATATGCTAATCAAATAATAGAACTATAAGAAAAATAAATACGTGACAAATATAAAAACAAAAATATTGATTGATAATATTTTAATCAAATACTGTTTTTGATAACTATTTATAATTTGAAAGCGATGCATAAAATTACATACATTTCATAAAATTATAATAAAAAATTCAAATAAGAAGTGAAAAAAAGGTTACATAGGCGTGGTACATAACTGCAAAAAAAGAAGAGTTTTAATAAATGGGAAAAAAAGAAAAAAGAGAGAACTTTACAGAGAAAAAAAATTAGAATTTGATTGAAGGAAAGGAATGTAACTTTTTATTTTAAAAGTTAAAGAAATATAATTTTTAAGATGCTAATTCCCGTTCCATAAATATGAAAATCAAGTATGAAACAATAATTTAATTTTGATTGATAACAATATATATTTTATCCAAATTGAATGAGGGTTAAAATTCTCTTCAATCCATATATTGATTAATATTATTGAATTTTTATTTCTTTAAATAGGTAGAATAGTGATTTTATTGGATTAAAAATGGGGAGAAATGTGAATTTATAATATGATTATAGATTATATCCAACTGTTATAATTTTGTTTATTAAAGCCCAAGTTTGAAAACCTGGCTTCCAAAAATGGCCACTTCCTGTTTTGAGCTTCTTGTGTGTGTGGTTTTTTTTTATTTATTTTTATTTTTTTATTTTTTATTTTTATTTTTTAAAATTTTTTTTAGAGAAATCTGCCTGGATTTCACAATCAATTAAGACTCTTTTCCTTAGCGCCCCAAGTCCGAAACTAGAAATAAAAATAGATTAAATATTATTCAAAACACCAGAACAATTGTTTGAATTAAATAAATATTATTCAAAACACCAGAACAATTGTTTTGTTTCGAATTAAAACAAAATGTTTACCAAACCGGTCTTTCTTATTGTCCAAACATAAAAGTAGAACTCCACTGGAGCAAATGCAGGAGTGACAAAAGAAAAAATTAAACCCTAACTTCAACTCAATAATCCCTTGAATGATGCTACTTGGACGAGGAAGTGAAAGTGAGAATGTCCGGATTATTAAAGAAACACTATTTTTTGCTTGAGCTTCCTGCTGGACTTGTTTGTATTAGTAAAGAAATATAATTTTTAAGATGCGAGTTCCCCTTCCAAAAATATGAAAAGTATGAAACAATATTTTAATTTCGATTGAGTACAATATATATATATTATCCAAATTGAATGAGGGTTTAATACTCTCTTCAATCCAAATATTGATTAATACTGAATTTTTATATTTTTGAAAAGTTTAATTTATGAAACTTTAAATAGAGAGAAAAATAGTTTAGAAAACTTTTAAATAAGTAGACTAGTGTTTTTATTGGATTAAGACAGAAGAAAGGTTGATTTGTAATATGACCGTAGATTATTATATCCTACAGTTATAATTGGTTTTATTTAAAGCCCAAGTTTTGAAAGCCAGGCTTCCAAAAATGGCCACTTCCTGTTTTGAGCTTCTTGTGTTTTTAGAGAAATTTGCTGGGATTTCAGAATCAATTAAGGGAGGGAACTTTTCCTTAGCGGCCCCAAGTCCTAACTAGAAATAGGTTAATGCGAGGTTTTTAAACTAGTCATTTTATTTTTAAAATTTGCAACACTTATATCAAAAACGTTTTATGTTTTTACTTTCAGAATTTTTAAAATAAATGGACAATACTAAATATGTATTCAATTACTCCCTCCTGTTCAAAACAGCATAAAAATAATAATAATAATGATAAGGCAAAAAAAAAAAAAAAAAAAATTCCTTTACCAAACAAGTCTTTATTATTGTCCAGACATAAAAGTAGAACTCCACTCAAGCAAATGCAGGAAAGACAAAGAACAACACAATTAAACCCTAACTTCAACACAATAATCCCTTGATTGATGCTTTACTTGGAGGAGCTAGGAAGTGAAAGTGAGAATGTCCGGATCACATTCAAATTTCAACATGTCCATTTCGTTCAAGCTCACCCATGCTTCAATTCCATTGCCACATTTGGTGTCCATTAAAACAACCACTTCACAAGGCACATTCACACAACCACGCATCCAACATGGCTTTCCCCACCCAAAATCAGCTTCATACAATGGGAACTTACACAAGCTTGTAAAGGGATAGACATCCACTTTCTCATCACACATTCCTTCCTCAATTTCATTTAGAAATTCAACCACATTCGAGAAAACGTCGTCATCACTAATAATTTTCGCGAGATTGGCGTGGGTTTTTCGCATTGTATTGCCTATCAGCCCAACCAAATCATTCAACTCCATCTTGATCTTGCTCGTGTCTGACTTAAATTTGACCGGAACTACCATGTAGAAGTTCCCGAAAGAGCTCTCCGGTGTCACTATACCGATTTTTCCTCGTAACCCTATTGAAATGTTCATCACGGAGTCCCTCAATTGCCCGTGTTTTGCACGGGCAACATTGATGAGGACCTTCCATATCAAGGCTGTTACCACCTCCAACTTTGAAGGTTGTCGGAGTACTTCAGTAGTACTGCTCCAACCACCACCTTCTAACATGCATTTAGCCTTCAACTCCGATATTGTTTTTCCGTCCAACAAGAACTTTCTTGTGACAAAAATCTTTGTTGATCTGGTATTCTCCAAAGGTAGATCATGAGTCGGCTTTAGTACTCGCGATAAATCTCTAGCTGGGAAAAGAGCACTCAAGTCCAAACTTGGCCATTCTAGTACTTCATTACAATCCCCTAACCTGTTCGTAGCTGCCCATTCATTGACAAGAGTACTAAATGTGGATCCGTCAGCAATAATATGTGAAAGGTACACTGTGAGAGCTATACCTGTTCAAAATTAAACTTTCATTTTAGTATAATATTAGTGGGACGTAGTAAGTGTGACAGTACGTGAAATATATTATGTAAAACGAAAATGCATGAAGAGTTATTTGTGCTAGCTCCTGTGCATGTTTAGGCCACTTATTTTTAACAAACGAAAATAATACCTCCACATTTAAACACTGTGACTTGTACACCGAGAAGTGGGGGAGTGACTAGAGTCTGTGCCCCTGTTTCTAGTAGTAGTACCGGCACAAAATGATCTTCAAGCTGACTCTGCTGGAGGCTTTCGCCGAAGCCGAGAAATTCAGAGAGGTCATAGTTCACCTGGGCCTCCACATATGCAACCCCTTGGTCATTACAATCGACCAAGAGCTCATCTTTTACATATCTTCCTGCTAGCGGATAAAAGCGCGTCAAGGTATTGGAAAGTGATGTTTCCAACTGTTTGTGTATGTTGATATCTTTTTCTTTGGCATGAATGTTGTTGGTAGCTGCAGAGTAGAAGAAAAAGAAGGGCACATGTGCTGGAATGGCCAACTGATCAAAGAAGGATAGCTTGTAGGTTCTGAGGTGAGCAGGAGTTGGAGATGATGGTTTTATCAACTTTCTCGACAAGATTCGCGCCTCCATTGTAGCAGCTTAATCCTTTGCTTCAGTTGATGAGTTTGTATTTTGATGGTTAATAATGGAGTGCATGAATTTGCTAGAAGGTTTTGATATTGTAAACGTTGAGCACAGCCACCTATATAATGTTCTCACACATGTAAAATATGTTAAATAATATTCACTTGAGATATTCCATTATAAAAATAGTTCAGCAGCTTTCAAGAAAGGAAAGAGATCTAAATGCATACCGTATGTGGTATGTGAGTTGTATGTCATTGCAAGGGGTGTGTCACCAATTATCTAAGACACAAACCACCTTATTTATTTTGATATTTTATAATAATGTTAAATCTCATGTTACAATTGAGGATTTTATTTTTATTTTTATTGGCATAAAAGTAAAGAATATTATATATTTGAAATTTTTTATCAATTTTTACTTTAATACAATTACAAAATACTCTCCTAATTCTACCTATATCTTTAATAAAAGATTTTTTTATAAAAAAATAAAAATTAAATAATACTTAACTCTTCACCGACAAAAATATACACAAATCTCATTATTGATATATAAGTGCTTTTTTTAGAAAAAATCTACCCCCACCTCATTTATTATGCCTCTTGGCCATTTAATAACGTCCTCATTTATTGGTCCCTATTTGTACAACGTCGTCCATGCGTGTCATTCACCATTCATCGCTTGGGTCCCATCTGACAGCTTTAATTTTTGTCGTTTGCCCACTTGATAAGCATTATTCTTGATAAAATTAAATAAACCTTATGCCAAATCTATAATTAATAATCATAATAATAAAATATGATTTAGGAATAAATATATATATGACCCTCTTGATAAGTTTAAAATAACAAAGTATCTTAAATGAAATCTCCTAGGCAATTTAGTTTAAAATATTTAAGTAATTCATCCATTCAGCTCACAAATAAATTAAAGGCTCAGTTTGTTTTTGTTCTTTTTGTTTTTTTTTTTTTAGTCTAACATGGTCCATGAGGTTACCTTATATATAGCTCTCCTTACTTAGTTTTCTTAGCGAGATATGCTCAAAATTTTAATTTTGTCCAAAATTTATATTTTGTAGGATCTGTTTTCAAAGTGATTGTTTCTAACTGTTTGTGTATGTTGATATCATTTTCTTTGGCATTAATGTTGTTGGTAGCTGCAGAGTAGAAGAAAAAGAAAGACAACTGATCAAAGAAGGATAAGTTGTAGGTTCTGAGGTGAGCAGGAGTTGGAGATGATGGTTTTATCAACTTTTTCGACAACATTCGCGCCTCCATTGTAGCTTAATCCTTTGCTTAAGTTGATCAGTTTGTATTTTGATGGTTAATGGAGTACTGCATGAATTTGAAAGGAAAGTTCTGATATTATAAATGTTGAGCACATCCACTTATATAATGTTCACTTGCATGAGATATTAATTCCATTTTAAAATAGTTCAATTTTCAAGAAAGAAAAGAGATCCAAATGCATTGTGTACCCGAGTGAATGCATACTGTATGTGAGTTGTCTTTGTAAGGTGGGTGTATTATATATATAACTAATACTACAAGATTGAAAGTTTCACTTCCACTTCTTGCTCTCAATATCTTGTTCTCTATATTGTTTTTTTTTTTAATCAGGGAGTATGGGAATTGCACGAATCTATTATAGTATAAAAAAAATATCCATTAATTAATTAAATTAAATATAATAAGGTCGTAGAAAATATATTTTTAGGGATAAAATATGTAAAAAGTATAAGCTTATCAGTTTTGTTCCGACTAATTCACAAATTTGGACAAAATACCTCTCACATATATTGGGTAAAACTCAAACTACGGCGGTGTAAAAAATTATTTGTACGTTTGAGAATGATGTCGGATATCTCTCTCTCTCTCTATATATATATATATATATATAGTTTTGTACTCCCAAAAGACGTGGATTTTTCAATACTCTCCCTCTAAACCACTATTTTGTTGGACCTGCGTGAGACCCACAGCCTTGAATTGTGGTTGAACTTTTGGGCACATCCTTTTATAAAAACCCTTCTCCGACTCAAATAATTGGACCCCATCTTTACTGTTAAACAGCACGCGGATGAGGTTGGGCTCCCCCACCCCAAAACTGCCGGTTGCCATTTCTAAATGGACCAGACTTATTTTACGGCAATTAAGCCTATGTTTGGTGTAGTAGGTTTGAAGAGAAAGAATAACATAAGTTATGAAGAGACAAAAAAGGAAAAAATAATAAATATATTTTTAGGGATAAAATATGTGAGAAATATAAACTTATCAGTTTTGTTCTGACTCATTCACAAACTTTGGCAAAACACCTCTCACATAAATCGGACAAAATTTAAACTATGTTGGTGAATGCATCTCTTAAAAAATTATTTCTACCTGTGAGAAATGATACCTGATGCTTCATTCTCACTCTCTCTTTCTCTCTCTCTCTCTCTATATATGTATAGTTTTGTACTCTCAAAAAGACTCGGATTTTTCAATACTCTCCCCCAAAGCCACTATTTTGTTGGACCTGCGTGAGACCCACAGCCTTGAACTGTGGTTGAACTATAAAAACCCTTCTCCATCTCAAATAATTGGACCCCATCTTTATTGTTAAACAGCACGGGGATGAGGTTGGGCTCCCCCACCCCCAAAACTGCCAGGTGCCATTTCTAAATGGACACAGCTTTCTATAAAAGCCCTTCTACATCTCAAATAATTGGACCCCATCCTTATTGTTAAATGAGGTTGGCCTCCCCCACCCCCAAAACTGCCGGTTACCATTTCTAAATGGACCAGACTTATTTTACGGCAATTAAGGTTATGTTTTGTAGAATGGAAAATGATAACATTAGTTATGAAAAGAAAGGAAAGAAAAAAAAGAAAAGGATAATTTTAATCTCCTATTATATTTAGTTGATTAATAAAAATAAAAATAATAATAATAATAATAATAATAATCATGTTTGAAAAAAGAAAGGAAAGAGAATTATTTTAATAAATTTACTATTATACCTTTTTATATTTTAAATTATTATTTTTATTATTATTTACATGTAAGGCCCATGTATAATTTTATACTGAAAAATTATAATTTTGTTCTCATAATGTATTCTTGAGTTGCACTATTTCAGTTGCGATACTTCACCTGACACAGTAAAAATAAATCATTTAAAATCAAAATATAAGATTCCTTCAAAAAAAAAAAAAACTTTCGAAAAATAAATCAACAAAAACAACTCTCTTTACTTACCGAAAAAATAATAATAATAATAACTATCAAAGAAAGTAACAACTAAAAATTTAACGAAACAATAACTATGAAAGAAAACACAAACAAATCAATAAACTAAGAATTTAAGTTATTCAATCATTGATTCTTATTGATTTTCAAAACTTCATATGAAATTTCGCTCTTCTATATTTTGTAGAAATAAATTTCTTATAAATATCTTATAGAAGCATTTTAATACATTTCAAAGATATGCAAACCCAGTTTGTGAAAATAAAAATATATATAGAGAAAGACTTTGTTTTTCTATTATTCTAAGTACAGAAGGAAAAAAATGGAAAGAATCATGCTTGAGTTGGAAGTATTTTAAGATTGTTATGAAAGAATTAAGTTTGAGTTACCAGCACGCCAGTAACCTAGCGGTACCAAGCTCCTACTTTTCAAAGAGAAGTCAGGGGTTCGAGCCTTAGTGGAGGCATGTGTATGTGAGTTACCAACTAGAAAAAAAAAAAATTTAAGTTTGAGTTGGGATTTTTAGCCAAACACATCACATTTTCATGTGAGTAGATTTTTGTAGGGGTACTGATGGTTGTCAATTATATCATTTCCTCTATTTTAGACTACAAAAAAAAAAAAATTAGATATATATTAAGCAAGCTCTAAACTATTCTATTTTCATAACTTGATATGATTTTATCTGATAAATTATGATGTTCCAATAATAATATTACAATTGAGGATTTGAATATTATTTTTGTCCATATAACTTTCCATACATAATACAATTACAAAATACTCTCCTAATCTCACCTCTATAATAAAAGATTTTGTTATGACCTTTTTCTTTTTCACTTGCTAATACCAAAATATATCATGTTTGTTTTTTATATATATATGTGTGTGGTCCACTCATATTTATTCCAAATATTAGCTTACAAGAGAAATTCTTTACTTAGCTTATAGAAGCTTATAAAGGAAGCTCGTTATCTAGCTTTAAAAGAAACTTCTTAATTAGCTTACCGAAGGAGCCCATTTTTGAAGCTATGTATATATATATATATACATCATGTTAGCTTATGTTTGAGACATGTACTTGAAAAAATATATTAATAACATATCTCTTACTACTTTTATATTTCTGTCTCTTTGTATTACTCTCTCTCTCTGTCTCTCTCTCTCTCTCTCTCTCTCTATATATATATATTTACAATAATGTTCTAAATCAGAATTAGTACACAGAAAATTGGTTCCAACCGAAGTGAAGCCCGTTCATATTTCATCTGTATCTGATGGAGTATTATAATAGGCCGTTATTAAAAGAATTTAAAGAGAGAAAAAGGAAAATAAGAAAAAAAATAAAGAGAATTTTGAAAATTAAAATAGTTTTAGGAGGGCAATATATATAAATTTCCATAGATATGTAAAAAAAATAAAAAAATAAAAATATATAATATAGTGGGCGAGGCGAGGTGCCTTTGTTGGACTAACACTAGCTCGGCCCTACACCTAGCTAGGCAAAATTTCCAAATCCGACGGATTCCCGCCCCGCCCCGCCCCGTTTAGGGTGGGTTTGGGGACCATTTTGTGTAAATGGGAATGGGGATGGAGGTAGTTTTTGAAACCTTAGCGGGGGCGGGGGTAAACCCATCCCGTCCTACAACATTTTTTTTTTTTTCTTAATTGGTACTCACACACACATACCTCCACCGAGACTCAAACTCCTGACCTTCTTTTAGGAAAGTAGGAGTTTGATACCGCTAGACCACATGCCTGTTGGTCGTCCTACCACATTTAGGATGTACATTTACTAAAATAACCTTATATATTATGATATTTTACTTAAATTAGATTAAGTATAGATAAACACACTTCTAAAACACACTTAAGAAAAATTATAGCTTGGTTGTGCTGAATCTTGGAATTATTACATGGCCTTAGAAAAATCACTAAAAGGAGAAACTTGTCATTAATAAGAAATTGAAATGCAATTGAATTGTCCAATAAATTATTACATGGCCTCCGAAAGATCAAGGACGGAGCCAGGATTTCATCTTAGGGTGACACAATGTACTTAATTAAAAAAATAATAATTTGAAATAACATAAAAAATATAAATTGATCAAATCAAAGGGCAAAGAAAAAAAAAAAAAAAAACATTTCAAAATAATTTGCTAATCAAATAATAGAACTATAAGAAAAATAAATACGTGACAAATATAAAAACTAAAATATTGGTTGATAATATTTTAATCAAATACTGTTTTTGATAAGTATTTATAATTTGAAAGCGATGCATAAAATTACATACATTTCATAAAATTATAATAAAAAATTTAAATAAGAAGTGAAAAAAGGTTACATAGGCGTGGTACATAACTGCAAAAAAATAAGAGTTTTAATAAATGGGGAAAAAAGAAAAAAGAGAGAACTTTACAGAGAAAAAAAATTAGAATTTGATTGAAGGAAAGGAATGTAACTTTTTATTTTAAAAGTTAAAGAAATATAATTTTTAAGATGCTAATTCCCGTTCCATAAATATGAAAATCAAGTATGAAACAATAATTTAATTTTGATTGATAAAAATATATATTTTATCCAAATTGAATGAGGGTTAAAATTCTCTTCAATCCATATATTGATTAATATTATTGAATTTTTATTTCTTTAAATAGATAGAATAGTGATTTTATTGGATTAAAAATGGGGAGAAATGTGAATTTATAATATGATTATAGATTATATCCAACTGTTATAATTTTGTTGATTAAAGCCCAAGTTTGAAAACCTGGCTTCCAAAAATGGCCACTTCCTGTTTTGAGCTTCTTGTGTGTGTGCTTTTTTTTTAATTTTTTTAGAGAAATCTGCCTGGATTTTACAATCAATTAAGACTCTTTTCCTTAGCGCCCCAAGTCCAAAACTAGAAATAAAAATAGATTAAATAGTATTCAAAACACCAGAACAATTGCTTGAATTAAATAAATATTATTCAAAACACCAGAACAATTATTTTGTTTCGAATTAAAACAAAACTTTACCAAACCGGTCTTTCTTATTGTCCAAACATAAAAGTAGAACTCCACTGGAGCAAATGCAGGAGTGACAAAAGAAAAAATTAAACCCTAACTTCAACTCAATAATCCCTTGAATGATGCTACTTGGACGAGGATGTGAAAGTGAGAATGTCCGGATTATTAAAGAAACACTATTTTCTGCTTGAGCTTCCTGCTGGACTTGTTTGTATTAGTAAAGAAATATAATTTTTAAGATGCGAGTTCCCCTTCCAAAAATATGAAAAGTATGAAACAATATTTTAATTTCGATTGAGTACAATATATATATATTATCCAAATTGAATGAGGGTTTAATACTCTCTTCAATCCAAATATTGATTAATACTGAATTTTTATATTTTTGAAAAGTTTAATTTATGAAACTTTAAATAGAGAGAAAAATAGTTTAGAAAACTTTTAAATAATTAGACTAGTGTTTTTATTGGATTAAGAAAGAAGAAAGGTTGATTTGTAATATGACCGTAGATTATTATATCCTACAGTTATAATTGGTTTTATTTAAAGCCCAAGTTTTGAAAGCCAGGCTTCCAAAAATGGCCACTTCCTGTTTTGAGCTTCTTGTGTTTTTAGAGAAATTTGCTGGGATTTCAGAATCAATTAAGGGAGGGAACTTTTCCTTAGCGGCCCCAAGTCCTAACTAGAAATAGGTTAATGCGAGGTTTTTAAACTAGTCATTTTATTTTTAAAATTTGCAACACTTATATCAAAAACGTTTTATGTTTTTACTTTCAGAATTTTTAAAATAAATGGACAATACTAAATATGTATTCAATTACTCCCTACTATTCAAAACAGCATACAACACTTGTTTTGTTTGGGGTTAAAAAAATAATAATAATGATAAGGCAAAAAAAAAAAAAAAAAAACAAAAATTCCTTTACCAAACAAGTGTTTATTATTGTCCAGACATAAAAGTAGAACTCCACTCAAGCAAATGCAGGAAAGACAAAAGAACAACACAATTAAACCCTAACTTCAACACAATAATCCCTTGATTGATGCTTTACTTGGAGGAGCTAGGAAGTGAAAGTGAGAATGTCCGGATCACATTCAAATTTCAACATGTCCATTTCGTTCAAGCTCACCCATGCTTCAATTCCATTGCCACATTTGGTGTCCATTAAAACAACCACTTCACAAGGCACATTCACACAACCACGCATCCAACATGGCTTCCCCCACCCAAAATCAGCTTCATACAATGGGAACTTACACAAGCTTGTAAAGGGATAGACATCCACTTTCTCATCACACATTCCTTCCTCAATTTCATTTAGAAATTCAACCACATTCGAGAAATCGTCGTCATCACTAATAATTTTCGCGAGATTGGCGTGGGTTTTTCGCATTGTATTGCCTATTAGCCCAACCAAATCATGCAACTCCATCTTGTGCGTGTCTGACTTAAATTTGACTGGAACTACCATGTAGAAATTCCCAACGGAGCTCTCCGGTGTCACTATACCGGTTTTTCCTCGTAACCCTATTGAAATGTTCATCACGGAGTCCCTCAATTGCCCGTGTTTTGCACGGGCAACATTGATGAGGACCTTCCATATCAAGGCTGTTACCACCTCTAGCTTTGAAGGTTGGCGGGGTACTTCAGTAGTATTGCCCCAACAACCACCTTCTAACATGCATTTAGCCTTCAACTCCGATATTGTTTTTCCGTCCAACAAGAACTTTCTTGTGACAAAAATCTTTGTTGATCTGGTATTCTCCAAAGGTAGATCATGAGTCGGCTTTAGTACTCGCGATAAATCTCTAGCTGGGAAAAGAGCACTCAAGTCAAAACTTGGCCATTCTAGTACTTCATTACAACCCCCTAACCTGTTCGTAGCTGCCCATTCATTGACAAGAGTACTAAATGTGGATCCGTCAGCAATAATATGTGAAAGGTACACTGTGAGAGCTATACCTGTTCAAAATTAAACTTTCATTTTAGTATAATGTTAGTGGGACATAGTAGGTGTGACGGTGACGTAGTAAGTGTGACAGTGAAATATATTATGTGAAACGAAAATGCATGAAGAGTTATTTGTGCTAGCTCCTGTGCATGTTTAGGCCACTTATTTTAAACAAACGAAAATAATACCTCTACATTTAAACACTGTGACTTGTACACCGAGAAGTGGGGTAGTGACTAGAGTCTGTGCCCCTGTTTCTAGTAGTAGTACCGGCACAAAATGATCTTCAAGCTGAGTCTGCTGGAGGCTTTCGCCGAAGCCGAGAAATTCAGAGAGGTCATAGTTCACCTGGGCCTCCACATATGCAACCCCTTGGTCATTACAATCCACCAAGAGCTCATCTTTTACATATCTTCCTGCTAGCGGATAAAAGCGCGTCAAGGTATTGGAAAGTGATGTTTCCAACTGTTTGTGTATGTTGATATCTTTTTCTTTGGCATGAATGTTGTTGGTAGCTGCAGAGTAGAAGAAAAAGAAGGGCACATGTGCTGGAATGGCCAACTGATCAAAGAAGGATAGCTTGTAGGTTCTGAGGTGAGCAGGAGTTGGAGATGATGGTTTTATCAACTTTCTCGACAAGATTCGCGCCTCCATTGTAGCAGCTTAATCCTTTGCTTCAGTTTGTACTTTGATTGGTTAATGGAGTACGTGCATGAATTTGCAAGAAGGTTTTGATATTGTAAACGTTGAGCACAGCCACTTATGTAATGTTCTAGCTCACACGTGTAAATGTTAAAATAATGTTCACTTGACATATTCCATTATAAAAATAGTTCAGCTTTCAAGAAAAGGAATTAAAGAGATCTAAATGCATACTGTGTGTGTGACCTGTCTTTGTATGGGGTCTGTGTATATGTTAAATAATGTTCACTTGAGATATTGATTCCAATTTTAAATAGTTCACCTTTCAAGAAAGGAAAGAGATCTAAATGCATTGTATACAGTGTGAATACATACTGTATGTGAGTTGTATTTGTAAGGTGTGTGTATATATATATATAACTAATACAAGATTGAAAGTTTCACTCACTGCTTGCTCTCAAATATCTTGTTCTCTATATAGTTTTTTTGTTTTTAAAATCAGGGTGTACGAGCCTTTTGGTGTTTAAAATAAAATGTAACTATTGTAGTATAGAAAATGCAAGTGCGTGGTTGAACTCAAGAGAATGCGTGAAAGAAAAACTAATGCGAATAAAAACTAATTTAAGTCTAACCTAGTTAACCAATTTGATTGAAGAGAGTGGATTTTTTATATTAGGAATGGGAGAATAAAATCAAAATAAGGAGATTGAAATCAATAAAGAAGAATACTAAAGTATCGAATTCCACCACCATTAATTTCATAAAATTTCAATTATTCACTTATCAATTTTCTAACTAAGAGAAACAATTCCGATGTCACCCTGTTGCTCTCCAATTTAAAAATAGATTTTCTTTCGCTTGAAGAGAGTAAAATTCTAAGTATTCTATGTATCCAATTTAATAAAAAACACAAGATGAAATATTTTTACTTTTGTAAAGTTATAACCCAAACTTAGATTAATTATAATAATTTTTAACGACCATAAATACATGATATGAATAATAAAATAAACTTAAAATAATTCATCGTGAAAATCATAAATATTCATAATCAATAATAAACGAATGTTAAAACTTTAATTCTTACATTTCTGTAGATTATTTATTACATTTCTTTATTGCATTCCTTTTCACGCGTGCCCATCGTCTTCTGTAGATTATTTATTACATTTCTTTGACCAGATAGATACGTAGTATCTATTTATGGATAGATCTTGAAATTGAACCTTAGACCTCTGGTAAATTAGCAAAAAATTTCACTATCTTCGCTAGAGCGATACTATCCATTGTTGAAAAAATTTCACTATCTTCGCTAGAGCGATACTTGTATCCATTGTTGTCCGGCGAAAATATATGAACTTGTTTGCCATTTTATTCCAATTTTGTATCTGAGTCCAAATAAACTTTAAAATATAAAAAAAAATATTCATTAATTAATTAAATTAAATATAATAAGGTACTAGTTAATATATTTTTGGGATAAAATTTGTAAAAAATATAAGTTTATCAGCTTTGTCCTGACTAAATTACTACTCCATAGACCCGAACAAAGCGCCCCACATAGATCGAATAAAACTCAAACTATGGATAAAACTCAAACTATGCCCGTGAATGTGTCCCCTGAAAAATTATTTGCCCCTATGAGAAATGATACCTGGTGCTCTCTCTCTCTCTCTCTCTCTCTATATATATATATATATATATAGTTTTGTACTCCCAAACGACTTGTATTTTTCAATACTCTCCCCCTAAGCCACCATTTTGTTGGACCTTTGTGAGACACACAGCCTTGAATTGTGCTTGAACTTTTGGACACAGAACTACCTTTTATAATAACCCTTCCCGTTACAAATACTTGAACCCCATCTTTTGGGCCTTTGGTTTCTGGCTTTCGCAGGGTTTCTGGATTGGGCTAGGCACGAGGCAGTGGTCCATTACAATGGTTAAGGAGTGGTTAAATGATTTTAGGGATAATTAGGATTGAAAACCGCACCGTTATTGAGCGGGAATGGAAAAGGTCAACTCGCCCGACCACATTTTATACTAAAAAATTATAATTTTGTTCTCATAATGTATTCTTGAGTTGTGATCCTTCAGGTGACACAGTAAAAATAGATCATTTAAAATCAAAATATAAGATAACTTCCAAAAAAAAAAAATTTCAAAAATAAATCAACAAAAACAATTCTCTTTACTTACCGAAAAAATAATAATAATAATAAATAACTATCAAAGAAAGTAACAATTAAAAATTTAACGAAACCATATCTATGAAAGAAAACACAAACAAATTAATAAACTAAGAATTTAAGTTATTCAATCATCAATACATTTCAAAGATATGCAAACCCAGTTTGTGAAAATAAAAATATATATATAAAAAGACTTTGTTTTTCTATTAATCTAAATACAGAAGAAAAAAAATGAAAAGAATCGTGCTTAAGTTGGAAGTATTTTAAGATTGTTACGAAAGAATTAAGTTTGAGTTGTTGGGTTTATTTCCTTCTATATGGAGGAAAGCCCAAAGCAGCTCTTTAGGGTAAATAACCCCAAAGAAGTTAGAATAAAAAATAGAGAGAGATCAGCCGTTTTTTTCACAAGAGAGAGAAGAAAAATGCAGGTTTTTTCTATTCTGCCCAGATTTCATCAAATGTCCGATCCAGCTTCGTCCGTGGTCCGATCGAGCTGAAATTTGGAGGGAGGTTCACGACTCAATGAGTTAAAACCTGAACGGTGGAGATCGGATTTTGAGCTCGGGAACTGTAATACCCCTAATTTTAAAAGGACAGTTCTGGAATTTAATTATTGTATTTAATTGCATTTTATTTTATTATGTGTCATTTTATTGGATTATTTGTTTGATAATTGATTATCTGCTTGTTTGTCCTTTTATTTGAATTAATTGTTTTCTTTTATTAATATTATTGTTTTTGTTATTGGATTATTTTGAATTGGGTTAAGTTAAATGTTAATTTATTTTAGATTAGGATTATATTTCTGTGGAAGTTATTTCAACGTTAAATTATATAATTAAGTTGATTTACGTATATGTCAGTTAGGGTTGGAGTTACTGTAGCCGACCTAGGTTGTATTAAGTCGCCGTGTATTGTAACTTGGACAATTGCATGGGCCGACTAAGGGTTTGCATTAGGGCTCTAGCTATATACGGATTAGGGTTGGAGAATTAAGCCTATAAATATATTTCTTCATGTGGGTTTAGGGTTTAGCAAACAAACATCAACAACCTGCATTCACGTATCAGGTTTTCAGAGAGGGAAAAACAGAGAGTTGTAGAGAGTTTCAGAGAGAACCTTTGGGGATTGAAGGAAGAATTCAAGGAGAAGGTTGGGGATTGAATTAGGAGCAGCAGAGGGAGTTAAGACAACCATCGTTGCCGGAGTTGACAGAGGTCTGCAGTTCCACAGTCTGAAACTGAAGGCAAGTTCTGTTTCCACTCTATCTCTTTAATCTGTGTTCTGTACAGGCTTAGAAAGACTATAAGGATTAAACCAAGATTAAAAACAGATTAATGATTAAATTTATCTTGTATGCATGTTCAAACGGAAATAAATCTCGTGAATCAAACTGTGCAAATTTTTAAAGAACTGTGAACTGATGCATGCTGTGTCTTGGGTTCAAGCTTGGTTAATTGGGATTATTGATGCATGTTGGGGGGTTTCTCATATAATCTAGGATAGTGTATAAACACTGGAACAAGGTTTTAAAATACTAAATAGGTTTTGAACTTAGCCGGAGGCGAGGAAGACAACCAGAGAAGGAATTACGGCTCTCAAAGGAGGAGAGCCGGCTCACCAAAGGAGGGAGCCGGCTCCAATAAGGGAGGAGCCAGCTCCACCAAGAAGGGAGGCGGCTCCAATATTCTGGAGGCGGCTCCAGCTTCTTTTCTTGCTTCTGCGTGATTTTGGGTTGTTTCTGGACCTATGGAAGATGACTGGGTTGTTTCAGTGGGTAAAATTGGGTTGTATAATAGTTCCAGAGATGTAAAAATGGTTGGAAGTATTGTTAATGGTATTGTATTGAACCTTGAAGCAATCTAAGGTTAAATGAAGAAACTGCATATGTGAAGTTGTCTTTGAAATCTTTGTAAACTGTTTACTGCTTTGAGCAAAGTTTTGGGTTCTTTTGCATGTTTAAATTTATCAAGCATGTTCAACTATGTTATAAGCATATGTTTATCTATCTAGAAGATTAAGTATGCTTAAATGGAATTAATGGATGTTTTAAATTTATCAACTATTGCATCAGATATGGTTGTGCAGGAGGAGTGGTAGGTTTCAGTCTTACTTAATAAAATGGGACTGGAAAGGGATTTCTAAACCTTATGTAGGATGATTAATGTGTTGTACACATGTTAAACTGTTTATATGCAAATCTTGAAGTATGGTGGATTGGTATTTATTACTGTTCTGTCAACTATATTAACTGGAGGAACTACATGTACAGTCTTTTCATATATATATAAAGCACTGTAATGTGATATTTAAATGGTATATTGGATGCATAAATTGGTTGTAAATATGTTAAACTATATTTATGTTTCTTTTGGAAGTTAGTTGATACATGTTTATGCTGTGTTATTAACTATGGAACTGGAGGATTGTTTGCACCGGTATAGGACGGTGGCATACTAGGTATGAATTAGTACAAACACTAAGTCCTACCTAATTTGGATTAAGGTATGGATTAATCATATGGGTTAAGTCCATCACCTACATGGGTCATATCAATTGAGAATTGAATGAACTACTATGGGTTCAAGTTGGATTTGTTATACAATATATCAAACTGTTACAAAGTTGGATGGTATTTTGTATTAGGAGGAGTATGGATTTTATATATGTATTTTATGGTACTATGGTATGAGTTTGAGTCTCAGGACCATAGTTAGGGCGCGTATATTACCTAGGATGGATAACTGGACATAGGTGTTGTTCCCTGGTAGGTCTAGGTACTCATGCCCACCTTAGGGTGCGTATTCGCATGTTGCCTTCTATTCAGGCTGAGACAAACC